ACGGTACATTCGTAATGAAGACATGCCAATCAGCGTGATAACGCCAGGCGATAATAAGTGTGAGCGATGACCAGTGTTTCGAAAGATTGAGCAAGCACCCATATTCTTCACAGTGTACCGCGTTGTCACGATCAAGATAGTTTTTCGATTACAGTACTATTAGACTGACGAACTTAGACCTTGTTCAGCCAAATGAGCTTACTCTGGTAGTCACCCATTGGCCACGCGATGTTGAGCCCGCCGTTCATGTAAGTAGCCCCGCTATAGGTGGCATTGTCCAGATCGTTACTATACCTCGCCTTAGGATCCAAGCCCTGTAGTCTAAGCGGGGGTGCTGCCGGCTTGATCATGTACTGTTGCTGGAACGCAAAGACTATGCTCTGGTTTCCTTCTGCACTGACGAATTGCACACCAGGCCAGTTGCTGCTGTCGGGATGCGCAAGGCGGTAGAAATCACCGGAGATGACAACGGGGTTCACAGCCTTGGCTTGGGCCATGATGGAAGGCACGGCAGAAGCTTCCTCTGGGGAGAGTTCGGAGGGGTTGAGTTCGAGACCGAAGGAGCCGCACATCATGGCGACGTGACCACGGTATTCGATGCTGATGTTGCGATGGGTGAGACCGTTGGGAACTGCAGATATGTGGCAACCCATTGCGGAGGGCGGGTAGACCAGTGATGTGCCCATCTGGATCGTGAGACGGTTTGAAGCATCAGTGTTATCACTGGTCCAGTGCTGAGGCCAGTAGTGTAGAAGACCAGGATCAAATCGGCCTCCACCTGATGCACAACCCTCCCAGAGTACATCAGGATAGCTTGTTGTGAGATTGTCGATAACGCGGTATAGACCGAGGATGTAAGTGTAGTCATCAGATGGGCGGGCAAGCTCATGCATGCCACGGTTGTTGTCCCATTTGACGTATTGGACGTTGGCGGAATCGAGTACACGAGAAATCGAGCTGATGATGTAGTCCTGGACTTCCGGCAGCCCTACGTTCAGAACCAACTGGTTTCGTGTCAACGTCCTTTGGTGCTTTCCAGCATGCAAGACCCAGTCGGGGTGCTCATGGTACAAGGTGGAATTGGGGTTTACCATCTCTGGTTCCACCCAAATACCAAATTGTAAAGGCGTGGACGACGCATTCAACACTGTAAAGTTATTGACTTGCTCCACATACGGGCCAAGACCGTCGGGGAACTTTGCTGGGTTGGGTGTCCAGTCTCCGAGACCCATAGTGTCATTGTTGCGTGGGTATTCGACACCAAACCAGCCATCGTCCATCACGAACAGTTCAATTCCAAGTTCTTCCGCCTCGCCGGCCAGGCTGACCAGAGACGTTTCGTTGATGTCGAAACTCAGCCCCTCCCACGAGTTGAGCAGAATGGGGCGGGTTTGGTCCGTGAACTTGTGTCGAGAGAGGTGATTGCGATAGAGATCATGGAACGAGCGCGACACGCCACCAACACCCTGAGAGGAGTACACACCGACAGCTTCGGGAGACTGGAACATCTCCCCTGGTGCCACGCGAATGCTGGAATGAAGCGGGTTAAGGCCCATGAGAACTCGCACATAGCCGTTGGAAAAGCGCTGTGCTGTAGCTTCAAAGCTACCAGTCCACACTAGACTGATGCCCCAAGCCTCTCCGCTAGATTCGGTGGTGGTTGGCGAAACCAACGCGAAGAAAGGGTTGTGAAGATGAGATGCATATCCTGCGGTACTTCGGAATCTGATAGATGTCAGTATTTATACAGCAACGCCTAGGCATGTCGACTCACGAAGTCTCGCCATAATCGATCTTCCTCCTCACGGTCTGGAACTCATGCGACCAATCACCGTGGGGCTCAATCATCTCGAGGTCGAGATTGGGGAAGTCGGTGCTAAAGCTCGACGCTCTCTCGATGACGATATCAGCAGTACCGTTGTTCGCAATGCTGAAGCTACGTGCAATAGCGTTGTACTTGGGGAAGATTGAGTACATCAATGCAGCGGAAACATCCGACACGTTGTCGTACATGTGCACGGTTACCGTCGTGACATCGCTAGCTTCTCCATAAGTCGCAGGTAGTCCTGGCAGAGAAGGCTTTCCCTGCACAATGTCGTGGGATTCGTAGCGGAAAGCGGATATCGTGTCGCCATCGGCGTGTTCGATATGAATAGCTGGTAAACGGAAGTCACCGCGGCCAATATCGGGAAACTCGCGACGTTCGTTGCCTATCTCGCCAGCTACCCATCCGGATGGTAGGATGTAGGCTGGTGGTGTGAAGTCGTCGGTTGGTCCTCCAAAGTGATCTGAGATGAGGTCGCCAGACTCGGTATCAACGTGGAACAGGTATGACATGCCGTCGGCGGTAAGTGTGAAGTTTGTGCCAGATGCCTGAATAGCTGCCTCGAATTAGGGACTGCCTCTATTGTAACCTATAGCCATATCTTACCATCTTGCGCCACGACAGCGCTGGCCAAAAGGCTCAACGCGAGACCCTTCATTCCAATCATTGCTAGATCTTACAGGTGAGCAATGCATCACGAAAATTCGTCAAGGTACCTGCTTAAGTACACTCCCAACCACCCTGGTCGCATGCCTAGCTTACATCGGAGATGCAGTGGACTGATCATCGTGAGGGGAAGTGGGGAGGGTCCGGGGTCGACAGACAAGCTCTTCTGCCATGGAACTCTGCGTAAATTGCAGTGATTGGGCCAGCTGCGGAAGTCGGCGGATAGGATGCCGGATGGAGAAGGGACGGTGCAACTCTGGGTCGGTGCGACGTTTAGCCGCGGTTGATGTCGTCAACGGTCCCATAGAAGGCTGCAGCTGCCATCGCTCATCAGGTACACTAGCACAACGTTGAGCGGAAAACTACAGGAAAACGATGTGGGTGCCGTAGAAAAGCCGTTCAAGTAGCGCCAGCACCTCGTTCAAGGAAAACTCTGGACGCCCTAGAGACTACATTAACGGGGAAAGCTGCAAAGTACACGGCCCAAGGTCAACGTAGACTCCAGTGTATCCAGTTTTTCCTTGAATGAGGTGCCAGCTGCTGGAGAACATGGCACGGGTGCAAATCTCGGGATGTATGCTCGAGGCTAGAGCGCCCAGCTGTCAGTGCTACTGTACAATGGCCAAAGTCGTGATGCATGCTATTAAACTATACTGACGCTGAATAAGCTTTTGCTCAAACGCTTGACTCGTCAACCCATAAACCCGTCTTGCGGTCTGTGGCATCTCCACTCTCAGCTTGGGATCTGTCGCTGCTATGCCTTCCGCAAGACGAAAGCCATCACCCATAGCTCGATTCGTAGCTACGGTTCTCATACACCAGGCATACCCAACCACGCTCTGACCTGTGGGACACCTCTTGGAAGGAAGTAAACAGTCCACAGCGCTGCAAAGGCGACCAAAAGGCCCGTGAACTTCTCAAACCAAGTGTGAAAGTAGGCGGCCGTCATGAGGAGCATCCACCACATCAGCGCGGCGACACCAAGCGCGAACTTGACGCCACGCGCAGTAGCCTCGCCCTCAGACTTGACGAGGTCTTTCTCCACTGCAACGCTCGCAACTTTGCCATCGGGCAAGGTGATGAGCCTTCCATCCCTCAGTCCCTCTACACGCGTCAACGCAGGCAGAAACTCCAGCCACAGGAGTGACGAGCCAAGTATGAGTAAGAAGACGTGTCCAGAGATATCGTGTCCGCCCTTCCATGTTCCACCAACTGCCTTGCACGTCGCCGCGGTAATGTACTCTCTCGTGGTGCTCATTTCTTCCCTCGCCTCCGGGTCCCTGATGATTTCGCATTGGCCTCCCGTGAACCTGAACCCGCGGTCAATCAGCGGCGGTCCAAAGCACCACTGCGTCATGAAGCACCACCATGTTGTCACGACGCCATATCGCATCACCGCTCGGATGCGTCTTGCGCTGGCACCCTGACCGAATCCAGGGTGGAAGGTGACGAAGACGGCGAACGCGAGTGTCGTCCAGAACCAGCCTTGCTTGACAAAGTATACGTTGAAGATGTTCTTCTTCTGCGCAAAGTACGAGGGCGCGAATTCGGCGGGGTGGGACTGGAGGACGGCGGAGTAGGGCGCACTGCGGTTTGAGGGCGATATTATGCTGAACACGCTACCCATGAGGAGCGTCAATGGGTAGATGGCGATGAGCTGCGCTTCGAGGCGGGTGGGGAGGAAGGGCGAGCGTCGCACGGACGGAGAGCGGACGGTACCGCTGGGCATGCCGGCTGTGATGGGAACCCCATTGCTGATGTCGGTGTCGGCTTTTCGACGCGTTGCCATGGTTGTTGTGGACGGGGGAAGGGCTCTGTTGAGCTGGAGGGTAAGGGCGTGGCAGTTCCCACCTGGGCACGAAGCGAAACTCGCGAACAATGACGTTATTTGGTTTTGGCGGCTGAGCCAGGCGCGACACCCTAGCCCTATTCGGCCTGCCACCGCCAGCCTCCACAATGACAGCACTCATGCAAGAAAAAAACCTGAATAGGTCTGCAGACTACATTAACATGAGAACTTGCGAAGTAGCTGAGCTCAACCCAATGTAGGCTCCAGGGTGTTCAGGTTTTACATTGGTTGACGTGGGTCTCTTGCCTATCCCCAGGGCTTCCCAGGCTCGGTTAAAAGACATCAGCACAGCAAGAGCTCACTACCGGGAGACGGCATAGCACAGACTCAAGTTCGTGTCTTTCAGGTGGTATACGAGCTGGACAGGGAGCCATCAACTCTCAATAAATCTCGGCGGATCGGTGACAGGGGCGTGCAGTAATCAACTACTGGCGAACCGAGTGACATGCTCAATTAGAATACACCGAGCCCTGGCAATCTGATAGTAAGTCAAGTCGTCGAAATGTTGAACTACGTAGGTAAACTAGACAAGGCGAAATTCACCGTGAAACACCTCCACGATCACATTTCACTGTAGTTGCCTAGTTCCGCTCACCGCATGTCACTTTATGGCTCTCTCGAAGGTCAGTCCATTGCCCCCACTTCCTTCAAGTCGCCCACATGGAGTCAGTAGTCGCCGTCCACACGAACGAGGGCAGCCCAGAAGCGCAATCTGCTCTGGCCGCGCTCGCAGCCACTCTGAACATCAATGAGAACGCGCTAAAGACGGCTCTCAATGGCGCGTTCGATCTACTGCCCGCGGCCGCAGGTAATACAATGCTTGCGCTGCAAATGAGCTTCCAACGGCTGTCGTACCACATTGACAGCAAGGCTTTGGTCGAGATCATCATGACATTTCGACGACGATTCGGCGGCGCTCTGAGTATGGAACGAGGTCAGTGTTACAGAGAGTCCAATATAGTTGCACGCTGACAGAACTTCTCAGTCAAGTATGCGACACCCGCCCGGGCAACTTACAGTCAAGTCCATGGGCCGTATTCAGATCAAAACGTGCATATCGGTCCTCCGCGGTACTCTGCCCCCGGTTTTCGATCATCCGGCGAGCCTGTTGGCCAACACTATAGCTTCCCGGTAGCGGCACACTACCAAACTCAGAACTATCCACTGCCGTGGGGCTCAGACTATAATGATAACGCCCTAAGGAACGCGTCACAGCCAGGTGTGATGTCGACGAACCACATATCTCCTGTCTCCCCAGGTTACCAAGGTCCTATAATGGCTAGCCAGAGGAACGAGGCGCTCTCGGTACTTCCAGGCGGTCCATATTTCGGTCGGTATCAGTGAGTGATACGAGAGTTTGGCCCATTCGTGCAAGACGTAGCGGAAGGCTGGTTTTGATGAAACATTCGTGGTATTTTATACGAACAAGCTAGTCGGGTTGCAATGTTTCATGATTTCTTCGCCTTTGGTCGGTAGGATGCCTAGCTCTTGATTCCTTAGCCATAATACCGACCTTGAATGTGACTTCATTCCAAGGTTACCAGCGTTTAGTATAGCCTAAACAATAGTTAGCTTGCTCAAAGGATAAGTGATCAACTTCCATCTCCGTGCGGAACAAGCAAACGTACTCGTATTGTTGCATAAAGAAGGAGTATACACGCGTGAGTCGAGGAACAATAAGGTCATGTCGTCTTTGAATAGCTCGGGGATGTTTGACTCAACTTCTCCTGCCTTCACCTGGTATATACACACAGAAGAATGTCGTGCTCACGGTCGATTCTGCCTTACTTCCCATACCTTCAGTGTTTATAAGTTCTCTTTCCTACCATCGTCTTCCCTCTGCATCCTCAAACCTATAAAGAATAATCATCATATACAGTATCATGGCCAATAACTCGGACTCCAACAGCCCCAATCACGGAGAACCTTCTGGTGGTGCTGGATATCGCCCCCTGAAATACCTGGACGAATCTCTGTTCCCCAACAACGACGGGGACTTCGCACCTTCATTCATGCAGCCACGTGGACCAGCCAGTCGCCTACACTCTCGACGTAAGCTATTATGACGATACTGTAGTCTTTAATCTAATTTTCATGCGTAGCCCCAGCGGCGAATCCACCCCCATGGGAAGACCCGGCTCAGGCTTGGCGGTACGTGGATGACGACAGGGTATGGACCGGCGAGGCCTTCGTGGTTTCTCGTCGTACTCACCCAGATACAAGGACAGGCAGGGCCAATCCGCAGGCCTCTGGGGTTTTAACTGCAGCTGCAGCTCCACAAGACCCTAGGCAAAACCAAGTACCGAGGGGCCTACATAGTCCTGGTGTCTTCAACTTCACTGGACAGCCGCAAGCTCCAGTAGATCTTCAGAAGCGTGAGCCAGGCAGTAAGATGACTCAAAACACCTTGGTAGTCTTCCCGCTAAATCATTATTTCGCAGCCTTCCCGATTCCAGTTCCTAGTAGCCGTGATAGTGCCATGCGAGGTACACCTGTGGCTCCTCGAAAGACCGTGAAAGCCCCATCACCTAGCAGCAATGGTGAATTCGTGTTCACCGGCTGGAACGACGAAGCCAAGCGAGAGCTCTTCATGTGGAAAGTAAAGCGCAAGAAGGGCTACCCTTTCTTTTTGCATCTCTTTCCTGGTGAGACTGCGGATTCACTACACGAGGCGTTCAAGTTGTACAAAAATGAAGGAGAGCGTTTGTTGAACGGATAAGAGTGCGCAGGACCGGTGGTGTTTGGATTTGGGTAGGACGTATACGTATTCGTTGGACGAATGGAGGGCATTGATTCGATCTGGGATGCTGGCTTCACGTCAGTGAAATTGTTGGATTGAATGGTAATATAGCGCTGTGCCCCGTCAGGCCATAGTATGAGGATACGTCTGAAAGGCGATAATGTTTTGCATATCGTCGCGTCCGAACAGGAAATGACTCCAAGCCCAAGTCCGCGACGCAGATACGTAATGAGCATTGAATGAGTAGTCGGAATGAATCGACTGGAAAGAATGACGAGTCATCGTGACGTGAGGCGCGTGTTGCGCGGGATTAGTCATCGACATTAGCGCGTCAATCTCGCGTGGCCGCCAGTCGTCATCGCCATTGTCCTCTCACCAAACGCATCTCATCCCATCTCCTTTCGGGCACATTCTCCTCACTTCGCTTCATGCTTTTCGCGAATAACATGCGTTCATCCGTGTTATAGAGGCAGTCACAAGATGGATATGTGGAGCTCCTGATCATGTCCGTCCACACGTGGTCTTGCTTCGCTAGACAGACCTCGGGATCCCGCGATGCACGCAGCAATACCGCGAGGCTCTCTGACAACCGAGAAACTCGTACGACAACTAGTTTCTGTTCTGATTCGAAACCCAGCAGTCAACACACCGTACACAAATGTCAGCATCCCATTCAAATCCGGTCTTGGCTTTCATGGCACTACACACAAGACAGCACTTGGAATGCTTAACCATGGGGCTAGCTCTTATCTGGGCTTTCGAAGACGGCTTCATCTGAGGCCGAAAATTCCGAGAAGTCGAAGATCATGGCCCTGACGGGAGCTGCGACGCTTTTGCGACATGAAGAACCCCAGCATCCTAGCAAGCGGTCGGCCCCGCCGCGCACTGGCGTTTGACACACTGTTCCGACCACTCTCGATCGCCAAGCTGGCCTGTAAACGTTGTGAAAGCGTTCCATCATGTATTTCGGCAATGCCAACGACGGGTGGCTGAGGGAAGCAGATGTCACTGAGACTCATGGGCCTGAGAAGCATTTATTCGCAGTAGGCCTCAAGAGGTGCACCTGATGAGCTCGCTAGTACCATCGCTTCACTTCACAGTCGTCTGTTCATCTTGCTGCCGGACAGCTCTTCCCTGTTTACATCTTCTTTCGATCCGCTAATCAATAAACTCTCTCGATATGAAGCTCTCTCTGGAATTGACTCTCGGTCTACTGGCCGTATCATGCGTCGATGCATTCGTCGTTCCCCCTCGCACGCTATGGGCAGTATGTTGATCCGATGCACCATCTTGGCTACTCAACACGTTATCTCTCTTGTTAAAGCCTGTCACTCACTGCGTATGCTGACACTCATGCTAGACTAAAGCAAACCTTGCCTCTCGCTCGTATCGCGCACACCCTGTCAGACGTGACGCAGACTTCCAGAGCTTGGACTCGTTGACCCATGGAGGAAGTCGCCGCCGCGAGGCTCAAAAGCAAGGTGGCGGAGGAGGTGGTCTCACGATCGGAGGCCTCACTCTAGGCGGCTCAGGCGGTGGTATTACTGGCAACGGTCTCAAGCTCGGCGGAAATCAGCAGGGCAATGGTACTGCGGCAGCCGCAGAGGAGCCCAAGTCTTCAGCAGCAGAGGGCGAGAAGTCCGCCACCGCCGGTGAAAAGCCTGCTGTCGCCGCCGAGCAAGAGTCAGAAGAAGGTGCGGCTGGTGCTAGCGCTGGTACGGAGAACCAGCCCGGACGCGCCGAAGGAGAAGCAGCAAGGAAAGAAGCTGAACAGGAAGCTCAAGAGGCCGAGGGTGAGAAGTCAAACGGCGTCAAGGCTACTGAAGAGTCTGAGAAGTTCTCTGAGGAATCTGGTATCACCCTCGGCGAGGACGGTGCCGCGGCGAACCTCGGTGGAAACCTGGGCATCACGCAGGGCTCCGACGGCAGCAAGTCAATCGGCGGGTCAAACGGTATCAACATCGCCGCCAATGGAGAAGCGGCTCTAGCAGGTAATGAGTGAGAATTGGCCGCCTGCCAACACAAGGATGTGTCAACCCTTTCTGTTCATGTCCTTTGTATTTCTCGCTTGTTTATGAATCTCTGTACAATGATCAGATGTCTGCAGCTCACTCTTCAAGAAATACCCTAGTTGCTTGCTTGAAAGGGCTGGGTCTCTCACCAGCGCGAATAGACGGCGTGAGCAAACGGCCATCATCCTGTCGCGTGGCTTGGAAAGCGTCAAAGCTTGTCGCGAACCTCACAGGTTAACCTCTTATAGAGGCCAGCCATTGTCATTTTGATCTTCCACTTTCTCTTCTGTAGTTCACTGCTCATCGCTCATATCTGCGCCTGGTGTGGCTTCCTCCCGGTTGAGGACGCTCCGCCAAGCATGGACCCTGCTGTGCATATCAGGTAGGTACGACCCAAGCTCACACCCCATCGCCACAACGCACACACGAGGTGACCATATTAAAAAAACCATGGCTTCCGCGGCTTTCGAGAACGATGATTCCGGCGGTCATCCAGCACGGCAGCAGCAGCCCACAACCCTCTCCAACAGCTCGGTTACCTCAGTAAACAACGGCTCCGACAGCGACGATGAGAAAGATCTCTTCAAACTGAGTCTACAGCTGCTTGTTGCAGACCGCAAGAACAGCGATCTGGAGCGCGAGCTTCAGCGCTCACAACATGCAGTCGCCATGGTCAGGGCTTCAAACAGGAATCTGCAGCAGACGAATGCGCTCAACGTCGTTGCGGCCTCCGAAGCAGAGGCACTTCGCGCGAAAGTTGAAGCACTCGAGACTTCTGCCGCAGAGAAGGATCCGGAGTTGGAAGCCACGCGACATGATGTGACCGTTGCGGTACAGGATGCGGAGAACACTCACGCCCGGCTGCGTTCGTCCCAGGACCACAACAGTCGACTCGAGCGCAAAGTACGATCCCTTGAGAGCGAATTGTCCGAAGCCAACATTCGCTCAAACAAGGCCCAAGCGGAGGTCGACGATCTGCGAACGCAGCTTGCCCAGCACTCAAGTCAGAATCTACAATATGCTCAGAGGGTGCAAATGAGCACAACCGATGCAGAGCGCCTGAAGACACAGATTGACGGTCAGAAGAGAGAGCTAGACGACGTTCAAGCCAAGCTTGCCGCGGCCGAGTCATCGCGAGATTGGTATGTCTTTCAATATCCCCCTTCCCGACTCTCGATAGACCCTGGAGACATTCAGTGTATTGCCAGCGCTCCTATGAATCCTGAGACTGCTGTGAATTCCTCCAGGCCTCCCCAAGAGCTGCTAATCGGGTTTCCCTTTACCGAACATGTCGCTAACATGTCTACAGGCACCGTGATGAGCACACTCAGATCTTGGCAGTCCGTAACACAATCAATGCCGGACGTGCGCCCGAGATCGACCGCTTGAAGACTGAGGTCACCAAGCTGAGTAAAGAGGTGAAAGGCAAGAAGGACCAAGTACCTAGGTTGAAGCGCGACATAGCCTACTATATCGCTCACCTCGACCTGGCATATAGAGATGCCCGAGTCTACACCTGCGGTCACAATAACCTTAACAACATCGTCCAAGACACGAACGAGACCCGTCAGTGGGACGAAGCTTCAGTAGCCGAAGAGTTCTTCCGAGATTGGGAGGAGGATGCCGAGTTCGTGGTGGAGTACAACAGCGCTAGACAACACATCATCAATCATCATCGTGCGCATGAGAGCATGAAGCGCGGTCGGGGAGATGGGTCTGGGTGGATTCGGGACGAATTCCTCCACGTTGATTCCAAACGTAGGGTCAACGTCACCTACGACTGATGTTATGACGGGATGGACGGAGCGGATATACGGGTCTATGATGACTACATAACGAGTACTGCTCGCGGAACGCATGATGACGATGGAGGCGGGAGGTGTACGGTGTGATGTGTGTGGTTTGTATGAAAGACGCTGATATCGCGAGGATAACCACGCGCTACTCTAACCAGACGTAAATGTACATAGAAAGATCTCCAAACGAGCCTGGCCATTGCCTATATCCCTTTGTGTCTCACGGTCTGGAGTGTGGTACTTCCGCATTGCTACATATTGTGAAGGGAGCGAGCGAATGACGTAATGCGCACTAAAATACTGTGCAAACTGCCTAACACCAATATCCTACAACATCCTCATCCCGTTTAAGATCTCAACACCAACATTTCATTTTACAGGGATAATAGTATTCCAACAAATGCCGGCTTTCACGCCAACTCTTCTTCCTGTATCAGATGAGCCCTGTGCCAATTTAAGCTACAATCATTTCCACCAGCATTTGATCTTAGGTCGTCTTTTGCGACTTTGGGAAGGCGAATACAACAACTATTTGGACACATCCTGGGAAAGAGATTGAAAAGTTCATTGGTGGAACAAAGGGCTCACTAAGACGGCTTTTAAACGCTGCCTTTCTTTCTGCGCCAGCATCCCCGAGCCAGCCAACAAACCCAACCTATACACATTATGCAACAACCGCCCTCCAGACGCGGCCGTCCAAACCGGCAACCGCCTTCTTCAGAATCATCAAGAGGTACCCACACGAGCCGCGGTCGCGGCCGCGGCGACTCCAACCCCATCTCAGACCGAGGACGAGGACGAGGAGCATCTAGGGGCAGAGGACAAGGCCGCGGTCGCGGCAGACCCAACTTCAGATCGGACCCCGACGAACCCCCTGTCCCCTCATTCGCATATATCCACCCCGGAACAAGCGTCTCAATCATTCTCAAACAGGATCAACCCACCGGACACCAAGTCCGCGGTATCGTCGCCGATCTGCTAACGCGGGGTGATCATCCGCGAGGTGTGAAAGTGAGGTTACGAGATGGAAGGGTGGGGAGGGTGCAGAAGCTTGTCAGTGAGAGCGAGGGACAGCAGGGTGAGGCTGTTGTTGGGGGCGCTGGGGCGGGGCTGGGTAGGGACGGTGAGGGTGAGGGTGGCGGAGGTATGAGAAGAGCAGGTGGGAGGATGGTTGGAGGCAGGGTAGAGAGAGATATTAGGGATGAGGACGAGTATCTTTATGACGAAGGCAGGACTCGGAGGCAGCCGGCTGACGTGGGACTTTTTGCGGCGTTAGAAGAGGCGGATCGGAGACATCAGGGTGGGGATGCAGATATGAGGGGGGTGGAGGTGGAGATGGCGACGTGCCCAGTTTGCGGGGAATTCGAGGGCGACGAGGCGGCGGTTGCGCATCATGTCGAGGAGCATTTTGGGGGATGAGGTACGTGGGAATGGAGGTCTTGATGTGCTCGCCATACAAGTATGCTCTCGTGACACAATCACCATCATTGAAGACCAATCACGAGGAAATATCATATGGGCAAAGACGCTTCCTTCTTGATCGTTAACTTTTGAAATTTCGTTCTACACTACTTCTTCCAATAAGTCACAAACGGCAGTCATTTCCTCAAGCAGATCTCGTGCATAAGATAATAATGAGAGACGCCAGGCAATGCTCAAATCCCTCGAAGGCCAATGTGAAAATCAATGCTTCGCACCCAAATACAGGAGAGCGATCCAAACGACCGTCTATGCATCTACTGCTCGCGCATCTCCTGTATCCAACGCCATGAATGAAATCTGTCGGAAATGTTCTGCCAAGGGTATACACACGAATCAAAGGTCGGATGATGTGTTTGAAACGGAGCGTGGTGGTGGTTGTCGTTACGTGGGTATGATGGGGGCGTTTAGAAGGGGAAGCCACCGGGCGGTCCTCCTCTTCGGCCACCGCTGGGCATGCCGCCCATACCGCCAAACGGACTTCCACCACCGCCGGAGCTGAAGTGGAAACCACCTCCGCCGCCACGGCCACCTCCCATACCTCCGCCCATGCCGCCGAACATTTGCATGACTGTGAATCGCATTAGTCGTGTACTTTCTTTCATAGTTATGAGAATACTTACGGATCTCTGGGTCAATGCCGCCACCCATGCCACCCATGCCTCCTCCCATGCCTCCGCCGCCGAACATGTCGTTGGGATCGACAAGATCAGCGCCGGAGTCGTATCTCTCGCGCTTTTGTGGGTCGCTCAGAGTCTCATGTGCTTCTTGAATCTCCTTGAACCTGTCCGCAGCATCCGCGTCGTCTGGGTTCTTGTCGGGGTGGTGGACAATGGCCAGCTTTCGGTATGCCTTCTTGATCTGTGTCTCTGTGGCGTCCTTCTCGATACCGAGAATCTTGTAGTAGTCCTTCCTCTTGCTCTTCTTAAGCTCCATCTCGGCATCGCGGATTTCTTTGGCAATGCCAGGCTCCGATGGGTTCTCTTCCTGGATAGCCTTGAGATCACGTACTGCCTCCTCCCAGTTGCCGTTCTCTCCCAGGGCCTTCGCCCGGGTCTTCCGTGCCTTTGTGTAGCTGGGATCGAGCTCGAGGGCCTTCTCGCAGTCTGCAATGGCTTGTTTCCAGCTCTTTTGCCGGCTGTGGCACAGGGCTCGGTTCTGTAGGATCTTGGAGTTTGTGCCCTTGTTCGAGGGGTCGACTGCGAGTGCCTGCGTGTAGGTGTCGATGGCTTCTTGGTACCTGCCGGACTTAAAGGCAGCGTTGCCCTCTTGCTTCATGCGGTCCAGCTTTTGCACCATTCGCAGGTACTTGACAGCGGCCTTAAAGTCGGGGTCGCATGCCAGTGCTTGTCTAAAGTGCTGTACAGCCTTGTCGTTCTCGCCCTGGGCGTATAGGATGCGGCCGCGCAGTACGAGGGCGTCAGGATCCTGGTTGTTGTACCGTAGTAGCGACATGGCTACGTTTTGTGCCTCTCCAAGTGCATTGGCGTTGCCCATGCGCAGATGTGCCTCTCCCCGCATGAGCTGCCACTTCCGCGGCTTGTCTACACCAACGCCGAGACCCTTCTCAGCCTCGTTGAGGGCGTATATGACCATGGAACCCGAGCCCTCGTTCCGTGATGTGTCTTCGGCCATGCGGAGGTGCTTCTGCATTGTCAACGCAGGCTGCTTGTCTTTGGCCGTGGCATTGATGGAGTCGTACACCTGCACAGCCTCGTCCGGCCGTCCCAGACTGGTGTATACTCTGCCTAGCCGCAGGAGGATCTTCATGTTGTTGGGGTCCAGCTCGTCGGCCATCTTGCAGTCCTCCATGGCCTCGTAGAACTTGTTGGCGGAGATGTAGGCGGCGGCCCGGTTCGAGTAGTAGGTGGCATTTTTGGGGTCGGCTTCGATCGCTGCGGATTGGTTAGCCAGAAGCTCTCCCGGTGTACTGTAGTGCAAAGCGTCGGCTAGAGCATGGCCAGTGTCACTACGCACCTTTTGAGTATTCCTCGATGGCCCGCGGGTAGTCTTTGATCTTGAAGAACTTGTTGCCGGCCGCCTTGTACTCCTCGGCGTCTATCGTCGGGGGCTCAGCGGGCGGGGTGGCAGCCTCGGGGGTCGCGGCGTAGTTTGCAGTGGGCGGCGGCGGGCTCTTGGTGTAGCGGTGTGGTGGAGGAGCAGGCCCGTCGGGGGCGCCGTTGGCGCCGTTCGTCTTGGGCGTGTCGGCGACGGGGCTCGAGGGGGCGGGCGAGGACGAGTGGTCCCGGTCCACGTCCATTGGCTGGGGCGTGGGCTGGTCCATGGCGGACATCTGCGAGGACAGGCGCTGGCGCTCCTCGGGCGGGAGGTTTAGCGGGTGGGAGTCGCGGTCGTACTTGGACGAGCGCTTGGACGAGTAGGAGCTCGAGCGGCGGCTGGAGGAGCGTTCCCGGTCCTTGACCTTGGAGTGGGTGTGCTTGTCAGGCGAGGCCGGAGGGGTGCCTGAGTTAGCCTGGGGGGAGGGTCGGGGGGCAAGGTTGGGGATATCTCTGGTCTTGGACGACTTCTTTGAGGATGCGAAGAAGGAGGGAAGAACCATGGGGGCGAGCTGCGGAAGGATAGCGGCCTGGACGGTGTCACTAGAAAATTAGTCTGGCTGCAGCGACTGTTGGTTGAGATCCAGGGCGGATAAAAATTAAGCTGGGATTTTGGTCCTAAAAACGTTGCTAGAATGTTCCATATCAGCGAGGTTAAGCCCGCTAGCACTTCTGCCACAGAGTCAAGCCGCAGCGGACGTGCATCGGAAGGCTGGGCTGATAGTCGCCTACCACGCCAATCGCCCTGCATGCGGCACCGACTTACTGCCCGTTGTCACGTCGCGGAAGCGGTAAACGCCCTGCAATTACCTTTCTCTCACTCTCGACACGCGACTATACGCTGTGGGACTCCAGGACTACCTCGAGTGGGGCATCCGACTCGCCCAATCCGCGGAGAGAGGCTGGGGCGCGCAGTATCAACAGACGACAACAATACCTTGCATAGAGGATGCGATAGTCTGTCCACTACCAACGCTCATCGTTCTTTTTATCGTCGATGCGCTGGCCTCTCAACCACCAGCCGGCTTCTTTGTGTGCCAATGTAAAACGCTCTCTGTTTGCAGGTGCATGCACACACTCGGCCATGGCAACAACAACACCGAGAAGATGACTTGAGGTAGACAAGCGCTTATACGATGACTCGCCGTTGCGGAGAGACGTTCAAAGGCAGGAAGACCGACAATGATCTCCAGACAGGCAAATTGGCGTGGCTGTGGTTTGTCACAGGGTGTCTGTCAATGATCTGATGCAGGAGATGCTTTCCATTTAGTCGACTGTTCATGTTCTCGGTTCTCATTGACACGACTGTATCCGGACTACCTGGGTATTCCAGCTCAGCGTGCCCTCACGTGCGTCACCAGCTGACTACACACCATCTCACCATGCACTAGCTCTGTAGCTGTCAGGCTCCCATGGAACTCGTTACCTGGTTCCACAAAGTCACAGCACATGCCACATAGATATCCGTAGAGCATCCGATCTCATCCCATATAGCAACCCTGCCCAAGTGTTTACCCGGCTGTGCCCCTCGCCTTCGTCATCCCGCCCACCTGACGCGCACGTGCCAGCAGGGACCGCGCCGTCACCTCCAGGTCCAAAGCTTCACTCCACATCCCAAGATAGCAATCGCGCTTGGGCGCAACAGCGGGAGCCACAACCATCGGCCCCTCAAACGCTTCACCGCTAGCTCCCCGCCACCTTTCTCCCCTTGCACCCGCGCCAACAGCACGTATGACCGGCGGCGACCAACAACGAGTGGCCACTTCTGACTACCGCTCTGATTACCGCCACGGTTTCGACACAACTCCCACGCCGCAGCAGCCCTCGATTCACGCGTCGGATCGCCTGTCTATCACTATGGGCCTCACGTACAACATCTACCTCAACTCGACCACGTCGCGCATCTACGGCTGCAAGAACTGCAAGACGCATCTCTCCAACCACGACGACATACTCAGCAGGGTGAGCACATCCTGAACTCCCACACGTAGCCATATCGCTAACCGTTATGAGAACTTCCGCGGTCAACACGGCAAGGCGTACCTCTTCGATACCGTCGTCAACATCACCGAGTCGGACCCCAACGAGCGCAATATGACCACGGGACGTCACATAGTACGCGACATCCACTGCCGCCAATGCAAGGAGACTGTCGGCTGGAAATACGATAAGGCGTATGAAGCCAGTGAAAAGTACAAGGAGGGCAAGTTCATCTTGGAGGAAGAGCTTCTGTGCACCGTCACCTGAAGACGGAACCCTACTACGCAGCATCGACGTCATATTGAAAGGCATTTGCTGGGAGTTTTGGATTGGATACTGCGATACGGCTTGTTTACCCGGATGGTGTTTACACGCTTGGATTTTGGTGAGCTTTGGACAAGGCGTTCATGTGGATTCACATGGTATGTTGCACTCTATAGCGTTGTTGCAATTTCCTATCGCTATACTGAAGTACTGGTGCGGAAGGAGACGGAGAGCTACGTCGAGCTTCAAGCTTGTCGGAGTCCGTCGCGAACCGGGGCCGACAGCAACCCAAGACGCGGGTCGAAACATTCCTTGATCAACCTCTCAGGATTCGCGTACCATCTTAGCGATTTTTATCTAAGCTACTATACACGCTTGCAGCCAATGTGCTCTCACTGCCCATCCTCTCTACCCCGCAGTCGAACCTCGGCGGGGTTGGAGCTACCACACCACATCATCACCGAGGAGCATTTCGCGCCTCCGATGTCGTCAGGGCGTGCGCCCTGTACTTAGTCCACAAGCTCCACTTGGTTGCAGGCAGTTTTTCGAAATACATCTGCTTTCCTCCTGAATCTCCTGATCACAATCTTTTCTTTTGACTTTCAATAACCATAATTACTCCTGACAACATACCAAGAGGCACGGCATGAAAGCAGTCGTATTCAAGGGACCGGGGAAGGTGGTGATTGAAGACAGACCAATTCCGAAGATTCAAGATGCAGGAGATGTTATCGTGAAAGTTGAAAAGGCACGTACGCTGATCAATACCATCACCTCCAACTAATTCTTATTCTTCACAGACGGCATTATGCGGCAGGTACTGAAAGTCACCAACTATAACAACAGCATCTCTGACATTTACTCCAAGCGAATTACACGTATTCCGCGGTCATCAGCCATCTGCTACCGACTTTGTGATGGGCCATGAGTTTACCGGTCACGTTCACGAAGTAGGCTCATCGGTAAAGACCTTGAAAGTTGGCGACCATGTCGTCTCTCCCTTCACAACATGCTGTGGCGAGTGCTTTTACTGCACTCACGGCTTCTCCTCGCGATGCGTCAAATGCCAGCTTTTTGGATGTCCTGCCCTAGACGGTGGCCAGGCAGAATACGTCCGGATTCCGCTCGCAGACTCTACAGCCGTCAAGGCACCACCTGGCATCAAAGACGAGGCACTGGTTCTTATGGCAGACATCTTCCCAACAGGCATGTTTGCAGCTAAGAACGGCTTCCAATATTCCACTCCCGAGGAGATCAAGGACAGTGTCGTTGTGCTTATTGGCTGCGGTCCTGTAGCTCTCTGCGCGCTCTGCAATATCACCGACTACAAGCCAAAGCACATTCTCGCTGTTGACTCAGTACCTTCGCGCCTCGAACTTGCCAAGTCACTGGGTGCGGAACCCTGGAACTTCCAGACTGATCGCGAGGGTCTCGATAAGCGCGTCAAGGAGCTCACAGACGGCCGTGGAGCAGACATCGTCATCGAGGTGGTCGGTCTCTCTCCTGCGCTTCGAATGGGATACGAGTTGATCCGACCCTGGGGCGTCATCAGCTCGGTCGGAGTCCACAACGGCGAGATACCCTGGTCTGGAAATGAGGCCTACGGAAAGAACGTGAGAGTTCAGATGGGAAGGTGCCCTGTGAGAAGTGTGTTTGAAGAAGCACTTGACAGCTTGAAGAGGCATCAGGATAAGCTTGGGTGAGTTTGATAATAATGCAGGAGTGCAAGTCGCTGACTAACATGTGACAGCTTTATGGCTGATAAAGTCATGCCGTTGAGCGACGCCATTGAGGGCTACGAGTTGTTCGACAAGATGAAGGTGCAGAAGGTCGTTTTCGAGGCGCAAAAGTAGGGCGCATGCAGGTTGACTGCATTGAGTGGTGTTGAGGCGGTGTGAGGCTATGATACGGCGTTTGAGAGAGTGGATAAAGCACGAGCTGGCGTTGGTTGATGTGTGAGCGTGCATTGGGTGGTGTTGGGAGGCCGCTGCATACGTAGGCGTGGTGAAGGTCTAGTCTCAATCGAACAATGGAAGGCAGAAAACCCGCGCATCTCAGCCAATCATGGAATTCAGCGGCACGATACATTCACATTCTAGTCGTGGCTAGCCAGTACCCTGAAAATGCTGGATTTAGCTGCATCTTCGCGGGGCCTTGGCCGTTTTCGGGGCTCGTGCACGCGGGGTCTATTCTGTTCTGTGTTCGGTGATGGGGCGCGCGAGAGTTGCGAACAGCTTGATGCATTCACGCCGGCATGCAGGCCATGCATGGTGATTGCTCCCGTAGATTCAGTGCCGCCTGCGGCACGAGGACAGCGATTGCGCCGAATCCCCTGCAGTGTCTCCCAGCACCTGCAATGTTTGTGAATAGGGCAAGGCTCGTCCGTCTCGCTAAGGAAAGCTACATCCTGCCGCCCTAATATTGCGCAGACCCAGGGCTTCGTCTCCCCTCCGTCACCTTACCTCCACTCTATCTGCACGCTCAAAGAGGTTCCGCCAACACGCCTCTTCTCTTCTCCCACGCGTCCCCCAATCCTCCTCTCCGCTCCCTCCCACCTACCCTTGCTCCCTCCCCCTCTTACCTATCTGTCCGCTATCCCGCACCGACCACCTCCCCCGCCACTTCCGTAGTCGCCAGTGAGTAGCTTCCATGCACACTCCCAAACACGAGCCTTTGACACAATTGCTGATACGTAGCACGATAGCCGCCTCGACACTTTCGACTCGTCCTCTCCTACCCCTCCGCCGCAGCACACCCAGCTCTCTTCTCTGTCTCCGCGACCCACCTTCTTCTCTTGTAAGTATCGCGATAGTGCGCGCGTCGCAAAACTACGTCACTGACCGCAGCTGCAGCCCGTCCCTAGGCCATCCCCACAACATGTCCTCAGAAGAGCCCCAACCCGGCCCCGGTCAGGATGCTAGCCGCGTCGCCGACCAGCTGGACCGCCTCAACATGGACGGCGAGGGCGAAGTAGTCCCGCGCACCGAAGAGGAATACGCAGAGTCGCAGCTTACCCTCCGAGCCATTGTTTCGTCCAAGGAGGCCGGAGTCATCATAGGCAAGGCGGGCAAGAACGTCGCTGACCTGCGCGACGAGACTGGTGTGCGCGCCGGTGTCAGCAAGGTCGTCCAAGGTGTCCACGACCGCGTCCTCTCCGTCACCGGTAGCCTCTCTGGCATCTCCAAGGCATATGGCCTAGTCGCCAAAGGCCTGCTCGAGGGCGCCCCCGCTATGGGCATGGGCGGCGTTATCCGCACCGACGGCACTCATCGTACGTACAATTGCGACACCCCGGCGCTTCCTAGCGACATGGCTGCGTACAAGCGCTGATACCAAGCTAACTTCTGTAGCCATCCGCCTGCTCATCTCGCACAACCAAATGGGTACCATCATTGGTCGCCAGGGCCTGAAGATCAAGCAGATCCAGGATGCCTCTGGCGTACGCATGGTCGCACAAAAGGAAATGCTCCCCCAGTCTACCGAGCGCATCGTCGAAGTCCAGGGCTCGCCCGGCGGTATCGAGAAAGCTATCTGGGAGATTGGCAAGTGCCTCATCGACGACCACGAGCGCGGCTACGGCACTGTCCTCTACAACCCCGCCGTCAGGGTTCAGCCTGGTGCTGGTCCGGTCCCTCTGTCCAACGGCGGTGGCGCACCCGCCGGTGGTATGGGCGGACGCTCGTACAACCGCACTGGTCACGGCGCTGACTTCAGTGACTCGCCTCCTGCCTTTTCTCGACGATCTGGCTCCGATGCCGCCAGCAGGCCCCCGCCCCCAACGCACACCGAGGATGGCGAAGAGATGCAGACCCAGAACATCAGCATCCCGTCTGACATGGTCGGCTGTATCATCGGACGCGGCGGTAGCAAGATCAGCGAGATCCGCAAGACGTCCAACGCCCGCATCTCCATCGCCAAGGCACCTCACGATGACACCGGCGAGCGCATGTTCACCATCACTGGTAGTGCCAGTGCCAATGAGAAGGCGCTCTATCTGCTGTACGAGAACTTGGAGGCCGAGAAGATGCGCCGCAGCCAGGCCCAGGAGTAGACCGCTCTCTAGCGCATCTGCTACCCAACGTCGGCGCCGTTGGGTATTGCCAACCCTCTTGGGAGGTGCAAGATAGCTTGAGGCCGTGCAGGCCTCGCTATCAGTCGCCAGCTCTTCACGTCCGTCGCCATCTGCATTCACGTCTCCCGAAACGGAGACCACGAAAACCGACAACAAAAGCATGGAATTGCTGAATTTCTTACTTGCTGTTACTGATGGATACCACGGATTGTCTGGAGCATTATTTACTTTTCTTACTATTGTCGAGAGAGAACTGAGTGCACGCTGAGCGGCTCACGAATGTCATGACGTTATGGCCTTTGATATCCGGATAGTACATCTGCTCAAGGGTAGCAGCTCTGACATCCATCTTTGGGTTTTCTTGGCGAAGAAGAGTTGGGAAGAAGTGAGAAGCTTCTCACCACGTCCCGAGCTCTCCTCCGACACTCCGATGTACCTTCCTAATCACTCCCTCACTCCTTACCCGAATCCCTTCCCTCTCCCTTGCTCCCCTACCGACACTCCAATACAAACAAACAACATCTACTACCAATATTTAGAATTCTATGATGATAGTGTCTAGACTGCGAACTACTCCTAACGTGATGTGGTACTTGCGAACGTTTGATGATGGTGCTGCCCAAGGGGAAATGAGTGCAGAATTGCACGTGCAGAACGAGGCTGCCCAGATGTTCCGAACCGTTGGACCCTCCAATCGGGAATACGTCATTAGTGTCACGCTCGGACGCTGAGCATCTGAGCACGATGTCTTCGCCACAACAACTGAGATTTCCACAGAGAGCTCCAGCCGTGAAAGGTAGGTGGTCCGCCAAAGAAGTCCTTGCAGCAGCACAAGCTCGAACGACAAACGCTGCAGGCGCGGGATGCTCGCCCACGGTGAGGTTCGGCAGGCAGGCTTCGTGTGCCTCGCTAATCCTTCCAGGATCGCCCAGACGCCAGACGCGGGCAGGCGGTAGACTAGGGCAGAGACAGATTTGGCACCCCGACTGATTTCCGAAGGCTGGGTAGTAGCTGTTTCTTTTCAGGAGCTAGCTCTTCTAGGAAGGGGTGCATGATGGTTAAAGATGATTTCTTGACCGCATATTCCCTCTCTGCCTCGCTTCTGCTCCTCCACAATATTCCTTACTCCATCCGCAACTTCCCTACCAGACGACACCATACGGATTCACGGTTTGAAGCCTACGAGACTTGACACCGCCTACAAAGCACACACCACAATCAACTGAGCACCACCACTATCATGGCGCCCATCCAAACGCAGACGATTACCCCTCACCAATTCAGCAACCCAGTCACTGTCATTCGAGCATCAGGACGCATATCAAAGCCACCAGCGCGATCAACGCGTACGCAAACCAAGGCACTGTTGTCTCATTCGCCACAAATACCTACCGCCCACCCAGACATCGACATCAGTCTGCTCCGTAACAAGTTGCTTCTTCAGTGCCGCCAGTACATCCCTTCAGAGCTTCTTCACGAAGCACTGGCAGACGGCATCTACTCACGCGCAACACACTGGATCACACCCTCCTCCAACGCTGCGTCAAAGTTCGGCAAGCGGAAGCGCTACTACGTCTTGCATAGCGCGAACTTTACGTTTCAATCCATGGGCAGCGCGTGGGAAGCGCGGATTCTATCTAGAGGCAGCCAGCCTATCGATGCAGGAAACGGAGTAGTCGTCTTCGTCAAGGAGAGGAAAGAATGGGACGCATTCATGGCGGGGTACAGAAGGCAAGGAAAGCGAGCGGGGCAGCTGATGAGGCTCAAGCAAAAGGATACGGAGCGAGGGTGGAGAGATGCGTGGAAGAGGAAGTGCGGGATGGAGGAGGGCGGCGGCAAGGAAGTCAACGCTGGGCCAATGTGGGTGCTGGTCAAGAGCGCTGTTTCGAAGATTGTCAGAGGTGAGGCGTGAGCTTGCCTTCTGGGCCCCGGAACAGAGTGGGGGCTGCATCTGCTGGCGTTTGGCCTTGGATCTTCTTTTTTAGCGAGCATATTTTCACGACCTTATGAACGGCTGGAGCGGTAAGCGCGGAGAACGCTTTGATGCCTTTTCCAGACTATACGTAGATATCTTCTCCCACAATAAATGACACAATCTCATGAAAACTCAGTCGGCAGATTGGCGCCCTTTGCATCGTGTGTGTGCTCCTCCAGCTCGCAGTGAAGCGGCGCTCCACACACTAGCGAGTGGGTGGCGCGCCCCGGTCGAGTCGATCCCTGAGGCTCAAACACGGCCCGTGCTCGCTTCTAACTCCGTCTTAGCCCCGGCCCGGCCACTGATGCCACGGTTGAAGCTTAGATGCCTATGGCGCAGGTGTAATCTAAACCTAGGGCCAGGTGTACACTTTCCACTGACCCGCAGTCGCTCGAGAAACACTGTTCCTCTGTATCCCTCGCGCATCATCATCGCGCGGTCCACTCCTTTACACACAGCGCGACACGCCACAACACGAACGCGGCGCGCGCCTTCCTCAATCAACTCCCACGACGTCACTAGCGATACCCACCATACAGCACGTACAATGGCGGAACCCTCTCGGCGCAAGGTCAATGAGACGAATGGAAACGCGAAGGGAGATGTGCACCAACTGGATGGCGCCCACCAATTGGACGGCGCGGTGCATTCGATCGAGCAGAAGCTGGAAGAGCAAGCAGAGCTCCATGCGCGGAACCCTCAGGAGCAAAAGGAAGCAGGGCTGTTCCAGCTGGTAATCTGTGTCGCTGGTATATATGGAAGTTTGTAAGTCACCATAGAGCCTACGTTGACGTTACGTCGCCTACTTTGTACGTTTTTACGTCAATGTAGGCTGCAGACCTGTTCAGCTTTTTTCGTGTATGAGGCGGTCACAATGTACAACAGTACATTGGAAACATAGCTAACACAGGATAGTATGACCTGGGCATGGATCCAAGAGCGATTGACAACCACCACCCACGGCCCCAACAACCAGCGCTTCACGTACTCCATCTTCCTCAACACCGTCCAATCCGCCTTCGCTGCCATCACCGGCCTCCTCTACCTCAACCTCTCCGCGAAGAAAGACCCCAAGACCGGCGTGCGCAAGGTGCTACCCATCTTCCCCTCGAAGGACATCCTCATGCCGCTCCTCGGAATCGCCGTCACATCGTCGCTCGCGTCCCCCTTCGGATACGCAAGTCTCAAGCACATTGACTACGTCACCTTCATCCTAGCCAAGAGCTGCAAACTGCTCCCGGTCATGTTCCTCCACATCTCGCTCTTCCAGAAGCGATACCCAATGTACAAGTACGCCGTCGTCGGTTTCGTGACTCTCGGTGTCGCAGTCTTTACACTACACAGCCCGTCCACGGCGAAGAAGGCCGCGAAGAAGGGTGTCAGCGCAGACGCCTCGCAAACTATTGGTCTAATTCTGCTCGGGGTAAATCTTCTCTTCGACGGCCTTACGAACACGGTCCAAGATCACATCTTCAGCAGTTTCAAAGGTTTCACCGGACCCCAGATGATGTGCGCCCAGAACATCATGTCGACAGCCCTGACAGTGTCGTACCTCCTCATCACACCTCTCCTTGCATCCACGCCCCTCGCTGGCTGGATCGGCCTTGACCCACGCTCCTCATCCGGTGAACTCTCCGACGCGCTCTCGTTCATAACCACATACCCCGCTGTTGGCTGGGACGTCCTCATGTTCTCCGCCTGTGGCGCTATAGGCCAGGTCTTTATCTTCCACACCCTAGCCCACTTTAGCTCGTTGCTGCTTGTTACAGTGACGGTTACGAGGAAGATGCTGACCATGGTTTGGAGTGTGTGGTGGTTCGGTCATGAGATTACTGGCATGCAGTGGCTAGGTGTTGGACTGGTGTTTGGTGGTATCGGTGCGGAAGCAGCGGTGGGGAGGAGGGAGAAGGCGAAGAAGGCTGCGGCTAAGAAGTTGGAGGAGGAGAAGAGGAAGAGGTAGATTATGTGAGTTGGGGCACTGGTTTTTGAGAGTACTAGAGGATAATCTGACTTCACAAAGCGATAGACGATTCTTGTGCAGTTGATAGAGAATACCATTTTTCTTAGACGAGCTTCAATTCATGAGCTCGGACAGCAGTCAAGCTGAGCCTTACTCATCTGTACCACCACGCCCCAATTACCCCACTTCCTCTTTGAGAGCTCCAACACAAACCGCGCACTCTCTCTATTAGCAGCAAGTATCAGGACATACGCAGTACACACTCCAAACCATGTCACAAGAACCTCTCCTGCCTTCCTACGGCGCAGCTACCCAGCGCCCCCGCTCAAGCGAATACCGTCTTGTTGCAAAGCACACCAATGCCGCTCGCGCACTGATGGATACTCTCTTCGTGTTTGTCTCATGTGTAAGCGCTATCTTTGCGACCATCTGGGCAAGTCGAAGCAGTGGTGCAAAAGCGGATCTTGTAAGTAATCAGCCAGATTTGATGGTCCTATATTAACGTCTCACGCAGCCTCACACCCCACACACCGGCACTGCGCCCCTCCTTCCGTATTTCGCATCCATCTCTCTCGTAGTATCAACGTGCTTCTGGATCGCCTATCTCGTGTTCATCGCGCATGACAATGAAAGCGGCTCGGTTCTCAAGCGCAAGATCACTATCGGTGTTGCGATTGCTGGGAAGGCGGTGCTCGCAGCGGCTCACGTGGCGATCTGGCAGGCATACAAGATGTGGTGTGGAGGGCTTGAGACACCGAATTGGGCAGTAGTGTTCATGGCGGCGCAGGCTTGGTTCGATGTGGTGTTCGTGGGGATTCACGGGTGGGTGATGTGAACGCTTATGGTGACAAGAAGGGTCATGTTGCGATGAAGGCGTCGATGCAACAGCTTCGTATGGTTCAGCTCAGTTGTCTGGAGATCAACGCTCTTCCAAGCTCATTGTGATTACGGAAGTCACACGTCCAGTTGGGTTAGCAGCTCTCGCTGAATACTCAGCGATCGTGGAATTGGAAGCTACGTGCCAGTATCCATCTCCCACACTCCCGGCGACATCACTTCCCGATAATAAGAGGCTACCTCGAATATGTATACTTTCTGACTACACCTCCGTAAAACATTTCAATTGAGGCGGCAACACAGGATTGTTCTTGTCTGGCGCCCTAATTCCGGTCACCTGCACTGCTACCTGTGCCATCGTCGTATTCCTGGCCAGCGTGTTCATTACCTTCAACTCCTTGGTTGTTGCCACCAGATCCCTGGTCATTCTTCTTCTTCGATGCGAGATGGGCTACCATGATTAGTTTCTGCTCCTCAGCACGTACAACCGCCGCAGGCAATCGTAGAGACATCTGGGCGTTAGCATACGCATCGGCAAATGGGCCTGTGCGTCCGTCTCTTTGACTCTCAGTAGCTATCACGTCTGCTAGACCGTTGTAGACGAACAAGTACTCCAGGTTGCTGAGTATCGTGCTTGTGTTACCGGAGGCAGTGGCGACTGGGTCGTTCGACGACATGCTGTGGTTGGTGGATGCGGTCGAGATTGAGGGTGACTGATGACGGATGGGTGGAGTTAGCTATAGAATCGGTGAGTTGAATGTCTTCTTATTCCCATTACGTTCTCAGTATCGATTGCTTTCGTATCCGCATGGCTTCGCCATGTGATCCATACGTCACGCGCGGTACGCACACAGGTATCACTGACGGCAATGAAGGGATGTACTATTCATTCTACAGATATTAGGAGACTTGGGATGTTCATAGAGTTACGGGAAGCTTTGAGTACTCCCACCAGCTGTTGAGATTCCCACTACCCTTGTACTGCTTTTCCTTGATCTGCCAATGCCATCTGCTTCGCTTTCCTTTCCTTAGCCGTCAGCCTTTTCTTAGCTGTCAAATGCGCAATCTCGATCAGGATACCTGGTTCCGGAAACTTTTTCGCGGCTTCTCGAAAGTCTGGGAAGTTCTCACTAGCAATATCCTTGAAAGTCTTGTTGACGCCCTCGTACAGCCTTATCAGGTCCTCGTCATCTGCTTCATTCCAATTATCGTTGCACTTCTGTTGCATCTTGCTCCACTTATTGCTGAACTTCTTGCTGTCCTGATTCAAGAAGAAGAGATTCAATTCGCCGGGCACAACATCGGGGTGTCGTATGATCATGTGTCGCATGATACAGAGCAGTGCATAGAGATCGCGGGTATCGAACGACTCATTCATGGCCCTCATTGCCTGTGAGCCACCTTTACAAAGAGTTACCGGCCAACCTGTCTGATTCAAATCCTTACGTAATTCATCTTTCTCTTCTTGGTCAAGGTATAAGGAGTCGAGCGCTCGGTTGCGTCGTGCGACCAGATCTCGGGTTTTCTCGATATCATTTAGCGCTTGGTTACCAGGTGGTTGTGTTGTGGGCGCCACAGTTGGGCCTGGTGCGGGAACATCTGCACTAGATGAGGTGGAGGCCATGATAGGTATCAGTCAGGAATTGCACGAGGGTTGGCTTATCAGCATTATATAATACTCACTGTTTGCTGACGTACAAACTTGATGCGATATCAGTCAGTAGGACGGGGTCATGCTTGCCACGACGTATCATTGCGACCCAAGATATTACGTTGACGTAGGACTCATATTGGTGTTTACCTAGGTACTCTTTCGTTTGTAGGGGGGCACGTGGTATTGAGATCGTACCGGCACTTCCGGTGACCCTCAACAGAGCGTGAGATCCTCAGCGAAGGGTTATAACGACAGTATCTTGCCAATTCAGCTAATTCAGTGTGTATACAGCGAAACTGTACACATATTCTAAACCCCCCTCTTATTCCGTTGTCAGAGAATTATACTGGTCACGACACTGACTGACTCGCATACCAATGAAAACGTACTCTGCTATCTTGTTCATTCCCAGCAGTTTCTCGTCCCCCAGCCTCACGAGCAGGTCATTGTCCACATCTTGCCAAGTCCATGTAGGACCATCTCCGCAGCCCTCGATTGAGTCAAGAGACTGCCAGACTGTTGGCCAACCGTACTTTTCAAACAGCCCGCGTATCTGGCTCTGAACTTCCTCTGATACAGGCAGCTTGGAGAGGACAAAACCTTTGTACTGTTCCAGTAGCTGTGTTGCAGATGCATCAGAATCGTTCAATGAGTCAGCTGATCAGCATTAAGCAGAATAGCGAGGGATATTTACCTGCATCCTCATCTCCCTGTCCGGCCCTAGCTTCGACCTCAGCCTGTGAAATAGCCGCGGGCAGTCGCTTGGAAACTTCTGAATCGGTATATGCTTTAACCTCTGCGAATTTAGGATCGCCTTTAAACCTTCCCACACGCCCGTCAGCAGCATTCTCAGCGGCAACCTCGTCCTGAACTCTGTTGTGAATGGCTTGAGCCTCGGTATCGCTGAGTATCTCGCTCGTGTTGATGAAAGCTCCGTCAGGTGAAAACATGATGGATCGATTAAGAGTAATTGACATCTGAGTCAGTACCGCAGGCTCATTTAGTTCCTTTTCAATGGAGAAGCAGCACCGATTGCTTCCCTCACCACACTGCTTCACCATGTGCTCAGATTTCACGCGTGGTGCAGACACATGACTCTGCATCTGTGTTTGCGACCGAGAGGCCCGATAGAGGAGGTGTGATGTGTTTTCATAAGCACAGCTACTCTACACTGCCCTTCCTCGCCCACTCCCTAAGGACATTCTTCTGTATCTTTCCCGTGCTCGTCTTGGGCAGTTCCTTGACCACCACGACCTCCCTGGGCACCATGAAGCGACTGATGTTGCTGTTCTCCTTGGCCCACTGAATCACCTCATCGCCCAACGTGTCGCTGTCTGTGCCGTCCTTTGTGGTAACAAAAGCCTTGGGCCGCTCGCCCCAGTGTGAGTCCGGCACGGCGCAGACGCCGACTTCGAGGATAGAGGGGTGCGTGGAAAGCATGGCTTCGAGCGCTACGCTGGAGATGTTCTCGCCGCCTGTGAGCCCTTCGGTTAGCAGGTCGCGTCAAAAGAGTGAGGCTCGGAAAGTCAACAACATACCACTGATGATGATGTCCTTCGCACGATCCAAGATCTGGATTGCTCCATCTGGATGCCAAACGGCTAGATCGCCTGTATGCAACCAGCCACCCTCCCACAACTTGCGCGTCGCTTCGGCATCTTTGTAGTAGCCCTTTGCGCAGATGTTGCCTTCGAAGATGACTTCTCCAATCTCTTTGCCGTTTCTTTCCACGTCAGTGAGGACGCCTTCCGGCTGCTCCGTCTTGATGACTCGCGTCGCTTTGCCCATGATAAAGCCGTGGCCTTGTCGTGCCATACGATCGTATTTCGTCTTCTCGGGGAGCGTTTCCCATTCGGGCATGTGGTAGCCTTTCGTGATCGGACCGTACGTTTCCGTAAGACCGTAGACGTGGACGGGGTGTAGGTTCAAGTTGGACATCTGTTCGAAGAGCCATGCGCTCGGTGGGCTTGCGGCTACGGTGACTCTGACTGGCTGGGGTAGGCGCTCTGCTTCCTTCGCTGCGCAGAGTAAGGTGTTGACGGTTGGTGCGGCGTTGAAATGCGTGATGCCTTCCTCCTTGAGCAGGCGCCAGATCTCTGCGTAGTCGATCTTGCGGAGGCAATAATGCGTTCCTCGGACGGCGGTGACTGACCACGGGAATGTCCAGCCCGTCGCGTGGAACATTGGCAGAGTCCAGAGGTACTTTGCGCGGCCGGTATGATAGTTCAGCCCAGACTCGATGACATTGCCCATGGCAGCAAGGTAGACGCCGCGATGTGTGTATTCGACCCCCTTCGGCCGTGCTGTTGTTCCGCTGGTGTATGCGAGTGCCATGACGTCTTCCTCGTCCTTCGCCTGCGACTCCAGATCTGCCCAGCCCTTGCCTCCTTGCTCAATATCGTACTTCAATCCCTCGAGTACTGCATCGTCGAAAGGGCCCGAGAGTTCGCCTTCTGTCGCATCGGTGTCTGTGTCAATCAGTATGGGTACGTTTGGTCTTTCCTTCTTGTATTCGTCCAACAAGCCCACAAACTCAGCATCGGCAATGATCATGTCCACGTCTGAGTGCTGGAAGATGTAACTGATGTCATCGTGCTTCAACCGGTAGTTGATAGCGACATTGACACCTCCTGCCGCCGCGATACCGAATGTGCTCTCCAGGAATGCTGGTGTGTTTGTCGCCAATATGCCTACTCTCTTATACCCGTGTTTCCTCAGGTAGTATGCCAGCCCTCGTGCGCGGTCCGCAGCTTCAGCGTAGGAGCGCCGTAGGATCTTGCCGTTCGCCGTCTTGTGGTATATTGCCATGGCGTCTGGCTCGATCTGCGCCGCGCGCCAGAGAAACCATGTTGGGCTGAGGGTGTGGAAATTGTGTCGATGATGGTATTCGTGGCTGTCGCCGGGATGGATGGGCGGTGGCCCAGGGACAGGGTTGGCGGACGTGAAATGCGACGCGAGTTGCTTGAGACGATCTTTAGCACCTTCCATTGTATCTGCACGAGGATCTAGTTGATCAACGTTCTAACAGCAGCTTATATACACGCGACGGAAATATTGATCTACGGTTTGGCCCAGCTGAGCTGAAGCTACAGACGCCAGAGTGCGGAGTAGCTCCGCTGTGGGACGAGATGCGAGAGATGTCCGAGGTCTTGAGCGATGAGAGGGCTGCAGGACGCGATTTTTGACAGGGGTGCGCGACGGCGGAAAGAATGATGTCGCGACACTCTGAACAACGTGGTCTAATACGTTTCTTACAGGGCGCAATGGCTGACAGCCGACCCTGAAGCTCCCAGCCATGGGGAAATCTGGGGAAGGGTACCGGTTCCGGTGCGGCACGACGTCACAGCCGAGGTTAAGCGCCAGTAGGCATACCCTATCCTCCCGACCGCGTCGGATAGCAGACACATTGGACTACGAGGCTGTTATGCAAGGTACCTGTCCAGTTCGTCACGGCAGGGTGGATGCAAAGCATAAAGGGAATCGTGAGTGAATTAACATAACCACAAGTCTATTGCTGAATGCTCAACGCCGTCACCATGCTTTACATCAGCTGGGATTTTTCATTTCGTATTGCTTCTAGCCGGAAGAGTACCTGAAGACACAGCAGACCGACCGCGAAGAGACCCATGAACACGTAAGCACCCTGGTATTGATGTGCTCTTTTAGCCTGGACACCCTTTCGAATGGTCGGAGTATAGTAGAGGAAATAAACATCCCATGAGCCCAATGCAATCCACGCCGAACCACGTCACCGAAACTGAAACCGACACTGTTCATCGACTGCCGATTTCTAGTATGCGAGGGATGTGAGCTCTTGCTGGACCTTGGAGTCGACGGAGGCCGTCTTCTTGGCCTCAGCCATCTGCCGGCGGATAGCCTTCTTGCGCTCGTAGTATGCGGCACCCTTGACCTTCCTGCGCTCCTCAAGACTACGCATGAATTAGCATTTCTGATCTCGCTGACATAGGCTGGAGCGACATACCGGGCAACGACGTCCTGGTACTTCCAGCCGAACTCGTGTCCGAGACGGCCGACAGTGCAGTACTTGCGTCCGGGCTTGAGCCTCAGCACCCTCAGGGCCTGGGGAACGACGACGCGCTTCTTCTTGTCGTAGGGAGCGGGGACACCCTCGAAGGTCTTCAAGCGCTCCATGGCGGCCTTACCGCGGGGAGTCTTGTGAGGAATCATACCGCGGACGGTTCGCCAGAACATCTTGGAGGGAGCGCGGAAGTGGAAGGGACCTGGCAGGTGGGTCAGCACATGTCGGCTAGTAACGCGCACATTCGACGTTGGACCGCGAGTGCGCCATGTATGGACAGGGAGACGTACCACCACGAGTGGGGTTGTAACGGGTCTGCTTGCGCAGGAAAGCAGAGTACTTCACTGTAGGGTCATGTCAGTTGCTGTCTTGCCAGAAAATTGTCCCTAGAGCGCTCCGCCAAAAAGCAGCCAAAGTGCAAATCGCCGGCCACATCATCCTCTTGTAGCCCCATGTACCAATTGCACTCCATGGCTTGCTCCTGATCTCGCTCGCTCGTTCGGTGGGTGTACGTACACTTGGCGCGGAAGAACTCGCCGGAGATGTTGAGGGCCTCGCATCGCACAACAACGATCTTCTGGCCGTTGAGGAGCTGCTTGGCGACGGTGCTGGCGAGGCGACCGAGCAAGTGGCCCTTGCCGTCGATGACCTGCGTGCGCTGTCAGCGAGACGTCCAAGGAAGATGCGTGGTGTTGACGGGATTGCAGGCTGGCATCGCGGCGGCATGCGAAGGCCAGTGCCTGGGATATCGGGCTGCGTCTATCGGGGCGTACGTACAATGACGGGTTCGAATGTCGACATTTTGCTCGACTCCGGTGTGCTGTGAGGTTAGTTGTCGTGATGGAGAGCTCGATGGATGCGAATTCCAGGTGGCTCGACTAAGCGAACTGAATATTCGAGTTTGTGGTGCACGGACCCATTAGCGTGACTTCATCTCCAACGAGGTGAGCTTGCCCATCCAACGTCTGCATGACAGCCAACGCCAACGCCAACCGCACGTCTTGTCGCTCGCCTATGAGGTAGCAGTTCAGATACAATGGACGCATGTCGCTGCGGCGAACTGTCGCAGCATCTGACGGACCGCCTGCTCGTACCGTCATGTCACACGCGCGCGTTCCAGGGTCGTTGAGGTTAATTGAACGGCTTCGACTGCGAAATTAATAACAGTTTAGATCTGGCCTGTATGATCTTGTCAATGGTGGATTGCTGAACGATCTCTACGGCGTGGTTAGGCTACACGTTGAACGCACGACTCGACGTGCTTCTTTGCGACAGTCCTTTACGACAGTCTGAGCTGCTGATGCTGCCACTACTGCGACCATGCTAATCGAAACTGACCTCAATATCTGGATATATTGCCGACCTGCAAGCTGCGACTACTCTAAGTCCGAACCAAGGAGCAGCACTCGGCATCGTTCTGATCCGATACTCTGCTTAGATGCGTGTGTTTCTATCGATCTCCAGCATGTCGAACAGCAACGAGGTAAGCGCTTTTGCGGTGGCCTGCTCTGGTCAGAGATAGGAGAGAGCGAGCGAGAACCAGAGCACGACGATGTTGTGTATCCGATGCCTTTGTACGTCGCGGCTCACAAATGTACAGTCGGCTCTGTCTTTGAACCGTACTAAGGTATACATCGCAATACTTGTCGGTCTAAAGGGAAGGGCCTACAGGTAATTCTGTTAATCGAAGAAGGTCACGACAGCGTACGCTCTCGTTCTTGCCAGACTGAGGCGCAAAATGAATATTGCGCCCCATCTAGCTCATGCTAGGCAGGCACGCCTCTCAGCTCTACTACGCGCATCATCAGTTCTCGTAAGCAGAAGCGTCTGCAAGAGCAACCACGACCCACGCTGTCGCAACGCATCTATTCATCCAGCCAGCCACCATCATCTCGCCCGGCAATTATTTTCCGACAGTAGCTGCACCCTGCCTCGTCGCTTGTGCTGCAGATGCTCGAAGCGCATATCCCAACTTGCAAGCGGATGCATTCGTCGTTGGCACCATTGTATTGCACACGCAATGATCGTACGCATTCGGTAGCCTCGGCCCGTAGGTCTAGATTCTCTATCACGGCTCTTGAACGGATGCTAACGGCTCTTAGTTGACGCAGACTGCTTGTACCAGAGTCGGTACATCCCGGTCTTCTTTAAGGTTTGTGAAATCGACGGCTACTATGTCTTTCGCCTCTCGCGTCCGTAGTATACATGCTCGATTTACAACACAGAAATCTTGGCAATGTATAGTTGCCTGGCGCTAATGGCTGGTAGTATCGGGCTATCCAACTAATCCGGTAACCCATTCACTACTTTCGGCATCCTCCATTAGTTTCAACATCTGTCACAATCTCGTCATTCGCTCCAACTGTGCATCGGACGGAGGACAGGCAAGACACCGCTATCCTCAGCCATGCATCTCGACGAACCTACGCTTATGTGAAGCCGTCGATACGCTTTCCATTAGGGATGCAGGCAGAATTAGCCATGCTGTTGTGGGCGCTCCAAAGAACGCCAATTTAACAATCATACTCATTTCGTCATAAGGATGCTCACCCTTCGACCAAGTACAATCAGAGTCCAAAATTCCGGAGGCTAATCCGTTAGTCTGTGCTACCTAGCCGTAGTTTGGATCTCGACCTTTTTACCGGAGCCAGATCGCCCACTACGTCACAGCATGGGGAAAACGTTTCGATGATGGATCTCATGGCTGTCTCGATGCCGAAGTCGGATTCACGACCAGGATGAAGCTAATGCAAGTAAGTCTGAAGCGGGTACCAGTGACGGGTGTGTTCAGCCCGAAGCTTGTTGCTGGCAAACATGACGAGAATACAAAATTTTCTTTCGCGATTACCACCACATTGCAGGGTGCGCTGATCGTGGTTCACTAAACGCATCTCGATTGCGGTCCTACTGCGGGTGTGATGCTTAAATTGTCGATCACAGAGGCTGCATGGATCTGCAGTGAACGTCACATTAGAGAGCCAAGGAGCCTCAGGTAAATCCATATCCTGATGGTCCATCACGCTACGCCTCGATTCGAGATGTTGCCTGAGAGCCCCAACGGACGAGTCACCGGTGATCGGCCCCTCGTCCTGTAGGTTACATTGGCTTTTACGTACAGGCGCAAGCAGCAAGCTAAGCACATGGACAGCATCCTTGCAAGGTTTCTCGCAACGACATATGCATCGTCATGCGCCACAACTCGAACCGATCGCGAGACTGGATTCGCTTGGCGTCATGCACACATTCTCCTGTTCAGCCACGTTTCACCAAGACGGAGTCATGACTTGGCCCATCTCCCAGACAATTTTGCGCCACTCCTGACGTAGCTTGGCCCATTGGCAGGTGACCATCAGCAGGAAATATCGTGCGTTTTCCTCTTGGCTGTGTGGCTAGTGTTGTGGCTAGAGCAGGAATACGATCAGCCCAATGCCAATGCCAACGGCATTCGAATTAAACGCTGACCGTGACCTGCCAGTGCACCCGCCGAGTCAGCGCGCGACCACCCGGCGGGCGAAAGTGGGTGCAACAAGCGATCCGCTGAGTCATCCGGAAGTCGGCACACATAGCTCAAGACAAGCACCACTAAAACCTCGTAGGGTGTTCCAATAACCACCGTGTGGGCTTCCATAACCGCAAGCGTGGCAGTGCCAAGGGACCTCGGTATGACATGAGTCCATCATCGGTACCTCCGACAGGACTACTCGTGGGAATCCATATATATGCATGTTTGCAGTTGTGGCGAGAGATCGGTTGACAAGCATCGCAAACGGTCGTGGAGAATTAGGCGACATGCGCCAGGCAGAACACGCATAAACGAGCCTGGTTGAGCAGAGTTTGCCTTCAAGATATCTCACATCTCAAAGGATTTCCCGCTTGGCGAGTCGATACGCTCTACAATATTGGCAGATTGTATTCATGGGGAAACTAAAGCGGTAGTTGGCCCCACTGAACGTTTTAAGCACCTTTCAAGGTCGTCACCCGAAAACGAACAGTTACGGAAAACAAATGAATTGACTGAAATTGTCCGAATGCGCACGACAGATGGGATGTGAATGTGAATCTTTCGCTTGTTGTACATTTCCTCTTTGTGGGAGAAGCCCAGGCATGGCAGAGCCGTGTGCGACGTCTGTCTGCCGGTGTACTGCAGACGACGGCCAGGGTCACCAGCCGCAGTCAAGCCACGCTGTCACCATCATGGCGACTTTATCCGGCGCTAAGATCTGTCGCGCAAGGCTGCATGCTGGTTGGTGCTGGTGGGTAGACAGGCCTTCGGAAGCTCGCCCTGGATGAGAGACCGAAGAGCCCACATCTGGGGTGAATATTTGTCTTCGCTTGGGCGTATGACAGATGGCTGGCAGGAGAATACGGTGCCACTCGACACCTCAGCCGTAAGCGAGTCTATCGGTGGCTGATCTTTGCTCGAAGTAGTGGCTTTAGAGCGCACGAGGAATATCGGGGAACGACTGAACTGCAACGGAATGGCGGATCAGACCACTAATGCGGCTTGAGTTGCTCCAAAAGCCATGGAGAAGGCTCGGCTTCGCTTGGACGCAGGGCTCCACGACTTGTTGGGTGGCGTCGCAGCAGGACCCCTCACCTCTGTCTCAACCCATGGGCGTCCCCAGGACACATGCCAGCAGCGGTATGACGCCACAGGGCACAGGTGAGCATGGCTGTGCTTGACGACTTGGCAAGGTGCAAGAGTGGCGTATCACTGAGGAGGTTTATCGGAAAGTGGGGCCCGCAGGAGCGGTGTGTATGCTGTGCAGAGGCAGCGGGCAGCTGGCAGCGTGCGATGCGGCCGTGGGCAATTCCAGAAAGCGTCGAGGGAGCTCGCCGAGATGAATGCACCAGTTCCAGGCTTGGCTGCCAGGTGAGGAGTGAAAAGCGGACGACTCGGCGGAGAGCAACGATTCGATTCCGGCGTCCAAAGGGCGGGACGGTGCCATGCGCTGGCGCTAACCCAACTCTAATCCCTGACCCACAAGCTTCTCCGCCGTCTTCACACACCCCTGCCGCGCGCATCCACCACTTTGCTCTTAGGCGCAGCGTTCCCCCCAGCCACAGCTGGCTACACTCTCCTCCCGACACCCATGACTTCTCCGGCCCTCACGACAACTGAGAGCCTTCCAGCAGACGCGGGCCGCTCGGGCCCCTTCGACAACCCGCAGGAAGACGCCTCTGAGTTTGGCGAGGAAAACTCAGAAACCAATGACGTCGGCGACGATCACGCACCGAAACAGCAACCCCAGAAGCGACGACGAGTGACGCGTGCCTGCGACGAATGCCGGCGCAAGAAGATCAAGTGCGATGGCAAGCAGCCGTGCACCCATTGCACTGTCTACAGCTATGGTATGTCCTGTGTGTACACTGAATTGCGTGGGAGAATGCAAGCTAACAGCCGACAGAATGGTAAATAATGTCCCCTAACGGATTCGCTACTGCACACAGAACTGATCCCCTCCAGTACTTATGACCAGCCCTCAAACCGCCGCCGCAATGCGACGCCCCAGTACATTGAGGCTCTCGAAAGCCAGCTCAAGCGCGCAAAGGCGCTACTGCACGTGGTGCTGCCAACCGTGGATTTGAATGACCCCGCCATAGACGCCCACCTCCAGAACGGCCTGTTACCACAGCTGCCCCAAGCAGCTGCGCGGCCTCCCGTGATGCCTGTAGACCCCCGGATCGCGCAACACCAGGCACCGGCCCACAGCGAAGACCAGCCTGATTCGCACCTGGAAGCCATGGTGAAAGCAACGGGCCAGCTTGATCTCGACGAAGAGGGCAAATGGGACTACCAGGGCCACTCTTCAGGACTCAGCTTTATGAGGGGCCTGCGGCAGTTCGATGACATGTTCCAAATCCCTTCGGACGAGTCGCCGTCCCTCCGGCACCAATCCATGTCCTACGAACCGCCGTCTCCTTCCCTTTCAATCGCTGGATCCACTACAGCTCCGTCAAACGTGCCCCTGCCCAGCCAGGAAAATGCACGCATTCTCTGTGACAGTGCCATCATCCAGTACAGCGCCATGCTGCGCGTTGTCCATCTCCCCACTTTCTACAAGCAAATGAGCCGTCTTTACGAAGTCGCTCCCGAGAATTACGGCAGCGCCGAGACTAGCTTTCTACCTCTATTCTACTCCGTTCTAGCTTTGGGCAAACTCTATTCCGAAAATGACACCGGGGTCGATGTAGCAAGCTACGACATCCTTACCGACGAGGGGTACGCAGCAAAGTCTCCCTGTGCGAGCTTCGTCCATGCTAATGCGGTCCAGACTCAAGTACTTCAAAGCTTCGCGCCAGCTCTTGGACATTACTGACTGCAGGGATCTGACTTCACTTCAAGCCATCATTTTCATGATCCAATTCTTGCAATCGTCAGCCAAGCTTAGCACTTGCTATGCTTACATCGGAGTTGCTCTGCGCTCTGCGCTACGCATGGGCTTGCACCGTTCATTCAACGTCAAGTTCAATCCCATCGAAGCGGAAACACGTAAACGCATATTTTGGGTGATTCGAAGGATGGACACATACGTCGGGGCCATGCTCGGTTTACCGCGATTTCTGGACGATGAGGACATTGATCAAGAGTGGCCAGTTGAGGTCGATGACGAGTATATTACGGAGACGGAGATTCTGCCCATGCCCAATGGAAGCATTTCTGTCATGGCGGCCTTCAATGCCCACACGCGTCTCGTCCAAATCTTGAACAAGATCTGCAAGTACGTCTACCCTATCAAAGGCACACAATCAGGCGCCAAGAACTCTGTGACCTATTCTGTGGGCTACTCCAAGATTCGCGAAATCGAACAGGATCTAGCAAGATGGCTCGATGAGCTGCCTATCGCGCTCAGGCCGGGCGGTGACGCCCCTCCAATCATCAGGAGGTAAGCTGACTATCTAACATCATTTTTGCAGCTGCTGACATATACGCAGGGTGCAACAACTTCTCCGTATGGCGTTCGGACATGCGCAGCTTTTACTCTATCGGCCATTCCTACACTACGTTTCGCAATCGTACAACGTGAACACCGTGGACCAGAGAGCCTTTGCCTGCGCTTCTGCCTGCGTTAACGTCTCGCGCAATATTATCCACATTTCCACGGAGATGAGAAATCGCGGCCAATTGGCTGGAGCATACTGGTTTTCCATGTATACGACCTTCTTCGCTATTGTATCAATTTTGTATTTCGTCTTGGAGAACCCACAGAGTCCCACCAGTTTTGAATTGCTACGGGATGCAGTGGAAGGGAAGGACGTATTGGCGTACTTCGCGAAGAGGAGCGTGGCCGCTGATAGGTGCAGCACAGCACTAAAGGTAGGCACAGCACTAGTTTCTTCTGACTGACAACACTAATAATGTTTCCCAGGGCATGTTTGAACGTCTCCCGGAATCAATCAGACATGGTGGAGAGATCATTGCATCGAGGAAGCGCCGACAAGGAAGCTCGCCGCACTCTCTTGGCACCCGCCCTACCTTTGGTCAGAGCGACTCTGCCGCACCCCGCCGTGCGAGCACCTATCCCGATAGCATTCCCAATGTCAAGACTGCTGGCCAAGCCCAGTCATTTGAGTCTGGCGGCCCTGACTTTGGTAGCATTGGCTTGGGTTCTTCTTATCCCGCACACTCGATCTCCAACCCAAATCTATTCGATGGTGTGCCAGGCCTTACACCTACATCATCCAACGATAGCCTACCGAGCTTTGGCTTGGCTCCTATTCATGACTCGCAGCAGACATCATCTGCCTTTGGGCCAACAAGCCTAGGCAACCCTTTGGCAGACCCGTCAGGTCTTAATGTCCCCATCGCAGACATCTCAACAATGATGTTTCCGTCTGCCGACCCGCTCGCCTACCCCAACCAGCCCATGACTGCTTTTGAAAACAAACATCCACAAACTTTCGACCGCAGTACTGGCACCCCGGTGAGCGGACACCCTCCTCAACTTTCGACCAGCATGGAGATGAAAGGACACCCGGCCATGTTTGCTCCCACGAGCACGCCCAATTCGCAAGCTCGACCCATGGACAGTGAGGCGCAGATCTTTACTTCCATGCCCATGTATTTCATGCAGGGTAACCAGCAATACCGCGGATATCCACCTCAGCAGGGTATGCCGATGCAAACATCCAGCAACATGCCTTTTGATGAGCTGATGCATCAAGAAGACTGGTCGCAATCTTTTATGGACCCTGCGATGAACATAAATGATGGGAGGTCATCGCTGAACAATGCCCAATTTGGCCAAAATGGATGGCGTTAGTTCGTCGACTCACACAACGCGGACCACTGGACGGGGCTATCAACGCTTTAACGTTTGTTTTCTGCTTTGTTGTGAAGCATGCTGAGTCCCATCTATCGATGTGCATCAGCTTCGACTATGAGCGGTGCCCTCGCCCGCGCCCTCCTTCCCACACAACGATTACGGCCGATATTTCCTTAGTACACTGAGCGTTTTATTCCGGCGTTTGCGAGTCTACCAAAAGCATTATACCCCATTGTCAACCGGCTGGCACCGATGAGCTAAGCGTTTTCCAACGGTATGCGTAGGGTGAGGACAGAGCCTCACTGACGTAGTTGTGACTTTTCAGTCCACTACGATCGCGACCTGTCCAATGCATTTCAGCATTGATTTTTTTTGCTTTGAAGACTTCGATTTGGATTTGGCGTTCGAAAAGCTAGACTTTTTGAGCGTGACGGACCTCGCGGCTGCGAGTGTAGATTGAGCATCTCATGAAGATACTCATGAAGGTTGGAAGAAGTGCGTTGAAGGACCACACTCATTTTGTCCGAGCCAGTAACGGGTAACGCCGTAGATTAGCAAATTGACTGAAGGCGATACCTAGGTATCGCGCGTAGCTTACAAAGACTAAAGTACAACGCACATTGTTGAAAAAGCTCTGGCATAAACACCAGAAGCTGGCTGAAATCCATGTTGACCTAGCTTAGTGAACGGTAAGCCCACGTCAGAGTTAGGCTAGCCATAGACGCACGAAAATTGAAAGAGAAGCCATGGTCTTAAAACGAAGCCTCAGTGGAGCCTAGCACAGACACCCAGCCACCATAGTAGGCCGGCGGAGCGGGGTAAATCCCATGCCGACTTCCAAGGCCGTGCCTAGACCTCCACCTTCGGCGCCGAAGCCGCCAAGTGCAGCTCAACGTGGGCCAAGCGCTAGCACCCACCATTGAGAAAACGGCAAGTAGTGTGGGTTAGTGTTTACCGACAATTGGGGTCTTGGTTACCAAGCGGTTTCCAAGCAGTCTTCTGTGTCCCAAGAGATGGTATCTAGCGACCTTCTTAACCAGGTCATCGGGGCTGACGGACTAGATCTTTTGTACCTTAGCGAGCAGTTGGCTAAGAGATTAACAGGTTTTGGAGCATATCGTAGTCAGTACTGTTGCAGGACCAAGGAGGATATCGGCTCTTGGTTTACCGGAAGGAACATGGGAAAGTGTATATCTAGGCGCGGTGACGCTGAATATGTGAGGTACCAGGATCATCTCGCACCATTGGACTGACGGTGAATCGCTATCGCCATGGTTCACGTATCTTCGTTGTCGGTTCTTGGCTCTGCCTTGGTCGGGCTGAGTAATGCGGCCGCCTTGGGTACTGCGGAGGAGTATGCTGATGGTACTGTGCATGCAAGGATCATGGGGATGAAGATCGTAAGGCTTCCTTGTCGGTGCACGCTGGTACATGCTTATACTGACCCCAACAGGCACAATGGGATGCTGAGATTGCCTCGGGAGAGATGGATAGCACCCGCTACCCTGAACTAGGTCACACGCCATGTGAGAACGGCTTCGCTGCTGCAATCCCTGGTGACTTCAACAATACGTTCAGGTGCCATAATGTCAGTTGGCTCGAGGTTCAAAGCTCATCAGCTCGCTAATGTGTATAGATCGACCTCTACCATTTCCTCCCACATTCCCTCCTTGGCAGCTCTGATGGACAAGGCTCCTCTTCTTGGGGCTGGACGTCAGAGGATGGACGCGAGTTTGTAGCAATCGGCCAGTTCGACGGTACCGCCTTTGCAGAGATCAGCAGCGAAGGAAAGCTGATCTATCTGGGCCGCCTGCCTCCTTTCGACCCTATCGGATCCCGCTGGCGCGAGATTCGCGTGATGAGGGACTATGCCGTCATTGGTAGTGAGGCCATCAACCACGGTGTTCAAATCTTCGACATGAAGAAGTTGTTGGACCTTGACGGAAGCGAGCCGATGAACTTTACCCAAGACGATCTGACTGGCCACTGGGGTCTGACTGATGACTGGAATGCTCTCCCGGTTGGCCGAACCCACAACATCGTTGTCAACGAAGAACTCAACTACGCCGTAGCAGTTGGATCAGTTGGAGGTAACGAGACTATCCGTGTCCGTGGCGATTTGCCATGCCGCGGAGGCCTCATCTTCATCGACATGAGCGACCCTGAAAACCCGACCAGCCCAGGTTGTGCTTCTGCTGATGGCTATGTCCACGATGCTGAATGCATCGTTTACCGCGGACCAGACACTAAGTACTACGGCCGCGACATCTGCTATGGTTACAACGAAGACACACTAACCATCTACGACGTAACTGACAAAGCCGGCAACACCACCAACATCATCTCTCGCACCACATACCCTGGAGCAGAGTACGTCCATCAAGGTGTCGTCAACAACGCAACCTGGCAGGAATACATCTTCCTCGACGATGAATTCGACGAGCGCGACGCCAAAGTCGGTCCCATGACACAGGGTCTGCCCACCACCCACATCTTCGACATCCGCGACCTGGAGAACCCCTTCTATTCCGGCAACTACGAGGGAAAGCGCCGCAGTATTGACCACAACCAATACGTCGTTGGCGACTACCTCTACCAATCGAACTACGGAAACGGTCTCAACGTCCTGGACATCCACACCATCACGCAGGATCCCAGTGGCGACGGCATCTGCGAAGCCGGATTCTTCGACATCTACCCCGAAGACGACGAGAACGAAGGTGGCGGCACAGTAGCCTTCCTCGGCTCCTGGTCCAGCTACGCGAACTTCAAGAGCGGATTTATCTTCGTGCACACTATCGAGCGTGGTAGCTTCGTCGTCAAGATGTCGAGCAAGGAGTGTGCAAAGCCAGCCGTTTGCGAAGTAGACTCTTGTCTTACGTCGATGCGCACAGCAAACGTGGAGGGTAGACTTCAGGCTTCGCAAGAGTTCTGCGGTAATTTCACTCAGAGGCTGATTGATGATGTTCGTGCTGTGCCTGAGTTTGCGCAGGAGGCTTGTGCGGGGGAGCAAGTGGTTGCGCAGGTTAGCAGTGCGTGTGCTTGCTTGCCTACCCTTGCTGTGCCTGAGTTGCCAAGGACGACAACTAGGGGGCCAGTGCCTACTGTGCTGCCGCCGAGGGTCTAGGATGGGACAAGGACGACAATGACGGGCTTGGATAGATTCCCTTTGAGAACAGACAATACGAGATCCGCTTATCAAGCAACATCGAGATGTACTTGCTGCGCACGAATGCATTGGTGATTAAGTGTCAGTCACAATTGTCATAAAAATGCAGATTGCTACAACAATAGATTGAATTGTCTATCGCTGAGCAGCGTAGCTGCTACGATGACTAAATATTTACTGAAAGAGGAAGATGTACAAGAGAAAATAGAAAAGGCCACAGGCCGCTCAAAAGCTACTTCACGGTGCTCCAAGGTATAGCACTCGTCTCATTCTGGAACTTAGCAAGAAGCGCCGGTAGGGATGTTGAGGCAGCTAGTGCTCTTCTTTCCGCCAGTGACGCTGTTGCCAGTCCAGGTCCAGTTGGAGCAGCTGCCCTTACCGCAAAGAATGTAGACGTCAGTACCCTTGGCAGCAACGGTACCCTTGACGTTCTGGATGGTAAGGCCAGTGATCGGGACACCGGTGGTGGGCTTGCCAGTGGGAGAGCCGTTCTGGTAGTCTTGCTGGATAACGATGCCGTACTTCGCGATGTTCTTGAGGGTGATGTTCTTGTATGTGACACCAGAGACAGCACCGGTGGCACCAGACACGGTCTTGATACGGACACCGTTGTCAGAGTTGGTGATGGTGGAGTCGGAGATGATGACGTTCTTGACAGTGTTGTCGCTGCGGCCACCTACAGAGCCGATGGAGATACCGTGTCCGCCAGAGCAGGTACCGCCGGTGAAGTGGATGTCGGTACCGGAGTTGACAGCCAGGCAGTCGTCCTGGTTCTTGATGTTGGCATTGGTGATGTACACACCAGTGGAGCTGCCAACGTCGAAAGCATCAGTGTTGTGACCGCCGTTGGTGACGTCACCAGCAGTGTTGTCGATGGTGATCTTGTCGAGGGTGAGGTCCTGCGCGCCGTTGATGGAGAATCCCTGTACAGGGGTGTTCTTGACGTTGAGTCCAGTGATAGAAGACGAGATCATGGAATGGGCGTAGAAGAACTTGCCAAGTCAGTTGTAGCTTAGCAAAAGATCAGTATTAACATACCTTGGGCTTCGTCTTGCCGCCGTTGCTTCCCTTGCCATCCCACCACTTAGCACCATTTGCGTCAATGACATGGCCAGCGGCGCCAATGACTTTGATGTTGGTTCCCGAGACAGAGATGAGAGGACCCTCCCACTCCTTGTAGCCGAAGGTGGTGGTGCCCTGGAAGGTGACGGTGGTGCCTGACTTGAGCTTGGTCAAGTCAAGGGTCGTTCCTGCTGGAACAGTCATACCCTGTATGACAATGGCAGAGCAAGAGGCCTTGTTCTTGATGGCTGTAGCAGCATCGGAGAAGGTGCAGCTTGCACGAGTATCAAGACTGGAAGGAGCAGCCGAGACGAGCGCACCAGCGCCGAGAAGGAGGGAGGTAAGTGTGAAAGCAACCATGATGAATGTAGCTTGAAAATAGGGATGATTGAAGGGAATGTAAGGCTGTTGTGTAGAGAATGAATGAATGAGTGAGTTGGTGAGTGCTGAAGAGACGTGCCGCCATGCCCTTTATACTAGGACTTCATCGACAGTGGTACGTATTGATAGGTGGAGCCATCGGAGGATTCACACGAGTCGTCGACAAGCTCAAATTCCTTGAGCTTGTCATTGCTGGGCAAGGCTTGTCATCGCAGAAGGTCTAGGGTCCGCGAGAAATGAGGGCACAAAGCGGATGGCGCCTGCGCCGGTGTTCTCGCAGCATGTAACAGGTGGATCCTCGGTTGGGGCTACTCCGCTTTGTATAAATGAAACGAGATCTGGATGTGACCGAATCGCAGATGGTGGTGGGCGATCTCTGTCACAATTCTCCGTCAAATCGATTGCCAGCCTCGTAGCGCTGAGCAGAATCTCACTGCGACTAAGCATACAGCTTACCCAGAGTCGAATACTCTACAGCACGCGGGCAATCTGGACTACTATCAGGTGTTCGTGTCTTGCCGTGTTAGATCAATGGTGAAACGAAACAACTGGTCCAGACGCGTGGCGCCGCTGTCGCGTGGCGCAAAAGGTCAGACGCCATTGCGGATACAGAAAGCACGTTCACGCCGCCGGCCGCCGATTGATGGAATGTCACCAGCCACACCGTGAGACCTTCGTAGGATTGGAGCGATGCGCAGGCTTGACGGAGAATTGTTTGAGTGAAAGGACAGCTGCATGACTTCCGGAGGGGTTTCTAGAAACGAATCCGGATTAGCGCCCGACTAGCGTCCCGTCACCGAAAGTAACGGCAGCGACATCCCGCACCTGCATGAACCCTTTTCCATCTCATCAGCATCTCTCCAGGCGCGCATTCAGATACTGATGCATCAGTTGTATTGCGTCTACATCGACATAGTCGTGAACTCGCAGAACATTCATTGCAGCACGACTCCGGCTCCCAGGCACACGGCCCGCGAACCAGGCGGACACGGGAAGTAATTAGGTATAGCCTCAAATCTCGGATCTACCCCTAGAATTTTCACCGCTCTAGACACTATGAGTAATCATCGTCGCAGCTATGCTCACGATCCTCGGACGAAGAAACCACTTTGTGGCAAGCCCTCTACTAAAAGACTCCAGGCTACCCAATTGCGCAACAGCATAGTCGCTATCCGACGCACCGCTCGTCCCATACCTTGCGCACCTGCTATGGCCGTCTTCTCATCAACGATCATGAACGGTCCTGGTTCTGGTTTCACCAGGTAGCGTACTAACCAGTCGGCGCACCAAAAGAGATACAAACAGCGCGTCCGAAAGACCTGCAGATCCATCTCTTCGATCCATGGTTCCGCCATGATCTGCGCTTCCTTGAGCCCATCGATAGCGTTACCGAAGGCACAAGCTAAGGCAGCCATTGACGGAAGCGAGCATGCGTCGTCTGTGAAACCAATGCCGATGAGTTCCAGATAGTGCCGCTCCAGCATCTTCGCATAATTGCGCAAATTCGCGGTCGAGATCAGATCTCTGGTTGCATACGCAGAATCTACGAGAGCTGTTGCGTAATGTGCAACGCGGTTCGACACCAGGTCTTCGCGTAGGTCTCGAATGGCCCTCCGTGCCCACTCCATGTTCTCTTCCATAGGGGACTGTGGAAAAAGGCTGGCCCCAACAGGCAGATGAACGTCGCGGCGTGCTTTCAGAACGACCTTATCTAGGAAGCTGGCTGCTGTGGGATAGCTGCCTTCTAGATATACGTCGCCCGCCAGTCTCTTAATATCAATTGGCAAATGAGCCAAGTTGTCCTTTTTGTATGCATCAAATCGCTTGTCTTGCAGATGCTGTCGGTCTGGGGGAAGAGCTGGCGCTGGCGGTACGTCGAGCATATCAAGTTTCGTGAAGATGGCGTTGACTGAGACACTGTCGAAAAGGATATCGTGAAAGTGGTTGGCATAATTTTCGATGGGAAAGTTGGTCACCAATTCTGTTAGTGATGGCTTCCCACGAGACTTGTCGCCTGTTGCTGTATTGAGGAGGCGGACGTCTTTGTCCGAGATGGTATTCAGATGGACATCCAAGCTCTTGCCCTCACGTATCGCGTCTGGATCATCGCAGACGTAATATAACGCCGCGTGTCTGCAGTCGTAGAGTATAGTAACTGGTGAGCTGGCTTCAGCCCGCTTTTGGACTGTCAGCGCTTCCAGCTGTCGGGGCGTGGCATCGCCTGTCAGGAACACACTGTGTTTCCCCGAAGGACCGGTCGCTTTATCATCGCGCATTTCCCATACTATCGTTATTCGAATATCATCGAAGAAGTCACCTACATCGCCCTCAGAATAGAAGCTTGGTGTATCGCGCGCAGTGTCGATTGGGGGCCTCCATTCATGTTGGTGTCCAGTAAAGGCTGCGTTGATGGGACCGCCTAGTTTGAAGGCAAGGAGCGCGACCAAGAGAGGGTGTAACGTGTCTTCCCGGGCAGGCATTGACGTAGAAAGCTCAAGCGGACTAGATTGCGGCTCGGGCGACGAGTCCCCACTTGCAGCAACTTGCTCCTCGATCGGCAAAGTAACAATCTCCTCGTCTTCTTCGACACCAAAGGTGAATGCGACAGCCTTGGACCTATCCAGTGTCTGCGCCAGAGTCCTGAACTTCTCGACTAGCTTGAAAGCTACATCGCGCTGAGCAAAGCCTGCTGTCTGCGCACACGCTGCAACGAGCGCATTCAGCATATTGCGCCGATATTCAGTTTTCCTCGCACACGCTCGGGCATCTTGAGGTCTCTCTTGCAGCACTTCGGTATGCTGGCGGCATGCAACTCTATCTGTCACCTAAAGATGGAGGTACGAAGTCAGTGTTTGTCTCACATGCAGTTCGTACATCGGCAATTACTCACGAGCCGACCTATGAGCTTGGTCGGTACCTGGAGAGCGACATCGAAGCGTTGCGGTCGGTTCATGTCGAGCTCTGGATCCACTAGTAGGTTGGAGTAGATTGTGAAAGTACCCAGCGAAAGAGCCGTTGAGTCACTGGCGATTGTCGCGGTTGTCGCGCTGATATCGAAATAAGCTCGTCGGAAGAGTGCGATTGCCGTGAAACCGTAATGTGAGTGTAGCGCCAAGCTACAGATACAGGTACTTCTTGGGATACAGGTAATGTTTCCTTGTCCAGCTCTTTCACCTGTTTAGCCTCACTTACTGGAAGCCAACAACCGGTTTGAGACTATCAAGCACATCGCCAATGTCTCACCCCACGATCAAACGCCTCTCAGGTCTTGGTACCACGTGCATCCGCTACTTGCAACATCCCGTTTGCCGTCTATCGGCTTTGCGGTAGGTTTCGTTGTCTCGCGCTACGGTCGAGGTGCGCTGGTTCAGACTATGGTCATTCTGTCGTTGGCCGTCAAGCTTGCAGTATGTGTCCTCCAGACAGAAAATCTTCGGATATGAAAATTAATTTTCATACGGAGTCAGATGCCCACCTCCGCATTCAGTGGTATAAGAAGCTGGTTCGTCGTACCGTTTCGAGCTGAACGAGATGTCAACAAGACGACTGCGCCATCTTTTCAACAATAGCGCCCACGCAGTGACTACTGGATCAGTATGACCTTGCTTGAGGAAGACGCTGAGACGATACTAAAAGAGCAGAACAGAGATATTGAGCGTGAGCTTTTCGTCAAATTCACCTTTCTGACGTCAATTTACGACACACTCGATCTTCTTCAATCGCGTATTGGCATGAGCTCAGCATAGCCGGAAATTTCGAGTATTGCGCCCGTGAGCAGTGTGAAAAGGGCATTCGTTCACGCGTCTTGTTCGTAGGCCCGATGACAGGACGTTGTTGGGTGTGTATAGAGAGAGCCAGAATGACCCGGCCGTTGTTCTGGCGCTCTCGAAATGGCATTGTCTGCTAGCACGTTGTAGCCGCTCATGCCCATTTGGAAACATCGACGCTAGCGATTAGGTTTGCTGGGGCTCGAGCGCGAAGATGAGCAATCGAAGTAAGCACAAATGACTCGTGACAGATTGGGCATGCGCTCATGTCAAAGATCTAATCGCGCGGTGTAGGAAGTCATTGTACTGCAAAGAGAGGTTACATAGTTAAGTATGTCAACATCGCGCCATAAGAGAAGTCTGAGGTGCTTCATACAAACTGACAAGGCATCTTGGTAGAACTTGGACAGCAATCGGTGTGCGCGCAGCTTCGCGGCGACGCCAGCGCCTGCACTCGCGCAGTCTGTTTGAACGAACCGGGCCGTGGATCTGACAGCATTCTAGTGCCGACATTTCCTCCGCGACAGGTTGTACGAGAACGTTTCGACGTTTCTCATCGTCGCGATCAAGGTGGGGTGGAACAATCGATATTGTCAGCATCGAAATGAAGCCGGAAGATCGACCGCGAGTTGAGACCAGTGTGAATTCGCATCAAAGCCAAGCGATCGGGCTACATTACACCGCCAACAATGCGAACCCGATTGGAATACTACCAGATCTCTCAGCAAGTCAAACGTCAAGTAAGTCGATGGGTTGGCCTAACGGCGACGAGAATTGAGTTGTCAAGCTAAGCTAGAGCGACCAAGATCCCAACTTAGATTGCGCGGTCACATCTGACGTCCGTCGCCAACGTCAGCCCTATTATGTTCATGCGCCGTGACGGTAACCTCCGGTCCAAGTATCATCTTGGATCAGGGGAGCAATCGGATGAGGCGGGCGCCTTGTCAAAGATCAAGGGACACTCTAGACGAAACGAAGAAGCCCAGGAAGGCCCGACTCTGACAGACTAGCGAATAAACTCAGCGCTTGGACTGGGTTTAATTACCCACACCCCATGAACATGATCGCTTCGGTCCGTATACTCTGGAGAGCACTGCGAAACCTGGCTTGGAGAGCGTTGGCATGAACAGCGAAAGAGAGTTGTTCGCCGTTTCGAGTCCACGCCACGGCCAAATGTTAAGCTTTGGGGCTTGGACACCGACGTACACCGACGAAAGACCACTAGGTAGGGCAGTGGCCAATATGAGAGGTATGTAAGGACTGCATCCTCGTAATAGTTGCAGTATCCATCACACGCACATCCTGCAAGCTTCCCTTCAACCTCTTTTTTGACATTTTTGGCTACTCGCCGTCCTCTCTTTCAACATGCGTTTCTCCAACGCCGCCGCTCTCTTCTCTCTGGCCTCTGTAGGCTCGGCTGCTCCAGCCGTTCACGGCCACAAGCACGCACACGCACGTGATCTCGGTTACGGTGGTGGCTACGGTGGTGGTCAGTACCAGGCTGGTATCTTCTACGTCAACTGGGCCATCTACGCGCGCAAGCACATGGTCACCGACCTCCCCGCCGACAAATTGACCAAGGTCAACTACGGTTTCGCCAACGTCAACAACCAGACTGGTGAAGTCATTCTTACCGACGAGTGGGCTGATCTTCAGTTCCCCTACCCCGGAGATGTTGCCACCAACGGTACCCAGTTGCTTGGTAACTTCAACCAGCTTTACAAGCTCAAGCAGCAGAACCGCAACCTGAAGGTCATCCTCTCAGTCGGAGGCTGGAGCTTCAGGGCCAACTTCAAGCCTGCTCTTGCCACTGCTGAGGGCAGACAGAAGTTCTGCGACAGTTCCATCCAGCTGATCGCTGACTTGGGTATCGATGGCCTTGACATCGACTGGGAGTACCCAGAGGATGAGACCGATGGCGACAACTTTGTCGACACCCTCATGCGCTGCCGCCAGGTATGAATCATGTTAACACGGTTCGAATGATCGCAGGACTAACACCACAACAGACATTCGATGCCTACTCCGCAGTGAACGCCGCCGGCTACCACTTCGACCTTGGTATTTCCGCCCCAGCTGGTCCCGAACGTTTCGTCGTTATGCCCATTGCCAAGATGGACCCCTACGTTGACAACTGGAACCTGATGGCCTTCGACTACCAGGGCCCAGGTTTCTCCAACTACACTGGACACCTCAGCAACGTGTACCCCAGCTCCACCAACCCCAAGTCCACCAACGGCTGGAACAGCAAGACAAAGTCTTTCGTCCCTTTCAACACCAAGCAGGCCATCGACTACTACAAGATGAACATCGCTTCCCCCGCCAAGATCCAGCTCGGTATGCCCCTCTACGGTCGCGGATTCGCCAACGTCGTCGACATGAGCAAGGACCAACGCGGCCTCGGCCAGAAGTTCAACGGATCTACTGCAGGAACCTGGGAGCCTGGTACCCTTGACTACAAGGTCCTGCCCGTGAACGGCAGCAAGGTCTACACCGACAAGGAGACTCTTGCCAGCTGGAGCTGGGACCCTATTGCTAAGGAGCTCGTCACTTTCGACACACCCAAGGTCGCCTCCTGGAAGACTGACTACTTGATGGATGAGGGTCTCGGTGGTGCCTGGTGGTGGGAGTCATCTGGTGACTTCCCGGCCACCAGTGACAAGAGCATCGTCTCTACCGTTGTCAAGAAGCTTGGTGGTCCCGAGAACTTTGTCCAGAACATGAACAACCTGTACTACCCCAAATCCAAGTACTACAACATCCGCCCATCGGCCAACTCTACCTTGAGCCTGTTCTAGATAGTTGGTTGTAAGCGTCTCTGGCGCAGTAATGCGATCAGCTAGTTGATCCCCAGTTTGGCACTTCCTTTCTTGAGAACCTTATTTTAGAAACCTTTTTACTTGCACTGTTGTTGCAAGACCTTAATGCAAGATACGCACGTGATGCAAATTCACGAGAAGCTCGCTCATCGAGTTAATAGACGTTTGACTTGACCACATTTGCCTTTCCTGCACTTTATTGACCTCGTAGTACTGTTGAAACATGCCTCACATGGGAGCAGCCTCCAGGCTGGAACACTGTCATCAGCGTGTAGCCAACTTCATAGTCTGATGCGCAAGTAAGTGATCTTTTCGATGCTAGAGCGCGCAGTCGAAGTCTGGTATGAAGAAAGAAGGGAGTCGTGGTGATGCGTCTTCCCCGCCAAACTAGCCCAGGAGGCCACGCGCAAAGGCTGCGGATGCAAACGGACCCACTTCCAGAATGAGACCGGCTTGTACAACCCCACCAACATGAATGCCATCATATCACGACATTCCAACCAGCTTAGGAGCCTCTGCAAGCCATCTGGAGCTAACAACATCCGGATCTGCTTGCGTGCGACACGATCGGTGAACAGCATGTCGCAGCCTGTGCGACCGCGGCGGTTCGCACCACTGGATCCCGCGAAAAAGAAGGAAGGGGACACTAGACCACTGCTAAAGGGCATTGTGTTTGATGTCGACGGCACGTTATGTAGGTTTTCTGATATCGTGCACCTGTGTTCATGTACTGAATGACTTAGGTCTGCCTCAAAACTACATGTTCGCAGAGATGCGATCAGCACTGGGGATCGAAAAGCCGACGGACATCCTGGACCACATCTACTCGCTACCTGAGGGCGAGCAAGAAAAAGCACAAGAGAAGATCCGGGACATTGAGCGCACCGCAATGAAGTCCCAACAGCCGCAGGCCGGGCTCGTAGAGCTCATGGAATATCTGGACTCTTGTGGCATCAAGAAGGGCATCTGCACACGCAACTTCGACGCACCTGTCACTCATCTGCTCACTACTTTTCTGCCAACATCAAAATTTAGCCCTGTCGTGACGCGAGAGTTCAGGCCACCCAAGCCCGACCCGGCAGGCATTCTGCACATTGCGAAGGACTGGATGCACGAAGACGGAGGAAAGAGTCTGATCATGGTTGGCGATTCAATTGACGACATGACGGCTGGTCATCGTGCGGGAGCTGCGACTGTGCTGCTAGTCAACGACGTCAACAAGCACCTTGCGGAGCACCAGCACACGGATCTCGTCGTTCAGCGGCTCGATGATCTCATCGACATTCTTGAGAGTGGGTTCGAGGGACGCGTAGAATCTAGCGAAGAGAAGTAGATGCAGGAGGGCAGTAGAGGAAGCTGTCTGTAAGAGCTGATGTGCAATACGCATTAACGAAGTCCGTCATTATGCGTCTTGAGACATCGTGCCCGTACTGTTCGTTGCTTGATGCTCGCTGGAGCAACTTCGCTGCGATGGTTGGGCCAGGCTGCGTGCAGGCTGAGGTGCAGCACGGGCCGCCCTCGAGCGCCACTAGTCGTCACAGTGCCGACCCGCCGCCAATCCCATGAAGCTCTCACAAGCATTCTTGCGCTGCACACTATCCGGGACAAGAGCACTGAGACCATGCATGAGCCCACGCTTCTTTTCGCCAATGTTCAGATCCTGTAAGCATTGAGCCAGCCTGGAGATCAGCGCACTGCATGCATGAGCCGGCTATTGGTATGAGGATAAAGGGATGCATGCTGCGCAGATCTGTGCTCCTTCTAGCAGAACGGAACGGAGTTAGACAAAATTGGGCCGTTCCGCACCCGTGGACCATGGAGGCCTGCAATGAACAGCGATACCCATCCCCGAAGCTGTGAGGAGCGGTACGGCCTACTTTCTATATTCGAGACAACCGCGAGAGGCAAAGGGGAAGGTGCTTCAGAACGTTGTTACCTAAACACGGCTGGGGGTGATCAGCCATCACTCCAATCAAGAGCCGATCACGTTGATCCCGGAGGCTACCTGCATCATGTACTTGAAACATCTGGTTACGATAGGTCGCCTAGGTGACTACGTTGGGTGTCTAAATCTCCACGGCTTGGCAGACCAGTATATGTCTGCTCCCGCCGTGATTACCATCGCAGTTTCCAACCCATCCGTCGCTTTCGTTTGCTGCCAAGCAACCAGGGTCGAGCATACTTCTTCTTCTGTCCTGCCACTTCTGGTTCCACACGATCGACGTCGCCGGCTAGCATGAGGTACACCACCGCCGCCTTCACAGGCCTACTGGCCATTTCTGGTGTCAACGCTGGCTCTACCTCCCGTACTTCTCACATCGAGGGCAACGAAGTTGTCGAGCGTCTGAATACTGTACCTGAGGGATGGAGCGAGATTGGTGTTCCAGCGCCCGAGCGCAAGCTCCATTTCCGCATTGCAGTACGCTCGGTAAGTCATCGCGAAGCAGATCAGGAAGGCCTTCATGGTTCAGATATTGAAAGTCGAATACTGATCATCGCAGGCAAACCCAGACCTGTTTGAGAGGACGCTCATGGAGGTTTCAACTCCCAGCCACCCCCGCTACGGTCAGCACCTTAAGCGAGACGAACTGAAGGATCTCATCAAGCCAAGAGCCGACTCAACTGCAAATGTGCTCAATTGGCTCGAGCAATCCGGCGTCGAGCCTCGAGACATCCAGAATGACGGCGAATGGATCAACTTTCTCGCTCCTGTGAAGCGCGCAGAACAGATGATGGGCACCACGTTCAAGACCTACCAGAGCCAGGCACGCCCTGGAGTCAAGAGGACTCGTTCGTTGGGCTACTCTGTCCCCGTGGAGGTTCGGAGCCACATTGACATGATCCAACCTACTACTCGCTTCGGTCAAATGCGCGCCGAAGATAGCCAAGTCCTCACACAGGAAATTGCGCCTTTCTCCAAGCTTGCTGCTGTTAATGCCACGTGTAACACAAGGATCACGCCTGATTGCCTCGCAGACCTTTACAACTTCCAGGACTATGACGTTAGCGACCAGGCCAACGTAACGATCGGAGTGAGCGGGTTCCTTGAGCAATACGCTCGTTTCAACGATCTCGACCTGTTCACACAAAGGTTTTCTCAAAGTCTCGCTGGTAAAAGCTTTGGAGTACAGTCTGTCAACGATGGACCATTTCCCCAGAACTCATCGGCCAATAGCGTCGAGGCCAACCTCGACATCCAGTACACAGCCGGCCTGGTGAACATATCAACCACGTTTTACACTGTTCCAGGACGAGGACTGTTGGTTCCTGATCTTGATCAGCCTGATGAGGACGACAACAACAATGAGCCCTACTTGGATTTCTTTACTTACCTTGTGGGCCTGGAGGATGAAGAGCTGCCCCAAGTACTGACCACTTCGTACGGTGAGACGGAGCAAAGCGTCCCTGCCGAGTACGCCAAGAAGGTCTGCGATATGATCGGTCAGCTCGGTACTCGTGGCGTCTCAGTCATCTTCTGTAAGTATTCGTTCGAGCTTGGAGGCGAAGATGCCCCCAGACGTCATCAGCCGCGATGTCTGGGGGTAGTGTCGTCTCTGAACTCAATCCTAACCCAACCTTTCCATCGATGTAAACATGAGTGCTAACAATACTCAGCCAGCGGTGATACTGGTCCAGGCTCTGCTTGCCAGACCAATGACGGCAAGAACACAACCCGTCTCCAGCCAATCTTCCCCGCCTCATGCCCCTACGTCACCTCCGTAGGTGGCACTCGCGGAGTCGAGCCTGAGCGTGCTGTTGATTTCTCTTCTGGCGGCTTCTCTGATCTGTGGCCTCGCCCAGCATACCAAGAGAAGGCAGTTTCCGACTATCTTGGCAAGCTCGGGTCTCAATGGGAAGGCCTTTACAATCCCAACGGCCGTGGATTCCCTGATGTCGCCGCTCAAGGACTAGGTTTCCAGGTAAGATATACTTCCTATAGGAATTGTATGTGAGACAAATACTGACCTTCCTTCTCTAGGTTGTTGATAAGGGTCGATTGTCGTCTGTCGGAGGAACTAGTGCCTCAGCGCCCGTCTTCGCTTCGGTCGTCGCGCTTCTCAACAACGCTCGCGTGGCGGCTGGCATGCCTTCACTCGGTTTCCTGAACCCTTGGATCTACGAGCAGGGCTACAAGGGTTTGAACGACATTGTCGATGGAGGCTCTCGTGGTTGCACTGGTCGTTCCATCTACTCCGGACTTCCAACCGCACTTGTGCCTTACGCTTCCTGGAATGCGACGGAGGGATGGGATCCTGTGACCGGTTATGGTACACCTGATTTCGAGCAACTGGTTCGCCTCGTAACTGCGCCGCAGTACGGTCAGCGCCGCGTTCGTCGTGGAGGCCTCCATGGTGAAGCATAGTGCAAGCAAAGACTTGTGACCTTCTTTACCTAGATATCTCTCCATCAATAGAGCAATTCCTATCATGAAATTGACACCCTGGAGCCTAAATTGACGCAAGATTTTCCAATTTGCTTGCTTTATTTCAGTGTAGTCGAGATCAAAACGCGCCCCTCAGTGACGATGGCGGCTTCTCCGGGTGCGCGACCAATCAGCCACTTGACGCGCGGAAGCCACAACCGATTGTTGCTGACATGCTGACACTCTCACAAACCTTGAACGCACCTCAAGCCATAGCCCTGCAGACATCATTCCAACAGTCGTTGCTTCAGACCCTTTAGAAGAGACGGGAAAGCCCATGTGTTTGACTGACCACATTGTTTTCGTCACAGCGACCCGCCACAGCATTGGTTTTCGCGAGCTTCCCCATGCGGTTAAAGCGCACAAGACTTATCTGCGCCGAAGCATGACAAGCATCCGCCATGGTGCTTGATCCTTCGACACCTGTATGGGAGCGATTTTCTCGAAGGCCGACCTCAGCCAATCACGCAGCTCGACCATCCTTTGCCCCAATACCTGACGACGCGCACTGAGCCTACCGTGGCCCCGGATCGCGGCCAGAGATAAGAGCTGGTGTCTAACAAGCCCGAAGAGATAGTTCCCCGTCCACTATCAAGGAATACGAAGTGGACCTGCCAGTGCTTGAAGTCAGTGGCGGCATCTTTGGCGGGCCTTGGAGAAGCTTTGCGCCGTTAGCTTCGGTCCACCAGTGTGGTCGTGTGTTTAGTCGCATGCATTCCCCGCCTCTATCGCGGTCGTACCTGGAAAACAGTACCAGCATCATGAGCAATCGCAGCAACGTCGACTCCCATCGCGCCATGTTCAAACGTCAACTACACAACTTCGCGATCGTGCGCATACAACTATACCAGAGTATAACGGAGCTCATGCGCAGGGTCAAGCGTTTGAATGATTTCGGTGTGCTTCGGGGGTAAGCAACAATATGTGACGGAACTTCACGCCTGCCTAATCAGGTAAAGAGCTGGAGCTATGTTCGCCATGAGCTATCTGTGTTTGTGCAGGTACAGGAAGATGTAGGCCGCGTCGCGTGCGTGGTAGACCCGAAGTGACGTCGGTCTGGCGCTCCACGCTTTTACTTCAAGAAGGCTGGGCTGCCCGCTCGGTTCCCTCTTCTTCACGGCCATTGATAGTCACAGCACGAGCTTGACTAACGAACAACCCCGGCACTGCGATCGCGAAGCACGTCAAGATGCAGCTTCTTTCACTCCTCGCTGTTGGTGGCCTCACAGCAAGCGTTTCCGCACGAAGCGCTCGCTCTGTCGGCAAGAAGACGGAACTTCCTCGTCCTCGTCTGACTGTCCCCGAGACCAGTCTTCGCCCTCACAAGCGTCAGACCACTCAGATTATCACCACTGAGGCGTCCAAGGGTATGTTAGGTACTATCTTTTACACAACACTAGCTAATGATCCCCAGCATTCGCTGTCAACGGAACTGCGGGAGCGATCCCCGACGTCGACTTCGACATTGGCGAGTCCTACGCTGGTCTTTTGCCTATCAGCGATGCCGCCAACGAGACCTCTGAACTGTACTTCTGGTTCTTCCCATCCGAGAACCCAGACGCGGATGACGAGATCACTATCTGGCTGAACGGTATGATCATTCCCACGTACATGATCAATTCCCTCTAACATATGTCACAGGTGGCCCAGGTTGCTCTTCTCTAGAGGGGTTCCTCCAAGAGAATGGTCCCATCTCCTGGCAATACGGCAGCGGCCCAGCAGCTGTATACAACCCCTGGAACTGGGCCAACCTCACCAACATGGTCTGGGTCGAACAGCCCGTAGGAACCGGATTCACACAAGGAAACGCTACCGCTACCTCCCAGGAGGAGACCGCTGAGGAATTCCTCGGCTTCTTCAAGAACTTTGTCGACACATTCGGTCTGCAGAACCGCAAGGTGTACATCACTGGCGAGTCGTATGCCGGACGCTACGTCCCTTACATCGCCGATGCCATGTTGAGCAAGAACGACTCCTGCTACTACGACGTCAAGGGCATCATGTTCTACGACCCCAGTGTGGCCGAGGACGTCCTGCTAGAGGACATCCCAGCTGTGCCCTTCGTCGACCAATGGGCCGGTCTCTTCAACTTCAACCAGTCCTTCATGGACGACATCCACAACCGCTCCGAGGCCTGCGGCTACACCGAGTACATGGAGAAGTACCTTACTTTCCCTCCTCCCAGCAAGCTCCCGTACCCCGAGAAGGACGCCAAGACTGAAGGCTGCGGGCTGTGGGAAGACATCTACAACGCCGTCTTCTACACCAACCCTTGCTTCGACGTCTACGCTATTGCTACCACCTGCCCTCTCCTCTGGGACGTTCTCGGTTTCCCCGGTTCTTTCGACTACCTCCCTCCCAACACCGAGATCTACTTCAACCGCACCGAAGTCCAGAAGGCTATCAACGCGCCCATCCAGCCATGGGCTGAGTGCTCCAACGGAGTTCTCGACACCGACTCGTCTCCCCAGTCGTCCTGGGAAGTTATCCCCCGCGTCATCGACGCCCTAGACCGCACCGTCATCGCACACGGCGAGCTCGACTACATCCTGCTCTACAACGGTACCCTCATGGCTATCCAGAACATGACTTGGGGCGGCATGCAAGGTTTCCAGAACCCGCCTGTCGATGACTTCTACGTCCCTTACCACGACGACTTGAGCCTTACCAGTTTGAGTGCCAAGGGCCTCATGGGCAAGACCATCACTGAGAGGAAGTTGACGTACGTCCAGCAGGCTCTGAGTGGACACATGGTACCCCAGTACCAGCCTAGCAGCGCGTACCGCCAGCTTGAGTTCTTGCTTGGACGTATTGAGAGCCTGACCAGCCGGGAGCCTTTCACCACGCTGCCCAAGATCCCGCAGAGCAATGAGACGAGCGTTGTTTCTCGGGATTTGGGAGCCATGGGTGGAGAGTTCAAGAAGTGGTTCTAGACTATTAGTATGCCCGTTTAATGGTATAACGCAATGAACACGATTACGTCATATAACTCATGAAGTATGCGTGATGTCTGCGTAGATTGATTGTTCTACTGTGATATCGAAACAACACTAACCGGCAACGTTCTCAGCCACCCTCCGCCCATCTTTACCCAACACCCCTTCTTGTCTCTGCGCCCTCTCCTCCGGCACTTCAGCAAATATCTTGGTGATGGCCTCGATCGTGGTATTTCCCCCACTGAAGACGACGCCAATGTTCCAGCCCTTGTCCCCAGCCTCTCTCTCCACCATCTTCCTGAAGTCCTCGTTGTACAGCATGGTCGCCAGACCCACGACCGCGCTCGGCTCGACAAAACACTTCATCCTCTCCAACACCAGCTTCATCGCATCTTTGATGTTCTGCTCTGTGACGGCGTAGAGACTATGCACGTATTCCTTGTTCGAAATAACACCCCATGTATGGTCACCGAGGGGCGTACGCAGGCCATCGGCGATGGTCAGGGTCTTGACGCTGGTAACGCGTTCGCCCTTTTCAACACCCCTCCTCGCGTCGTCGCCGCCCTGGAAACTGGGTTCTGCGCCGAAGACGCGTACCCCAGTGCCGTGGAGAGCGACTGCGATGCCGCTCAGCATGCCGCCGCCACCACAGGGCGCGATGACAGCGTCGAGCTTCTCGCCGCTTCCCAAAAGCTTGCTGACTTGATCCTGTATCTCCAGCGCCATGGTGCCCTGGCCGAGTATGATGTGGGGATGGTCGTAGGGAGGGATCAGGGTAGCGCCTGTGTCCTTGATTACGTCTGCGACGACGGCTTCGCGTTCGGTGCTCGTGGAGCCGGAGAAGTGGATGTTGGCGTCTTGTGACCGCGTGCCTGCTATCTTCGAGGGCGTGGATATAGAGGGCATGACGATGTGTGCGGGTATTGAGAAGGTTCTTGCGGCAAGCGCGAGGGCCTGCGCATGGTTTCCTGTTGATGTCAGTCCTGCCTGCCGGCCTGGTCTGGTCATAAGTAGACGTACCGCTGCTGTGTGTGACTACTCCCTTCCTCTGCACTTCTTCCAGTCCATCCCGCTCGATCAATCGCGTGACGGCATGGAAAGCGCCGCGTACTTTGAAGGCGCCGATGCGCTGGAAGTTTTCGCACTTGAAAAAGAGGTTCACCTTGGGCTTAGCGGGCTCTTGGCCTTCCCATTGTGTCCCCTGGAGTGCTTCTGGAGCTTGAGGCGTATTGGCGAGAGTGTTCAGGGTGGTGTTGGTCAAGACGGGCGTGTCGTGGATGTGCGGCTTGATGAGGGCGTGGGCAGCTTCGACCGAGGCGCGCGTCAGGGAGGCATGGGGGGCTGCGGAGGACATGGCTGCCACTGAAGAGAGCGGCGATGAGCTGGATGCATCTTGATTAAGACTGTCCAGGATGTGACTCAATGGGGGACCCGGGTACGATGGTGGGGAAGATAGCGCGGAGAGGAAGGCAAGGCAGACAGCGGGGACGCTCCGCGCGGGTCGCGCCTTCTGGCCAAACACGCGACGGATACTTTTCCGAGTTTCTCATCCACTCTTCCCTGAACGCGCCTTTCGACACAGCGACAGCTCGCCCATGTACAGTAGTTACGCGAAGATGCCTTTACCCCATATTCGCTGTCTCAAGCTGACACCCCAGACAAGCCCTCACCAAGTCGCTGTTTACCACCCCCGCGCCTGCCATGTTTGTCATTAGCATTACCAATGTTTCCATCCAAGAAGGACTAAAATGCCGTTCAGGCCGACCTGTCTCTTTCTTCATACTGAGATATCCAAGGTCACCTTTGGTTTATACCTTATTCGACACCATGGTGGGATCCACTTGCAAACCATGGTTCCATGCTGCCATTTCCCATAGTTACGTGACTTCGAATTATGCGATGCTAACAAAAGGAAGATCCTGTTCCTCTGAATCGGACTCTCATATCTACTCAAACAGTTCGGCAATGTCTATATCGCACTAAAGGTCGGTGAAACCGGAAGTCCTTGCAATCGGGTCAAGATCACGTCGGTACGCAGCAACCACACACCCAGAAGAGATGAACAGCCAAGTCGACTCCCCACTCGGACAGCTGGTTGAACTGTCCGGAGGATTGACCATGGCCGAGATCGGTTCCCACTCAACTCACACCACCCTTAGTGCACTGGACTCATTACCCTCGACTTTACCAATGGATAACGCGCCATCATCAGTTTCCAACGACTTGTCAAGCCGACCCATCTCCTCAACCCAGTCCGAAGACATGACTTCTCCATCGACTACGAATCCGCACCTCCCTAATGAGCTGATTATCCAAATCCTCCATCACGCTCTTCATCTCCGCCCCGGCTCATCCGTGCCACGACTACCTGTTTGCGCTGATCGATTTCAGAGCCATGTATCCCGCAACGGTCGCTTGGCTAGGTATCTGGTTATATCCAAATCACTATATCCCCTTGTTCTAGAGGCTTTCTACCGCGAGAACGAGTTTCTATGCGCCTCAGCCGGGAGAACTCTGAGGGCGTGGATGGAAGATAAGCCTAGGGAAAGTCCTGTCTTGCTGCCCCCGCCACATGCCAGACAGCATATTCGGCGACTGGAGTTGATGATCTCTTTGGAATACTTTAGTCGGGATTTTACCACTTCATACCAGTGGCAGACACTCGTCAAGCTTTGTTCTGGGAGGGCCAGACTTACTAGAGTCGAATTCTTGCGCTTGGTGATAAAAGAAGCCCCGGGAATGTATTGCGGAAGAAAAACTGCTTTAAACCAACTGAGAGTTGAGGGTCTTGTGATTAGGGCGAAGAAAGAGGTGGTCATTGAAGGCTGGAGAGCGGCAAAGCCATTTATCAAGGTGGAGGCTGAGGTCGTGAAATGGATATAACAGTACGTCAGGAGTAGAAGTCTCCCTCACATTATTAGCAGTCATAGGGAACTTCAAAAGTAAGCCAAGAGTCCTTCAACGTACTATCAGCGATCGATCATGCACCTAATGCTTGAGCCTGAAGACATACGTAGCAGTGTAAATCATCATATTGAAATATGTCACAATAGCCAAGAGGTACTCACAGTAATCACAAGCGACATTCACCATGCACAAAAGCATGTTGGAGAAGACAAAGAATCTCATTCTGCACTACACTATGGCAATGACCAAGCCAGGAGACGACAAACCCCACCAACCACCACAAACAATTCACAAAGCTGCCCAGAGTCCGCTCAGCATGGCGCTCCTCAAGTCGGAGAGGCCAGCCTCGACGGTGATGTTGAACTCATCACGAGCGCCGATCATGAAGCGAGCCTGATGGTAGATAGCGACCGCCGCCTCGGAGTCGGGGTTGCTGAAGATGGGAGTGATGTGAAGCTGAATCGTCCTCAGATTCTGCATGGTCATCAGATCAGAGAGCTTCCGCAAGGTGTGGGCACTGCGACAGTGCTTGAAGAGGTCGACAGTGTTGCGGAAGTATATCCTGTTGTCGAGGATGCGGTCGGGCAGTACAGTCGGCTCTCCTGCGTAGCTGTCGGTGAGGACAAGCTGCACCCGGATATGGCGGAGGGAGGGGAGGAGGTGGACAGAGGGCATGAGTGGCGCGCGGTGTGATGTCTTTGAGATGAACTCGAAATAGTTTTCTTCGTAGAAAACTTGGAGAGCGACCGCCTGGAACTGGCGAGAGACGACGCAGAGCTTGTGCAGTATGCACTTGTGGAGCATGGCGAAGCGGGACGCGTTGATTGGCCTGCCCCGAGGCGAGACCGTGGAGAAGATGAGTATGTTCATGAGAATCATCTTGAGGATTTCGTTGGGGAGGACAACGCTCTGACGAGGCGCGGGCGTCACCATTGTGATGGTGTTTGGAGAAGACATCGTGCTTGTAGCCGATGTGAGTGGAGGTGATGAGGAAGCGTGTTGTGTTTCGAGGTGTGTGAGGAGGTTTGAAAGTGCTCGGAAAAAGAAGTTTGAAGGCGACTTTGTACTGGAGAAGTGAGGAACTTTCAGGCTGAGGGAACTGAAGGGAGGCAGGGGGAGGCCAGTTTATATAGACAGAGGGAGACCCTCTAGCGTCTCCTCCAGAAGAACGGTACGCCGCTGAAGAAGAGCGAGGAAGTCTGAAGCTTCCTAATTCTGCAGAATGGAAGCATGAAGTCTGCGATGAAACCGGGCCCTTTCCCTATTATATGGCCTCTGATTCGTCCCGGGGCTGTCCATTCTGTGTCCTTCACCGTACTAGTAGCCTTCATATCTGACTAGACTTCTTCTTTGGGCTCCGATTGGCGGCAGAAAGGCTACCGGAAACCTTCTGGCAGTATGAATGCTGCCTTGGCAGTGAATCCATCACTAGTGATGCTTCTTTCAGCGACGATGGAAGAAGAACGAATCGAGTATGTCCAGGACTAGATCTAAAAGGGGTAGGTGGCTTCCTTGGATATCCGTACGAGTCCGGCGAATCAAGACACTTAGACGACGGCGTGGCTCTGTTGGTACCAAGTGAAAGGGTGAGGGCTACGATGGTGGAAGGCCGAAGCAATCGCTGAGGTAGAGGAGCCTTCCAAAGATTGGGAAACTGACTTCCAGGAGGCTGCGCACATCGATAAAGCTGTGCCATCCTGCAAGAAGAGCCCGAGTAGCGTCTGATGCCTTCAGTCTTGCCTTACTTGCGGTGGAAGTGCCTTGACGCTGGCTGGAGACAGCTATGGCGTTCGTTTGTCAGGTTGTTCTTTGCGTTGCACAGCTGGCTGCGTCCGCGGGGAAGCTGTTACCAAACACCGACCACCAATATCGACACCGATATTTTGGAGCACCAGCTGCACCCCCAGTTGACGAAGCGACAGCACAGGAAGTGAGCCGTACCCATCGCATACTTCTCACGAGACGAACCAGACCTTGCCCACAGTCGTTGCCGATGCAAGCTGCCGCGCCTGCTCCTCTCGAACCCCGACGACCCTCCCCCCTCTTCTCCGCAACGGCGGCGACAACGAGTCGAAGGAACTTGGACGAGATGACAAGAAGAAGACTGTCCGAACAACTGCACTGTGCAAGATAGGCCAGGTTACGAGACAAGAGTGGTGACTCCGTGGCAAGAAAACTCTTCAGCTTCGGCGCAGGAAGGTATCGCAACAAGCCAACGAGGAGGAACATGCAAATTGGCTGCAGAAGACAGCGCGACGGCAGCATGAAGGCGCCACTTCAATGCTCATCGAAAAGAGATCCAGAGAGCAGGCCGGGCACGGGCGATACCAGGACATCATGTAGGCAAACCTCGGCGGAGAAGAGCCATGTGGACCTGGAGATACATTAGTCGGTGGTCACAGAGGACGAAATTTGGCAGATCACGTTAGAATCATGGCAATATCATCAGAGACAACAGGTCGCAGTTGCCACGCTGCGCGGTAGGACACACATCAGCGGACGGGAAAGTCGAGGTCCAGGACGAGTGAGCGCATGGATGCATGGGCGCATGGCACGCATATGAACAAGCTCGTGGTCTGCGAACCGTACCTCGAACGTACCCCAGGATATACACTGCTACATCGCCCGTAGAGCGCATAACCTTAGGGTAAGTTTCGGTATCAGGATCGCGACACGTTGAGAACGAGCTTGTTCGTACTGTCGTGTGTCGAAATACCGTGAGAGGGACCTGTAAATATATTAGTTGACGTCAAAGAGTGCAAATTTCACAGGTCAATAGCAAGGCATAGAGGCAAGGTGTTGGTGTAGGAAAGATGGAGGTCCTAGGCAGCTGGGCAAGATTGAACTTCCGCCTTGGTCTGTGCACGCTAGCATGGTCATCTCCGTCGCCGGCCATGATCGCTCCCAGTCATCTCATGCAACCTTGGCAATTACACACCGCTTTCCATGCGCGAAATCGACAATCCATTGTGATATGCTATGACCAAGAGGTCCCATGCCAACATAGCCTCCTCGCAAGCAGAGCCTCCAGAGCGGCAGACGTCGTACGATGGGGAGCGTAGCGGAAGCCACGAGGACGGGGATGGCTCGTCGCTCAAGAAGCCGCGATCATTCATGGCGACCTTGGTATGTGGTCAAGAAATGAGATGCAGTGCTCTGCTGACTAGAGAAGGCTTGCGACATCTGCAGATCGAGGAAGACGCGCTGTGATGAAGATCGGCCAAGATGCGGCTACTGTAGGAACATGAACTTGGAGTGCACGTATCAGGCACCACGCAGTACGAAGAAAGACCAGTCATTGACTTTGGCAATTAATGCAATTCGAAGACTGGAAGCAAAGATCGAAGACCTGACAACGGCGATCAATACGCCCAAGCCGTCGTCTACATTACCACTTTCGCCGGCAGGGCCCATCAACGACCATCAGTCACCCCACACCATCTTCTCACAACCAAGTCCAGGATACCACGTCTCGGCGATGCCCTCTCACCACTCCCATAATGGCCGGCTAAGCATACACGACTTAGCAATGTCTCCACAAGTCGTGGGATCTCCCGCCAAAAGTCCCTTCCCCGTGATGGAAGTTCAAGGCGCAGTAAATCTTTCCTTCAGTCAACATCGTGTCGCACTCTGGCCGGCCATACAGCAAATACTCCCTAACGGTTTCGTCACTGTTCGAGCAGAGCTTCCGGAGGACTATATAGTCGATATTGAGAACCGGCGAGCGCAGCTGCCGATACATATCGATCGTCCCTACGGCACTGTCCCTGAGAGCTGGCTGATGAGCCTCCCGCAATCGGCTGTCAAAGGACTTGCAGATGCTTATTTTGCCGTCTTCCACCGTAACATGCCAATCCTCGACAAGTATCATTTCTTCTCGAGCACACTAGGCACAGCTATGGAGAACGAATTCGGGTACGACGTGGAGTCTGCGCTGGTACTCAACGTGCTTGCCTTGGGTTGCTTAGCTGTCAAGGCTCACGAGGAAGGCGACTTTGCTCTTCCCTCGCGCCACTCTCCAGCCAGACGTGGCTTCGTACACCCGGATTGGTACGAACTCGTTGTAGATGATCCACCGGGGCTCAAATTCTTCAACGAAGCAAGGCATCGCTTCGGCTTCCTCATGTGCGATAACGATGTTCAAGCAGGTCAATTTTACATGCTTTCGACTCTGTATTATGCTCAGATTCTCCGGCCTCTCGATTCTTGGACCACCGTGAACAGGGCGGCCCTCTGTTGCGCTAGCATTCTCACCCGCACGGGAGCGATTGACTATGACACATGGGAGGGCGATATGTTATCACGACTGTTTTGGTGTACTTTGATGTACGAAACAGTCATCACACAGGAACTGGACCTACTTCCGCATAGCGGCCTATTAGACTACGAGCCAGATACGCCTCTACCGAAGTTTACCCAATGCCCACGGCCAAAGACGTCCATATCGGGACTGCTTACCGATGAAGAGGACTCCTTCTTCAACTTCCACTTTCTCGCTCAAGCGGCCCATCGCATCATCCTGACACGCGTAAAGCAGAGCCTGTATACCTTTGCAGAGAAAGACGGTTACCCCAGCGCCAGTTTGACAGCCGAAATGCATCACCAACTAGAGCAGTGGCGCGCAAACCTCCCTCCGTCGCTTCAGTTCTCCGACACCGACAACGCCAGTGACTCACCCAGCCCTGCACACGTCATCGCGAAGGCCATGCTGCGAAGCCGCTACCTCGTTGCAAAGTTCCACATTGGCCGTCCGTTCCTCTACAAAGCGCTGCATGCACCAGCATTCACCAGTGATGCAGAGTACAACGAGGTGCGCGAGGGTCTGCGCGGTGGCATGTTTTGGCCAACTACCATGGGTCTTTGCACGCAAATGTTGTCAGCTCTACCAATCAAGTTTGGGTGGTGTTGTCAGTGCTTTGGACAGGTGCTATTGTTTCACGCCGTAGCGCAGTCGCCGGACCCAAGATTACGAGAAACGCTGCCGGAAGGATGGCGCGAGTGGGTAGGTATCATGATGACCCTGATCGAGAGTTGTGCGAGAAGCAGTCCTGGTATTGCAAAGGACTACGAGCTATTGCGCTTGTTGGACGCCTAGCTCCAGACGTGTAGTATGGACACGCTCGCGAGACTCTACAGATTGCTGCTGTAACGTCAGTGTAGTCCGTAGGTATACAGTCAACATGATTAAATTCATAACGAGTTCGCGTGAGACCCTGCGTCACGCTGCCAGACGTAACACGGTACCACAGATACTCGAGCCAGGCTTTTGTCAGCCGTCGTCGTCGCATTTGGGCACTCAACGTACGACTAATTCTGCGTTTCAGCAAAAGTCAATTGCGAGAAGGTCGAGACGAAGGAAGACACGATGAGCCTTGTTTGCGGTTTCTGGGATGCTCATGTCTTATGCTCCGACTGATGGTGATGTTTCAGCACCGCCGCACCCGTGTCGATCCTGCCATCTACAGCCGAGTACGAGAGGCTTGCGTGTACAAAGTGGCTACTAAGCTGACTATCGTAAAGGCGCATGCGGCACCGGGTCGTTGGTCTAACCAGTGCACGACACATTGCGCACAAGAACCAAGTTGTGAATACATAGCATGCCAATGTTTGCATCTCGAATACCCTCATCGCAGTCCCACACGCGTCGACGGGGAGGATAGCACAGCCACAGGGCGCGCATCCCAGATCTCGGCGTTTCAGCCTTCCAGCCCTCTCCCGGCGCGGCAGCTAAGCCCAATCAGACGGTAGTGGCCCCTGCATTGCTTAGGGATGGAAGCAAGGATCTACCGACTGACACAACTGCCACTAAACTGGGGGCGTGTCGGCCGCCTCCTTTGAGGCAGAGGGACACTTTGCTTGTCATCCTGCCTTTCTTACCACTCCTTTTTGGCACCCGGCGCAACGCTTCTCCGGTATCCGCATACCTTGTCATCTTTTGCATACACCACCTTCTTTCCGTGGTGTCCACTACGCGACGCACGCTTCATTGTTGAGATTCGGCATCTTTGGGAAATTATTGGATTGGACTGGACCAACTGGATCTGGATGCAAAAGAGCGAGGGCCTGATACTCGACTCCTACGCGCAGGCGAACTGGATCGCATTCTAGGCCTCTGAACCCCAGAGAACGAACCGCGACGATGGCCGACTACTCATACCAATCGCTGGCCAACATGGGACCACAAGGGAGATGGCGGCGTGTGCTGTTGATTGCCATAATACCCATGGCATTGGCTCTGCTTTATTTCAGCTCTCCTTCATACGTGCCGAGCAGTCTTCGGGCACAGTACGTGTCGCGATCCTTGATTATTTACAACAACTGACGACGAGGCGCAGATTCCCGCATACGCAAAACATTTCCCTCCCCAAAGACGACATCTCCATGGCGACGATAATAAAAGCACTCTACGGCCCGATATTACATCCGATCGATGCTGCCAACTTTACCGACGAGGACGGAGATATATACAGACTAGCAGGGGAACCGAAGTTCAAGAGCAAGTTGGGCAAGAAGGTGCTCATACTGGATATCGACAGTCGGCCGTTGACGGAAAAGGGCCAGCTCATGGACCCGCAATTGAAGTGGAAGGGCATGCGCTCGTTGAGTGCGGGCATGCTCGGGCATTACATGTTTGGTACGTTTTGGACCATACAGGAGGAGACATCCAGGGCCGTTCGGCACGTGGAGCGGACAACGAGCGACTCGGCTAACATCTGACAGCGCAAATACACGGCTACGATTACAAGTTCATCCGCGCACCCGATTACGCCGACCGGTGGGGCACCTGGGTCAAGGTTCCCATGATGAAGGAGGCGCTGAAGACCCACGAATACATCGTCTTCATGGACTCGGATGTCATGTTCCACTACCCCCATCTGCCTCTCGAATGGCTGCTCAACTACTGGAACATGACCGACGATACTCTCGCGATGATGTCCATTGACCCAAACGAACCGCAAAACTACGATGCGAAGGGCAACCGATACTTGAACACTGGGTTCGTGATCGCACGACAGAGCAAGAGGACACAGGAGATGTACAAGGCCTGGGCGGAATGCCCTTCTGAGACCAAGTACAAGGGCTGCGCGCACTGGAAGACCGATTGGGCACATGAACAGGCTGCTTTCGGAAACTACCTGCGCTACGACTACGACCGACCGGACGACATTCGCGTTCTCCCCTGCGTCGAAGCCAACGGTGCACCCGAGGCTGCGAACCGAGGCGGCTGCAAAGGCGTCTTTGTACGACATTTCTGGGTTGACAAGGGCCTGGTGGCTAAGAACCTGGCGGACAGCGTCATGCAGTACTTCCTACCACGATTACACGAGGCGTACCTGGGCTCAGCGAGCGAGCATATTGTCGACGCAAAGGGCTTCAAGCTCGAGGGCGCGGAGCTCATCGAGATGACCGAAGAAGAGAAGGCAGCGGCCAAGAAAGGACAGGGCAAGAACCAGAAAGATGAAGGGTGGTAGGACGACTCTGAACTTCGCAACGGCCTTTGACCCTCACCTCGCGCACGCGCATTGCATTTTATTTCACCAATCTTGCGCCATCTACCGCACGGCCTTTATATAACCATCATATACGCCGCTGCTATTTCATGGCAGTACTTTTCTGTCGGCGTCTACAGGCGTCCCATGTCTTATCGTTATGTCTTTGTACAGCGATTTTTCAAGCATGTTACATCATTATATTAGACTTGGGTGGGACGGGCATCAAAGACGGCTTTCCTTGATCATGTATGAGAATTGTTAGGCAAGAATAGCCACTTGGAATACCACCTCTTTTCACGTTGTCGATTGCGTTGAGCAAATACGTTGGTGATGCACAGGTACGTCAACGTCTTTTGTTTACTGATCTGTATCGCAGACATCGTGTGCCGGCCGCCCGGGTAGCTCCTTCCCTCTCGGCACCATGACGTGCGCAACAACCCCGGGAACATCCATGGATGACGACGATCGGCTGATCTCTACGAGCGTTGCAAAGACCTGGCAAGAACCACCAGCCTCGCGCAATACACCACTGCACGCGCTTTCTGCTGTCGCGATGCAGTGTCGCAAACGATGTGCAGTCGCATTGGTGCACTGCACCTCCCCCTCTCTTGTGCGACACCAACGATAACGAGCATATTGCGGCGTGGTACTTCAAGTGGAACAACTGGTTCGGGTTTAGATGTACAAATCTGCTCTGCAGCAGCCGACGTGAGGGGCGACGACATGGATGCATGCCATCTAGTCACGCTTGCCAGATCTCGTTCAGTCCGCAAGACCGGGTACTTTCCTCTGCACTTCACTTGGATGTCCCGTCGATGCAGACGTCATGAAGCATTCTATCGGCAGAAGATTGTTTGCAAGAAACAAAAGTTCCGGACACGTCGACAGCGGGCAGAAGCGGTCTGCTACCAGCTCCTCTCGTTCGGAGTCTGAATCATTGATCCCTCTTACACCCAAACCCGAGCCTCAAGCGATACCACAGAGCCTATTACCCCATACTCTCGACCAGCCGGCTCAGAATCTATCGCATACGACAACCATAATATCACCACAATTTCAAGGACCACGCATTGAGAAACCAGATCTTTGGCTGCTGGCCCTTGAGCGCTCTGGACTAAGCAATGAGCAGTCACTAGTACTCCTCAATCCGCCTACCGGAGGTGAGACCGAGCCATGGTCTCCAGTTCAGTTCGTGCAGGAAGTCAAAGATGTCACTCGCGACCGGTACGTTGAGTGCGAAAAGAGCGGATGATTTGCCAAAATTGGAGGATGCAAGGCCGTCATCAAACAACGGGCCGAGACGGTACTCATCGCCGTATTCGAGCTCAAAGATTTCGTTAGCGAAGGACCAAAGTACGATGTCACTGGATACGGTGCGACAGCATGATCTATCATCACCTTCGGCCTATGGGTAAGAACTGGTACTGGAATTGACTGCTCGTGATATTGGCAATGGACATTAGCTTGTGCAGAACGATCTCGACAGAACACAATCCACATTCGAAGCTTCCGCTTTCCTGGCGGATCTCCTTGCACGCTACGCTAGTATCCTCCTGTCCAGCAAAACCAGCCAGCAATCCTTTCCAGAAACTGAATAGCAATGTCTATATGGCCGCTCTTATTGTTGACCCATGCCACCAATCTGCTGAAAGACAAGTCATTCCATGTTCTTCATACCTCCACCACCTTTCTTCTGGTATTCAGGTTAAATTCTGAGCTTGACCATCTTGTGAATGGCGCCATGCATAGGGTCACTAGACCTGATCTCCGCGCTTGATTCATTCTCGAGCTTCAAAAGCTTTGGCTGCAGCACAACAGTTGCTTTGTTTGGCAGGTCAAGTAGTGCTCGTCGGTACTCATCGCTGTCACTGTTGATTTGTAAATGCAAGTGCAGAGAAGTGCTCAGTCGCACCGTCAATTCGGTGAGCTTGGGGAATCGAGTCTGCCAATCTTGCTCTCCTGCCTGCTGCGGCGCATTGGGAGTAGCAGCTTTGTGGGCAGGTCGAGGACGGAGAAGCACCAGCCAATCGTTCTCAAACGACGGCTCCAGGCACTGTGTCGCGTTGTCAATGCGACGGTACAACTCCAGCTGTATCACCAGTTTGCGAACGTGATTACCGAACACAAACGGAGGGAAACGCCACTTGTCGTCGGCGCCCGGGGTAACGTGCCCCCAAGACACGCCAGAGCGCCTAATGACAAAGGTGTTGTCGCTGTAGTACACTTGTGCGGCAAGGGCATGCATGCGCTTGTTGACGAGTAGCAAAGTTGGTAGGTTTAAACCTTCCTCGATGGCTTTGTGGTTCCTTGCCATGATGAATTTGTTGGTGCTGAGGGCGTACGTGAGGATTTGGACCTTGAGCTCATCGGGAAGGGCGTCGAAGCCGACGCGAGTGCCGCCGGAGGGTATGTTCTGAGTCATTGTTAGCTTTGGAAGAGGGAGTTAAACAGATGAGTTAGCCGTGAGGTTCGGCTTCTGGTGTGTTGTAGCAGAGAGAGAAGGAGCTGGCGATGTGAGTTGTTGACGTGCCAACTAGTGCGTGCGTCATTAACGCGCGCGCGACAGGTGAGAGCAAAAGGCTGCGGTGACCAGTACTTAGGCGGCAACCTCTGCGTTTGCTCCACATGCTCAGCTCGCAAGATAACGTCACCGTCGATAAGAAAAGCGGTGTCAGAGCGGGATGGGTGTGGCCGTAGACTTTGTTCGCCTCTCTTTTGCCTGTTCATATCAACCCAGACTTGGACTTAGTACGGACTAGAGCGATTAGCATGCTATTCATCACTCTTGAAGCGCCAGGTATGTCTCCTAAATAACAGTGTTACCTTCTGCTCAGCACATATGGCTACTTAAGACCTCATGCGTCTTCGTTGTCGTTGCCAGCAGCTTCCAGTGTTCAATGATATCGGCGTGCTTATTGCAATAGACACGCGCAATGCTATTGTGGCATTCCAGCGTCAGGTCAAGTTCCACCTCCTTTGCCTTGAACAACGTCTTTGTGTCAGCTAAGCACGCTCTCGTTTCCTCTATCAATTCAGGCGACATACAACAGTCTTCATCGCCTTCTGTTAGATTGTTCTCATCAAAGAAGTGGAAGCTGAGCTTCAGAGTATGCAGGTTCGTGAATCCAGTTTGCCAGGCATTGTCGTGGGGTGCCGTCATGAGCCATCTCGATCTCACGATTGGTAAAGGCAGACCCAGTTCGTTCGATTGTAATAAGGGCCTTGTTGCCTGCAGCATAAAGGCCAAGGGTTGCGAATTGCACAGTAGTATATGTTCCAGTCGTGAAACATCCATGGTGTAAGCCTTAACGGTAACGCGTAAGTGCCGAATCATGCTTGCTATTTCTGCAGGAGGGTAACGAAAGGTGACTCGTTGAGACGAATGAGACGGCTTCTCCTCGATACAGATTTCGAAGACATTTTTGTTGTAGTAAGCGGTCCGGGCCAGCCGGTACAGTTCCTTGTTCCGCACCTCATAGATAGGTTCCATATGTTTGCGGAAGATGACTGTATAGTTACTGTCTGGCACGGGGCTTTCAGGAATGTCACCAACGATAAAGCATAAGACATAAATTTTCAGCTCCTCGGGAAGGTGTGCCCATTGCCGAAGCGATGGAGACAATGTTGCTGTTGTGATGTCGTCTTGATCTTGCTGGGTCATTGTCGGCATATGACAACTTTGGATCTGGTTGTGACTCAAGGTCAATGAGCATATCTTATACCATAGCTAGAAGTTTGCTCCTGTATGTCAGCAGGGCATATAATCTGCGGAATGACTGTGACCAATCCGCTCAGACTTCATGCTCAATGTCAGCGACCCTTGGCACCCTATGTAGCCGCAAGCCACAGAAGCTGGCGACAAGCTCGATCTATGCCTGGTCAGTGCACGTTACGAGACAGAGGTTGACTGCTGTCTTACACATTGCTGGATTGTCTCTACGTCCTCCTTACTGACACCGATGCGCCTTGTCCCGCGCAAATGCCAGGCTGTCTCTCTCGGCAGATTTTGTATCATGATGCCGCTGAGTACGGTGAGCTCGGTCTCGACGTCGTTGAGGATGCTGTGATCGGATAGATAGAGGCCGTAGGTGATTTGCTTGCTCGTCCAATCTATACTGCGTTAGCTCAGGATCAGGAAGCGGCCAGGGGCTACATGCCGAAATCCTTTTGTGATGCCAACACGTTGTCGATGCCCTCCTGGTTGTGCTGGTACAATCGACCTTGCCATGCTGCACCACGTTTTGAGTTCGCTTCGTCACACTGCCATCCCTCTCTGCTTGCTGTCAGCTTCCGCAATCGCCTGCTGACGACGCACGACTTCATACCTAGAGAATGTATAATCCTTGTCCTCTGGCCTCGTGATGGCGTCGATGTCGAAGATGGCTTCCAACGGCTTGCACACGCCCACGATGACGATGAGCTTGAAGAGTGTCTCTCGTATCCTCCGCATCAACGCCTGACGCTGTTCGGGTGTTTGGCATTCGGGTCGCTTGATGAGTTCCTTGTAGAGCAGAGGCGCGAAGCCCGGCTGCCCGCCGCCGACCATCGCCGCGAGCTATAATGGCTTAGTCAATGCTCTCGTCTGTGTATAAAAGACATACCATACCAGAAGAACATACCACTTGTCATCTCCAAGTGACTGCGATGGGAACTTCTCCTTTATGGCCTTGAACAGGGCAAGAGCTTCGTCATCGGTTGGGTCGCGAGGTATCGGGATAGTAGTGGTCGACATGGTGTTATTCGTGCGATCAAGGCGGAGTTCGAAGTAGGATGTTGCGCCTTGCTGGATGGTTGCTGGCTGTCGTCATTGCGTGTTCCGATAGTCGGGGTGGACAAGTAGGACCGATCGCGACTGCGACGCGTCTTCGGAGGGGCGCGTCGCGCTAAAGCGGGGTAAACCTCCACCCATCACCACGCCCCACGGAGAAACGCGTCTTTCCCCGGGGGCAGCCTTTTCTCTCAAACAACCCACATACACACGAGAACAAGGCTGGAATATCTGAAAACCAGACTGGGTGGTATACTCATTTTGGATCAAACATGAATACAAGCGCTTCGTGCTATCACCTTCCCAACAACAAGCCCAAGACTGTCATCATCACAGGCGGCGCAAACGGCATCGGCGCCAAAACAGCCCGTACCTACCATGGACATGGCTGCAACATCATCATAGCTGATCTCCCTTCCTCCAATGACGCTGCCAATGCCCTCATCGCATCTCTCACAGAACCTTCACGGGCCCGTTATCACCCCACAAACGTCACGAGTTGGCCCGACATACAAGCTCTGTTTCGGGAGACGAGAAAGGCATTCGGTCAGATAGATATCGTTATCTCGAATGCAGGCATCATGGAAAGTAAAGGTTTCTTCGACTTCGAAGAGGACGAGCATGGCGACTTGATGGAGGCGACCGAAGCTGGCAGGGTCATCGATATTAATTTGAAGGGCACCATGAACAGTGAGCGATGGTACCTCGCTATGTCTCTCCTCATCGATCTCTAACACTAGATAGCTCTCCGAATGGCTATGCATTCCATGAAATCAAACCCACCGGACGCGGACGGTGCACGAGGCTCTATTGTACTTATCGCCTCAACGTCCGGATACTTTGGCGGGACTGGAGTAGTTTCATACATTTCTTCCAAGCATGGCGTTGTAGGCTTATCACGAGCCTCACAATCCGTTGCCCGACTGCTAGGCGTCCGCGTCAATGTTGTTGCACCCTTCTTTACCCCTACGCACATCACCTCGGGTTACTCGGAGAAGTGGAAAGAGAGTGGTCTACCTGCGAACACAACCGAGGACGTCGCTATTGCCATCGTGTCTACAAGCGTGGATCCTGCAAGACAGGGTCATAGCATGATGGTGAGTTGCGATGACTCGACATGTAGCGAAGAAGTAGTGCTGATTGATTCATAGGTTGCAGGCAACTTGGTAAGAGAGATCGAAGAACCAAGAACGGCATCAACGAAAGATTGGTTAGGAAAAGAGATTTCTGACATTATGGCGAGAGGCGGCAAGTTTTCCAATGATTTGGGCGGTTACACGCTGCCCCAAGCACGATCTTGAGAGCTTTTGCGGGCTTATCTCACGGCCCACCTCATACAAGGCAAAGCTGAACAGGTCTACAGGCTACGTTCAACCAAAATCTTGCAAAGTAGGTGACCTAACGTCAGCCTATGCTCTAGGGTGTTCAGCTTCTCCTAGGTTGGCGTGGGCCCGTGATTTAGTGAAATCTCGAGCAACATGCTGGCTGCCACCGCAAGTCTGCACTGATGTTATACCACTCACTCCTACAGGCTTACTCTTAATCCCAAGCAACTATTCCCTAGAAACTGTTTCCACTGCACCACTATCGACTCAACCAACCCGGCCTCCCCGCATTATGGAACTAAAATTGGTCGTTCAACCCAAACGCTCTATCAAGCGCTTTCTCGCTCGCTTCAGTCTTCCCGGCATCAACAGATTGAAGAAGTCGATTCGGTCCAAGCGCTCCATCGATTATTTCCTAGCTCTTCCAGATGAGCTTAAGTTACAAATTCTGCGCCTAGCTCTACCCAATCGACAAAAGTTTCGTAGGTCGTGTCACTGTCGAATCCGCGAGTCCTATACGCACGATGGACTCGCCTGTTACAAAGACTGCTGGCTAAATCTTGTGCGTGCAATCCCTGGGATGGCCGGAATGATCTATGAAGTTTTCTACGGTCAAAACACCATGGTCGTCTGCAATCCTTTTGCGATGGAGAATCGCGCTTTTCCGCCGCACTCAATCAACATGTTTGTTCGGCATCTCCATATTAACATCACACTCACACTCAAGAGTCTGAACTACATATCTCGGCTAGCTAATGGCGATATGGGGTTTCCAGATCTACGCTCCGTGGAGATAGACATCGATGGTCGTGTTTTGCCGTACCTCCGATCGTCGGTAGAGGCAACCGAAACACTGGACCTCACGGACGACCAAAATGAGTTCCCGCCCGCAATCGAGGAAATGCGACACTCTCTCAAAGCTATGGCACCAATGCTTTTCCACACGCAGAAACTAAAGATCACATACAAACATGCCTGGCTTACTGTCACGGACCCTGTATTGATATGGATACGCACCCAAGTCTGCGATCCTGTGGAAGAGCTGCTATTGCAAAAGATTGCGATAGCTGAAGCTCAGAACAGCGATGCGAAGTTATGTCGATACTACCGCTCCGGGGAATCGCCTGAATCAGAGAAAGAATACGTGGATACGTGGCCCGAGAGAGAAGCGGTGGGTATACCTTTGTCTGACCGTGGCTTCGGGCGCACTTCAATCAAGCTTCTGATCAAGTAGATGAGAAGCTGAGTATAGATTTTGAACCGAAGTCGGCAGTGAGGCAATACCCCTGTTCGTTCTAATATACCTACACACCGCCTTCGGTAGATAACTGCTGAGCTTGAAAAAGTATATATAACAACTCATTGGGTTCGTGATAAGAGTCACTGAATTGCCTCGTACGGGAACGGTCAAATAGTCTGTGACGACTTTGAATACCTCTAATTGGATTTTGACACCTCATATCCGGTTTCATGCTCCGTAGCCCTACAGTCATGACATCGAAGTATCGTCGCCCGCGTCTCTCCACGAATCGCCTCATTCAATAGCAACGATGAGCTATCTGACTTGGAGATGTGCTCGCCCTACTTAATCGTTATCTGTAACACATGGGTGTACTCGAACAACTCGCAGACCGGCCCATAAGGCCACACCGCGTCTTCGTCACCTTTCAGTATGGAGCCATCTTTGTTCCTATAGCAGCTATACCTCTCCGAAACATCCTCGTTTGTTCTTCCCTCGCTTAGGCTGATCTTGCTCAGTATTTTGTTTGCGAATGCACCTAGTATGCTTGCTCGACCCGACAAATCTCTCCAGCTGTCTCTGTAGCCTACGTTATCAGCATATGCGCAAGATACTGAGATGGTCTTGAAAGGGAATATGATAGACTCCATATTCTTTAAGACCACTGCGACATGCGGTACTAGAGGCTCGCTGGACCGACGTGTTAGGAGTGTAGGTTCTGTCGAGATGACTTTCATCCTTGCGGCCGTAAGTCTGATATCGATTTCGACGAGCTTCTCGAACCCAAGCTTCCCCGTCGCTAGCTGGCGGAGAAATTGTATACCCTCCTCAGTCATGTGTATGCGCACGCATAGTCGCGGAATTAGCGCGTTTATCCACCCCGGAGGGTATGGTATGCCGCCACGAGGAGAGGTCGTTATTAGGATCTTATTCTGTTTCAACAACACGTCGTATACCAAATACTTCAGTTCTGGAATGGCCATCAAGAGTGGCAAGACTTGTTTCGCGAAATCGAAGGTATGGAGCTGATTTCTCTCGAAATCCGGGCGAACAAAGAATTTGTTGGAAGGCAGGTACTCAGACAGTACCATCAACTTGATCTCGCCCGGTAGAGCGAGGAGAGGGGGGCGTGAAGTGGTAGTTTTGGGCATTGCCTCGACCGGTAATGTGACGAGACTGGAGCACCGATTCTGCTGGGCTTTGATGTCTGCTTGCTCCGTAGTATCGTCGTTTTGCTTATTCTTGTTCAGGAACTTGAGATTAGAGTTGATAGTTGGGTTGGTCATTTGTGAAGAGAACAAGCAACGCAATGGTGACCAGTCTTATACTAAGGGCGGTTGAGGAGCGTACGAATTGCAGTAATACTGAGGAGTACATTGACGAATCTATTTGGCGGGTCGTAGCTGCACGGTTGTTTAGGCTCCCGCGTTGGCAACTACGTACTGGCTCATAGCACCTAAGCAGGGACTCAAAGAGACACTGAGGCAGACGCTCATCCAAAGCGGTTCTAGCGTAATAGTGAATGCGATGCGCGGCCAATACCGCCTACACCGTTGTTGCGAATGTCCATGACCCGTGATGGTGCGATAATTTTACGGACGTGTGGTCGCCTTTGATCGTATCGGTTATGTCGCGGGATTTGCGCACTGAATGACCGATGCTATTGGGCGATGTGTAGGAGTAATAGACTTCACGAGGCGATCACAGGGTTCATTTTCGTCTTAGTAATCCTCGAGCGAGCTTTGGCCCGGTGACGTTTTCTACAACCCTCGGCAACACCCACCTTCTATAATCTGTCCAAACGCCAATTGAAGCCTCACGACAGAGTATCTACACCATGGCGTCCTCAAGACTAGTTGCTCGCTCATCGCGCGCTCTCCTCTCCCTCCCGCGCACCCAATGCCGCACATTCAGCATCTCCACCCTCCGTAGCAATGAGTTTGAAGCTCTCAATAAGCGCACAAACGACACCTCCGAGACGTACCGCAAATACCAGATCGAGAGACCCCTGAACCCTCACCTGACCAACACCACATCTACCATTGCCAATGAGATGCCTTCAATTGGCAATGACGCAGCCCCGCCCGAGTTGATCACCAACGCCGACGCCAAATTCGCACCCAAGGATTCTGTGCCCGAGAACACCGAGCGCATGACAGGCGGTACACAGGGCAGCAAGGATCAGGACGTCAGCGGAGCGAACAGCGAACTGGGTGTTGGCGAGATGGAGGGCGCCAAGTTCAAGGTCGAACCTATCCGCAGGACTGGCGAGGACGCGAACACCATGCGTGCGAGGTTATTATGTCCGTTCATACACTGCCCATTGCCTATTCCCCATGAAATGCACGATTTGGTGACCAGGACGAAACATGGCTAACGCACAATCAGATCAGAGCCGCAAGAGGGGAACCCTAGAAAGTGATCTCCTCCTCAGCACCTTCGCCGACGCCCACCTAAGCACCATGTCTCCCTCCCTGATGCAGCAATACGACACCTTCCTCGACGAGAACGACTGGGATATCTACTACTGGGCGACTCAAGAACCCACACCTACGTCTCACGAGACAGCTGAGGGTGGTGGCGCTGCCATGTCCAACCCCAATGCGCAGGGCATGGACGCGACGGCACAGACGAAGCTGCCCGAGAAGGACGAGCGCAAGAGACAACCTGGAGAGGGCGAGTGGGCGCAGACTGTTGGAACTTTTAAGCCTGCGTACAGGCCTGTGCCTAGCAGGTGGAAGGGCAGCGAGATTCTCAGCCTGCTCCGGAAGCACGTCAACGAGCGCAAAGCGGGAGGCGTCATCGAAGGCGAAGGCACCACAAAACAGGAAGGAAAGGGTCTTGGCATGATGCCTGAGATCAAGAACTTCGACCAGTAAAGCAGAAATCGCGCCTTTGTCACCATCTCCTGTATAAATAATGCCCACAACTGCCCCTATGCTTTCTCTCCTGCACGTCTTCGGTCTGTTTCACTCACAGACCATTTGCGCACTTCTTCCAGCATCCTTGTCACAATCGTGCCACTTTCAACATGAACAAACCCACCCAGACAAAATACCATCCCCAAACCTCTTTCCAACACTACGAGCCCAATAAGGCACTCATAAGCTACTTGTTCCGGAACTCGTTCCTCCGCCCGCTCCCACGTGTTCCGCGGCATCCTAGGCTAGATTTCCTCCGGGGCTTTACCCCGGCCAACTTCCCCACACGGCAAAGCTCGCCTCGGTAGTTCATATGTTTCGAAACTGCGCTTTGTATAGTGGCACCGGGTGTTATTGGAGGAAGTACTATTGTTTATGCATTTTGTTTAGTGTTCTGGTGTCACGTTCAGATGCATACAGCTAACGGTGCAAATTGGAGGAGGGGATGCGTTTCCACATGTAGAGGTTTGTCCGTACTTCTAAAACGCCGTTGATCAGTAACAGGTTGCGGGATGTTCTCTGGTATATAGCTGCTGTCTCCTTGGAAAGGTAAGGGGCATCTATCTCGGTATCGATCACTCTCCCTCACGATGCGGTTCACAGCCCTCCTCCTCTTTGCCAGCACAGCACTCGCAGCGCTCCCCTACAAAGGTGCAGACTGGTCCTCCCTCCTGATCGAAGAAGCAGCCGGTAAAAAATACAAAAATGCTGCCGGCACCGTCCAGCCCCTCGAAACCATCCTAAAGAATAGCGGCGTAAACACCGTGCGCCAACGGATCTGGGTGAACCCGTCCGACGGAAACTACAACCTCGACTACAACATCAAGCTCGCGAAGCGCGCCAAAGCAGCCGGCCTAGGCATCTACCTCGACTTCCACTACAGCGACAACTGGGCGGACCCAGGCAAACAAGTCGTGCCCGCAGCGTGGAAGTCGCTGAACCGCGAAGCTCTCATCAAGCAAGTCTACGACTACACGAAGAACGTACTCAACACCTTCGCTACCAACGGCATCGCCCTCAACCTCGTCAGTATTGGCAATGAAATCACACCCGGACTCCTATTTCCCATCGGCCAGCTCTCCGGCACCGATGGACCGAAGAATGTCGCTGCCCTGCTCAAATCCGCATCCAAAGCCATCAAAGAATCGACGATGAGCCCCAAACCCAAGATCATGATTCATCTGGACAATGGCTGGAAATGGGATACGCAGCAGTGGTGGTACGACACCGTGTTGGGCTCGGGCGGCGGGCTATCGGCTGCAGACTACGATGTTCAGGGCGTGTCTTACTATCCGTTTTACAACAGTGCTGCTACGCTGTCTGCGCTCAGTACCAGTTTGAACAACATGGCGAAGAAGTATGGCAAGGAGGTTATGGTTGTAGAGACCAACTGGCCGAGTTACTGCCCTAACCCGTCGAATGCATTCCCCGCGGACGTGAAGAGTATTCCGATTAGTGTGGATGGACAGACGCAGTGGATGAAAGAAATTGCGAAGCGTGTGGCTGCTGTGCCTAATGGCAAGGGTACTGGGCTATTCTACTGGGAGCCGGCTTGGATCGCGAACCCTGGGCTGGGCAGCAGCTGTGGATGGAATTTGATGGTTGGTGACGATGGCAAGGTTATGAGTAGCTTGGCTGTGTTCGGCAGCATATGAGCGACACCGCCGTTCTCCCGATCACAGTGGAGCCTACATCAATGCAAAAACATGCAAAGTAGGTGACCTAACGTTAATGAAGACTCTAGGCCTGTTGAGTGTTTTTCTTGTATGAGGTGCGAAGCTGTAAATGTTGCGTACGTTAGAACTCCAAAGACACCACGTGTGGGACACTGTGACAGCCCCCACCTACACGTCATATTACATCAGCCCACCCGTGAATCAATATGAACAAGCAATACGTAAAGTCAAAAGATGTGATGGAGACAGCAGTGACGTCGATCAGAACATACTCGTGGTCAGAGCCATCTTTGATGTTTGGGGTGGTTTCATTTGAGTACATAGCAGTAAAGCAGTGCAGACTCCTTGCCCTCCCGTGTCAAAAAAGCAGCCCAGTCCATTCCGAATGTGCAAAGGAAGATGTGTCAGGGTTCGTCATGGCATCATATCCTTCCGCTAAATGCCTTTTCGTAACCTCATTGCGCCCGCAGCAAAGTATCAACCTACTGCTCCTCAGAGTAGCCCTCACCACCAGCTGGCTGGGCCTCGCCCTCGCCCTGCTCGGCCTGCCTGGCCTGCTCCGCAGCTTGCTGAGCAGCGATGGCCTTGGCACCGTAGTCTTGCGACATGGGCTGGACAACGGGCTGCTCCTCCTTGGGCTCGATGATGGTAACGGAGTCGGGAAGAGTCTTGGATGGGCCGGCCTTGCCCTCGGGGTCGGATCCGCGCATGATCTTAACCTTGATACCGAGCACACCCTGGCGGAGCAGGACGTGGCGGGTGGCGTGGTCGATGAAGTCCTTGGCAGGCTGACCGGAGTGGATCATGAAACCGTCCTAGATAACGTCAGTATGTCATTGCGATGCGTCCGACGTGTGTGTACGTACGGTGAACTTCATGCTCTTGGCACGGGCGGCCCTGAGCTTTCCGGAGACGACAACCTCGCAACCCTTGGCGCCAGACTCCATGATGAACCTCAGCACACCGTAGCAAGCCCTTCGGACGGCCAAACCATTGAGAAGCTTGTATCGGAGGGACTCGCACTGAGCAACGGCGGAGAGACCACGGTTCTGGACCTTGGCGGCGTAGAGGGAGACGGAGTTCTCGGGGAACTTGAAACGCTTCTGGATGAGCGAGGTGAGCTCACGGATGCGGCGACCCTGCTCTCCGAGAACCTCCTGGGTGTGTGTGGCGCGGATGATGATGTCGGTGACGGTGGGGGTGACGCGGACCTCGACGCCGGAGTAGCCCTCCTCGGCCAGCTCGCGCTGGAAGAACTCGTTCAGCTCGGCGTAGAAAACACCGTCTGTGAGGGGTCATGTTAGCGACCGTTCTGTGTGCGCAATGTCCCGCGATCTTCGCATTCGACGTCCTAGGCTTCGCAGGCTCTTTGCCATGCAGCAACCCCAATCATCGCCGTCTCCTTCTATTCTCCGTCTACTGCGTGTGGGAAGGGTATATCGTACCAGCTACGAACTTTCTCCTCTTGGAGCTGCAGGCCGTCAGTACTCATTCCCGGTTGCGCGTCATAGAGGCGTCCGGATAAACTCACATGGTGGTTTGAGTGGTGGCCATTTTGTCGAACTTTGGAAGGGCGTATCTGAACTCCGGGCGTGGGTGTTCAGAAAGGTCGAGCCGTTGTTGAAGTCGTAGTTGATGGACTTGGGAATCACAATATTAAGCGAGTGGTGTGGACTGACGCTCGGACCACCTCCATCACCGACCATGATTAGACAGCCCCTCCCTACCAAGAACAGCAGAAACAGATACCGTACTACACTATCTTTCCTTTCACATGTATTACCCGGTCAAGTGAAGAGTATTCTCCAGTATCTCCCTCGCACGAAGAGGCGCTTTCGGGGTCTCACGATTAATGAATGTCAACGCACGTAGTTCATGTAGGCCTGATGCAAAAGATAATATTCGATGCCCGCGTAGAAGAGCTTACCCTGCGCCAACCAACGCCAATCTCATGCACAGTATATACAGTATTCCTCGAACTCCTTGCTTCCATTCTTCTCCACAGACTAAAGGTGCTCGATCGGACCTTCAGGTAGCAGAGGCTCAGCCTTCCTCTCAACACACGCCTTTAGCGGTGGGCGAATGAGGTCGTTGAACAAGAACGTGCCGTACACCAACAAAGCGAAACCTGCAACCTGGAGCCACTTGAAGGTCTCCCAGCCAAGGCCAAGCGACACAATCCAGATGAAAAGGGTGCGGCAAGTATCGATGGTCGAGCGCGAAGTGGCAGAGACGGTGCGAGTCACGGATAGACCGAAGAAGTTGAAGCCACTGTGGCGGGTCAGTAAGAGATAGAGTGAGGGAAGAGGTTGGAAGACATACCCAATGCTGATCATAATCAGCACCGACGATACTGCGATAGCGCGGTAGTGCGTCATCTGGTACAATCCCTCTCTCGCGTTGAAGTATCCAGTTCCAATTGCGAAGTGTAGGATGATCATGCCAATGAGCGTAACCAAAAAGCCGAACACACCTTCCCAGCCGACAACCTTGATCGGCTCCATGGCGTACTTTTCCATAATCCTCTCTTCGAGCACGAACTGCGTCGCGGTGAAGATCTGCGCACCAGCAATGAGCAGTACACCGATGATGGTCATGGCAGCTTGAGTAGTAGCAGCCTGCGCACCAACGGAGCCAGTGGTATCATCGTGAATGGATTGGTGCCCTGGCGATGCTTTGTCGTCTTTGGTGATGGCGCCTGCGAGTCCGACGACCGCTACACCAGTCACGACAACAAAGAGCGAGAACCACTTGTAGAGCCCAAGATGGCGCTTGAGGAACCAGACACTGAATAGACCGACGAAAAGTACCAGAGCGCCTCTAGTCATCTGGTAGATACTGGCTGCGACAAACAGCAGACCAACGTTCATGAGCGTTGTTCCGGCAATGTCGCAGCATGCTGGGAGCGCCAACAAGAAGATGCTACGTCCCTCGAGTGGTATCCTGCCCTCATCATCGGGATGCGCAGGCTTCAGCGGGTTGGCAACAGCGCCGGTCTCGCTATCATCCGAACCTGGTGTGGCAGCTCCATCGTTATCCGGAATGGCCTCGTAGCCTGCCTTCGCGCTCGCGTACCGCTGGTAGAGGGTGAATAGGCCGATGACGAGCCAGCAGCCCATTTCACCCACAAACATCTGTAGGGTCTGAAGGACGGGCTGTTCGAAGTGCTGGCGGTATTTCGGCGAGGGAGAGTCGCAGTTGTCGACGCATTGCATGTCCTGGTCGCGCGCAGTCAGTACCAGACTTCCAGCGAGTCGGCTGTGTGGGAAGGTTCACATACTTGGTACTTGGTCAACAGTGTATTACACACACCTGTCAGCAGCATCATGGCCACCAGGAATGGCACTGCAGCTTTGACTGCCATGGTAGTGATGAGTCGAGCTCCCGGAGCTCAGCGACGCTTATCGGACGCGGTGTCGCAAGTGATGGATGGGGTATGGACAAAGAAGTGTCCAGTGTCCAGATGAACCTCAGAAGAGATGAAGGCAGAACAGAGTATAGATAGATGCAGCGACAGCAAGGTACTAGGCAGCTCTGAGCTGCGACCCGTGATGACTGTCGAGTGAGGCGCGTGAGGCTATGTGACGGGTGATGTAGCAGCTGCCTCGGCGATAAGAGATGGCGCTAACGCCTGCGCGTTCTCGACGATCCCTGGACGGAAACACCCTTGCAGCTGCGTCTCGTGCTGCAACTCGCCTTCATTCTTGCATCCACCTCATTCAATGAAAATTTGGAACACAATGGAGCCTACATCAAAATGGAAACATGCAAAGTAACTGACCTAACGTCAATGTAGGCTCCAGACCGGTTCGAGTCCGCGTTGATCCTCACAACCTGTCTCACACTGGTTTGGATGATGGTGACGCGTGACCATGTTGGTCACGCCCGTGCTGGAGGAGCTTTCCCGCTATCGGATCAATGCGCGGCTCGCGTGTGTTTCTTTTTGAAGACGCAAACATGGATTCAAAGGGTATCTAGATCTATCCAAGGGCATGCGCTTGTTGCAAAAGTGACAAAGTCGGCGTATTCAATCCAAAAGAAAGACACTTTTTGAGCAGCCTCAACTTCATGCCCACCCTACAAGAACCACCTGAACTCTGGGTTCTTAGGTCCATCCCTGAGCTTCTCAGTCGATACATCCCTTGCAGTGTGATTGACGCCCTGCTTCGCGTTTCTCCTCTTGTTGTCTACAACCATATAAGCACCTAGCAGCGCGGCACACACACATCCAGTCGCGCCAAACGCCGCAGTAGTGGCCAGCGCGGGAATGTACTCGGGCGCATCCTGCGGCCTGAAGATGTTGGAGCTGACCACACCCATCAAGTTCGCCAGCGGCACACCAACGGAAGTAAGGGTAACACGTCGGTTCTCGTCGGCGACGTTGTTGTTGTACCATGTTGAGAGGAGGACAGAAGGTGCGGATGTTCCCCAAGTCATCATGAAGCAGGCGAAGTATGCGACGGTAAGGGAGTGCTCCACGTCGATAGTGGCGTAGATGATGAAGCCGATGAACGTGAGCAGGAAGCCGAGGGCGATGAAAGGGAAGCGGAGACGTGTGTGATCGGAGGCAAAAGCCAAGATAAGAAGCACGACAGCTCCGACGATGTTGGGCGCAACGGTGTAGAGGTTCGTCTTAATCTTATCGTAGCCAAGTCGCGCTACAATCTGGGGCAGGAACAACGATACAGACTGTAGTGGTACACCCAGGCAGACCTCAATAGCGAGGAAACCGTAGGTCGAGGTCTCCTTGAAGATCCCAAGCGCGTCCTTCAGATCGAACTTCTGGTCGACGACCGATGAGGAGTCAATCTGGATACGGGTAAACGCGAGCTGCTTTTCCGATTCGTTGAGGAACTTGGCTTCGAACGCGTTCTTGGGTAGGTACCAATAGGCGAAGAATGAGAAGCAGACTGTAAGCGCTCCCTCAATGATGAACAGATAGCGCCACGAGTCGAGCTTCGATTCGATCTGGAACACGCCAAAGGCGAGAAGGCCTGAGAATGCGTTCGCGATATTGGACGCAGCGTAGAACAGGGCTAGTCGCCTTGCAAGCTCGCCTCGGCGGTAGAAGGTAGTCAAGTAATAGATGACAAGCGGGAAAAAGGCGGACTCAGCCATACCTATATACTGTTAGTCATATACGTATTCGAATTCTCGATGCAAAGACTCACCCAAGAACCATCTCAAAGCCATCATTCCACTCCAGTTTTGCACACTAGAAGCAAGCAGCGTTGCACTACCGAAGCAAAACATCATAATCGGCAGCACGCGATGCGGTCCGTACTTCTTTCCGAGCATACCAATCGGCGGCGCAAAGATAACGTACGGTACGTAGAAGATACTCAGCATGATGTTGTACTGGTTCCCAACAAAGCCAAGGTCCTTGTCCATGTTGTCCGTCTTTGCGTTGCCCAAGTTACCCTTGTCGAGCGCGTTGAAGAGGTACATGACTGCCAGCATGGGCAGTATCCGGAGGTCGAACTTCCATGTCAAAGCCTTCTCGTGCTCGTATATGGGTAGGTGTTCGGTCGTGCCTTCGACTGGCACGGGCGCATTGGCATCTTTGGAGGAAGAGAGGGATGCCGTGACTTCAAGACCGTCTTTCGCAAGTTCGGGATCTTTCTTTGTCGACATACTGACAGGCCGAGAGTCGAGAAAGCGTTGTGATATCGTTGATGCTTGACCAAGTCCTAGCTTGGAGCGACGCGATCGAGCTGCGCTTCTTAGGCTATCGTGAAGGAAGGTGCAATGCGACTCAACGTCGAACGAACCAACTGCGTCCACAAGCTTAAGTACGATCACCGCAAGCTAGCCTCTCCGATTATAAAATCTGCAAGAAATGCACCCATTCCGTGGAGTTACATGCGGCCTGAGGCCAAGCGCTGACGCAGCCGTTTATCCAGCCGTCGCACGGTGGTAGCGAGTGCAAGGTAACATTTCTCCGCTGTCTATCTCACGTCGCGCATGGTCCTCCTGATAAACTCCCTGCTCTTTCTGACCAATACCCATTATTTCGCCTCGTGTCGGGGCATACGTCCGGGGTTTGAGTGGTTCGGCAGCGATGCCTGTACGGAGGGATCGGCATGGAGGAGTGGAGGGGTTCATCCGAGATACCAGATACGGCATGATAAGAAAAGGCCCGTCACCATGCGGTATCGGAAGGATCCGCGAACATTGCAACTGACATCAAACCTGCGATAATTTATCGGTGTACCTCTCGTATTCAGCTTTGCCGTACATGTACGATTATCGCGAAGTCGAGTAATCGTTTCGTCGTGCTGTCGTCTGCTGCTAGCGGAGGTGGAGTGGAATTCGGGGTTGTTCCCCGCAATGAGTTGCGGCCTGTCTTCCCCACTGCTATAACGTACTCAAAAGCCACCCGTTACTCCAAGTAAGAGACACCGGATATTGCATGCAGTACTTAAATGTTTTTTACACTTGACAGCGGGCCCATAGCATTCCGACGTACGAATATCCAGCCAACGCTGGACGCAAGGAGAACTAGACCAGCCTAATAGTACCAGGTTGAGACTCGAAACAAGTAACAACTTCTTCGGAGAGGTAGAATTGACCAATACCAATTCTTTCGAACGTCGGAATGTCGTCCTCAGTAGGATAGTCACTCTTAGCAGCATTGTGCTCGACCGAACGAAGACACAAGAAGGTGGTGATGTTTTTTAGCTCAAAATTGTTCACTGCCAGTTCAAGAAGCTCCACTTCCATCGCTCAGCCAAGCGTAATGTCGATATCGAACGACCAGTTTGAAGGAGTATAACTCCGACTCGTGCCATCATATTGTAGTATACTGCTCAGAACAACTAGAGAAGGCTTCTCATTCTTGAATCCCAGGTGAGCTGTTATACGTCTACCAGATATGATTATGGATCCAGCGTGAACTTCTCCAGTCGGATCCAGACCCTTTGGTGTGACGGAGACAGCCGCAACATGCGCGTGTCTTCCACGTTTCCCTCGATGCCTTTACCAGGCAACAAATCCATCACTTTTACGCGAAGCCCAAGACCAGCTAGGCGGTTGACAAAAGGGTGCGTTTGATGTATCCAGTCTTGTGTGTTACCATAGTAGATCATCCACTAGAGTATCCTCACACAACTCAACATAGTATGAGCAGTTCCGTACGAGTTGCATGGCCTTAGCGAGCCCTTGCAGTGCAGGCAAAGTATCGATTTGGAAAGTGAGGTGGAGCGTCGTGTAATAGCACACGAGGTTGCGCCAGTCCCTTGCCATTGACTCGATCTTCTCGCTTGGGATAGGGGCGCCCGATGCGTTCATCGAAAGAAATCCAGATCTACTTCCCCTCCTGAAGTCATACCACAGGGGAGAATTGATCGTCTTGCATTCGCAGGTCCCTTTATCTGTGTATACAAAAAAAATTCTTCATCAGCAAAATATACGACTCGTGGTGGTAGTAGACGCTCCTGCAAAGCCCGGGCTCGAGTCAATAGCGGCAACTCTGAGAGGCCAAATCCTTTATGCAGCAATGACCTACTGATGTGGATTGTATGCAATTCTCCATACTTGTCGCGTACTCTGTGAACATCAACACTTCTGTGGGTTTCTGCCGTCGTGTATAAGCCTCCGTTGCATTTGACGGACTTAGTCGCAGCCAGCGTAGATTGAGTTCGAATCGAATTATCAATTTAGAGACTTTGAGTTGGAGGAATCCGGGTCCTGTCAGGCTGGATGGTGGATGTTCAATCATCACATCGTACAAGATGGTGGGGTTAGTCGCTCCCAACATCTCAGCAGCACAATTCGCGACCCGGCAAATCGCACGTGACATCTGGCTCTGATTTTCCAAGGCTGCTCTCTATGCCAATCACTCCAAGGTGTCTTGATATGGGAAATATGACATCGGATTCAGAAGGGGTCCTTCGCCGTTAGCCTCAACCCCCTTCAATCTGATCATGCACAGTACCAAGGTATGATGGCTGGGCAAATCACTGACCAAGGCCTATTGCTTCATATCAATTCCGCTGCGCCGCCTTGGCTGTTGAATGCGGGATGGGGTTATGCGGGCGGTTATCAACGCAGGGTAGCACGATACGTTATCGGAGGACCCACAACCAAGCCTCTTCCGACATGAGCGCACGACAGCTTCCTGGATGCGGCAGCTTGACACGGGCCGTGTCTTGTTCGTAGATCATCCTGATAGCGCAACAACGTCTGTAGTTAGATCACTGATTGGGTCGAGACTTTCCAAGGGTTCGCACGGTGAGTGTACCAGAATATCGTCATCTTCATCGCGCGAGCTATGAGTACATTGCAGGCTCTTGGTTCGAGCGGACATGTTGTCTTCCGAGTCGTCTATAGTCGAGAAAGGAAATGTGCCTGCTGAAGCTCCGGAATACGTCTCGTGCATGATGACTGCCTAAGACGCAAAGACAGATTTGAGGAGAACAGAGAAGAAACGCAATCGGAATGGTACATCCAACCATAACATACAACGCCAGTGGGTATCCTGTAAACAAAGTGAGGCTTTTACTCGTGAACGCCTCTACCGAGTGCAGATAAGAAACTTTGTACATAAGGAAAAGAGAGACCAGACATTGTTGTCTTACGGGTTATGGGCTACTTCCTTTCCCTTCGAGGAGCGAGGGTGCAGGAAGTTAAGCCCGCCCTTGGCGACACCAGCGACATTGAAATGTAGAGGCTCCTTGGGTCCCTTCTCTCTGACCGGCATCTTACGCTTGGAGCGACCCGAGACGTACATTGGCTGCTGCGCATGGCCGTTGCCATTGACGTTGGGCATGCTCTGCTTCGATCGCAGCTTGGGCTTCTTGTCGCGATGCTCGTCATCTGTGGTCTCCGTGTCGAAGCTGCGAAGGCTACTACGCTCGGAAGAGAAACGCGGATGACTGGAATGGCTTGACGACTGGGTTGGCGCACGCTGCAGAGGGCTCAGAGGGCTCAGCCTAGAAGAACGGACCGATGATGCTGTCTGAGCGCGCTCGATCGGACTCAGCATGGCAGCGGAGTTGGCGAGGACGTCCAGCCCCGAAGGCGCCCTAGTCGCCATCGAGTGAGTTCGAGATGAATAAGTAGGAGGAGGATCCTGGTAGTCGTACATAATCTCAGAGTCCAAGCTCTTGTATTTGGCAGTGCCGTCAAGCTCCTCGTCGTGTTCCCAACAGGTCTCGTCGATGCCGGTCACGGGAGGCAAGAATCGGATTTCGTTCCAGGTGACATCTTCATATTGCAGGGTGATGTACAGGAGATCTCCTTGCATTTTGTCGTGCGCGATGCAGTGGTCCTCCAGGAAGGGATAATCCCATACACCACGGTGAACGAGATCAGGTGGTAAGAGCGTCAGCGCCATGCGGCCATAGGGTTCGTCGGCTGGGCGATGACCGGTCATTGGCATCCACGGTCTGCCACGGAACACGCCCTTGAAGGCAGTCTCGATGCCATTCGCGAAACAGGAGCTATCCGGACTGGGGAATTCGAGGGTTTGTAGCAGCTTGCGCGAAGCACATCGTCGGTAGCCGTTGCTGTCCGGATCGTACGCGAACCTCTGCGATTTGCGTGGGACGAAGACGACACGGACGCTCCACGAAAGTGGGTACTTCTTATCAGTTCGAATCGGAAGCTGACCAAGGGTGTGATTTGACTGCATCAACAGTGGCATTGGCGGCGCAGGCGAGGCTTTTGGTGTTGACAGACGCGTTTTTGGCGTCGAGGCAGCAGGCGTGACGTCTCGCGACATGCCACTGAATTGCTCCACCCGGTCGACTCTGTTCTCCAAATCCATGCTGAACTCGTCTACCATGGTGAGCCTCTCGCCCTGCACCTTGATCTGATCACTGAGCTCTGTTGTCCTATCCACCACGGCCTCGACTCGGTCGTCAATAGACAACTTGAGAAGTTGCATGTTCTCGTACATGCGTGCCTGTACTGCATGGTTGGTCCGCACCAGCTCCTCTCGAGCAAGCCGCTCCCTGAACAGCTCCTGCTTCAAGTCTTGCTCCAGCGTCTCGAAGCGCTTGACCTCCTGCTTCAGCCGCTTCATCTGCTCTACTGCCTGTATGTATGCCTCGGTTGACACAGTCGAGATGGGCTGGGCCTCATGGTTCCACGCCTGGTGTCCGCACCCACAGCGGGAGCGTATGATAGAATCGGGATAGAAGCTACGGCAGGGGCAGCGCTGGCGGGCGCCCCGCCCCTCAGACGGTGGGAGGATGAAGCCGCATTCTCCGCGGGGGAGCTGAGGTTCGTCGCCAGGCGCGGGGTTTCCAGTCGGATGGACGGGGGCCTGGATGTTGCTATGGAACATCAGGAGTCGACCTGAGGTGGTGGTCGTAGCGTGGTTGCTGTATGGGTAATGGGCGGCTCATGGAAGGCCGGCAGAGAGGGTCTCTGGGTGTACGGAAGGAGCGACTGTGTCTACGGTATCGCACGCAGGGGAGACGAAGCCAAGAGCCTGAGGCACAACGGTTAGCTGGGGCGAGGCTCGTAATATACAGGCACAGGCATGTCGCTCGGACATGTATGGGGCTGGCGCACAAGATAAGCAATCATGGACTACGCACATTCAGAGCCGGACAGGCGGTGCACGCGGGAGCATCCGAGTGGAAGGTGGCACAATCAAAAGGACGGCAGACCTGTGCACCCGTGGGTGAGGGTGAGGGTTGGAGCAGCGGTAGAGAGCGTAGGAGCGCAGTGGGCGCTGGTCAGGTTTTGGGGCGCTGGGATGTGCAGGTACTCTTTGTTTTTGGCATTGGAACTAGCTCCCGCGCCGGGGATGGCCAGCCCTGTGCTGGGCGGGGACAGTGCTGGGCTGGTTGTGGGTGCGGTTGGAAGCTGGAGTTTGGGGTGTGTGGTGGCCGCCGAGCCAGGAGTAAGAGATAAGACTCACGCCCTCTGCCAGAAAACGCGCCAATGACACGGCGGGCGTGGGAGCCCCGAGACCGCCTGGAGTCGCCGCAGGCCCCATGCGCCCTCTCATTGCGTGCCTGCGCTGCTGCAGCCGCAATGCCCTGCAGCACACCGGGTGGCTTCTCCAGACCGCGCCCCTGTGCGACGCTTTATCGCGGCCACGGCATTCATCTGATATGCGCCTGTCTCCACCGCCCACAAGACGTGCCAGGCCCTGCCTCTGGACGGTGAGCCAAACCCCACACGAGCCGAGCCTGACGGCCTGAGGCCATTTGTAACACTTCTTCGTCATCGCAGACGCGGAGCAGGGCCCCGGTTCCGCAGTGAGGATGCTGGTTCTGGTAGACGCTGGTCCACGTGCAGCGTCGTCAAAGGTTTGGATGGACATGGTCGTCACCCGTACCAGACGCTGCGTAGGCGCCCGTGAGCGAGGGAAGAATCCATGGTGGTCTGTCCCTTATCGCGACTTCCTGATACACCCCACGCAGCCTGGGGTTCGCTTATCTGATTGGCTTCCCGTCGCATCAACGCAGAACAACTTTGGAACCGCCTTCTTTTTGCCAGCGCGCTGAGGACAGAGATAGTGGCCCGATTGTGGCAAAATCACTCAATGCCACACAGCCCAAGAAGCCTGTACGTCCGCCGTCTTCTCTACTGCTTCTACACCGCCGACGGCCTTCTACTGCTGCAGCGAACGATCGCCATTTCACATGCATGCCCGTCACCTACCCGGCACTGAGGCTTCACGGCATGCATCAACATTCGCACCCGACCCAATGCCGGTCGCTCCTTCTGCACGGGGTCTTCGATGTGGCAAGGCGCGCCTGCTCCATTGGTACTCGAGCACCAGCCTCATCCGCATCTTCTGAATGTCCATTGATGCATGCAGGCAGCGGCGTAGTAATGAAGGAGCCCGTTCTGTCGAGTCAGGGGTCTGACAGTGTTGTGTCGATATCTTCTCAACCCAATTCTGAGGTCGACGCTGACCAAAACACGCCACACACGCCACCCCTTGTTCGTGAGACAGACCCTTTCCAGCGCCAACGTAGACGGCACAGTCAATCGTCTCAAGGGGCGCAGCGCCTGAAGAGTTGGTGAGTTCAGGATAGTCGGTCTGAACGCGCTCTGTCAAACGCGCTGTCACATGAGACGGTGTGTTAATCGGTCCAACGCTCCTCCAAGTAGCGCGCTGCAGGACCGCGCACCAGCTCAACCACCGAATCCCACGTCACGTAAAGACGTTACACACGCAGGGCCTCGGCGAAACGTGGACGATGCTTGCCACGATGACTGATTCGTCCCACACAGCGCGGCATGTTCATCAAATTCCATGACTTCGCTTCCATCGCGGTGGAACCGATGGGGTAATGGATGCCAGTTCCTTCCAAACACTGCAGACTTTGACTGCACGTTTGCTCCTTCGAGAACTCCTGCTACCGGATACTTGGTAAGTATGACATCTGTACGACCACGGAAATATATCTTTTCACGTCGCGAAACGTCGGTATCCCACGTCCTCTTAGCGACATGCCATACCACTTTCCTTCTTCGGCACCGTCACGGCGTGTTCGCTTGATGACATTGCATCGCTCAATCGCGTCTTACTTACGCCCTCAACTCCCCATCCAACCAAATACCCATCACCTCCACCCAGAAAGGCTAGCCTCGCGGGAGTAGCCGTGGGGCAGCCAGCAATGTGTATCGCGTCCTTCCTGAAACGGCTGTGAGATTTTGCGCATATTTTATTTGCTTTTCTGTGATACTGCCACGCATGCAATCGCTGCAAGTCATCTCCGTGGCTATGGCATCTTTGGAGGATTCCCACGTGCTGAAAATAAGGTGGGAACGGTTGTCGCATTATAAAACCGGCTCTGATCGGACCTGTGCCTCCATCTCTGCTTTCGCGACGACGCCACGTGCAATGCTCGAGCACGCGCGGCCCAGGAGATATGAGTGCTCAATCGTATATTCCTGACGCGATCAAGTGGCCAGAATGGCAGCTGCAGTCAGCGGGGAGCGGTCCTTTTCATTTCATGACTGCCATTGCGATTGCACAACGTACGGGTAGGGGTGCAGAATCAGATTTGGACCTTCGTCTCAACAACCGTGCAGCAAGGTTTGGGCTTGCTGACGATGTCTCACTGCCCTCGGAGTTTGCCATGGACAAGGCAGTCCCGGGAAGGTCGGGCAGATGACGTCGGAGCTTCGGACGGTTCATTTCCCGTCTCAATCTGCCAAGATATCCGAGCATGAAGCCGGTCCTCCTCCAGCAGCGAGCCTAGATTCGGGGACTACTCACTTTGTCGCGTTCTCCACTGCTCTCAGGATTACAAAATGCCGGAAGAGAATTGGATTGCTCATGGAGGCGTCCCCGCGTGCGACTTATGCCATTCCCGGAAGGTGAGCAGCCGACCCAATGGGGCCACTACCTGCATTGCGACTGAAGCGTTGACAGCTCGCAGGTGAAATGTGATCGCAAAGAGCCATGTGCAAACTGTGTGGCAGCCAAGACGGAGTGCTTGCGCAACAGACACAAGCGCGTTCCTAAGCCTAAAGTTCGGACGTAAGCAAATGCCCATCTCTCGTGCTTGTGACAGATGCAGAACAGGAGTTCTTTTTCTCGATTAGCACCTTTCGTTCCAGCTCTGATGATGATGCAGGGACGAAAAAATAAAAGCTCTCGTGGAGCGGCTTTCGAGTCTAGAGCACTCAGTCCAGAGTGTTCACCGAAGCCCAAGCCTGGCGCAGGAGCAGGAGTGTACAAACAGTTTCGCTGTACCGACCATTGAAGCATCGTCAGACCGGCCGACAAAGAGGCAGAGAACAGCAAGCTCGCTAGATGTGCCGGCCCCGGTGCCAGCTTCGGATGTTGATAACAGTCCCCAGACAGCACATGAAGCTCGTGTACATATTAGCAAAGAGCTCTCTACCAATGGACTGCTCTCCGGCCATCAGCGTTCGGTCCTCGAGACCGCCATGTCGTTCGTTGACCAGCTATCAAATACCCCAACGCCGACCATGACTGATCGAAGTACCTTTGACGAGTCGATGCATGTCTCTACTGAAATATCCAAGCGCGAGATCTTTAACATTATCCTTGGCAGTAAGTCGATATGCTTGGAGAATCTTGACACAGAACTGATAAGACTGCTAGCTGAATCCAAAGACCGGGGCAACGCTGCCGTTCGCTACCACACTGTCGATCATGTACCACCAAAGGCGTTTGAGAAGATCGCGCTCGCTTTAATAGAAGGAAACGCGGACGAGAAGACCCTTAATCTGTACAAGGTCATTGTGCACTTTCAAGGCGCTGTTGTACTATACGCAAATCAGCTACAAGGCCCCAAAAGCGCAGCCGTCCAAACGCACATCCAGCAAATGGAGTTCAATCATCTGACAGCAGCGCTTACTGCTCTGGACCGCATTAGTTTCCTAACCGCGCCATCCCTACTACTTGCTCAGGCCTTGATCACTGGGGTACGTCTATGGTAGCTGTGTTACTCCGAGATGATTTACTAATAGATGCAGGCCATCATGATGCAAATTATGGGTAACCCAGTGAGTTGTTGGGAACTCACGGCACATGCATCGCGCACTATTGTAGCTCTGGGATATCACCATATTGATAAGCCAATGCCTGAAAGTGATTCCGAAAGCGAGATCTATGCACTTGTCGGCCAATGCGCATTTCTTGACAGTATCATGAGCCTTTTGCTGCTGCGACCAAGATCTCTTCCTCAACTTCCGGTCAAAGCCTCGTACTTGTTACGAGCCGATCCAGCCAGCCCTATGAGCATTCTAGAAATGCTTCCCGTACTCGACAAGATCCTGGATCTGACATTGGACACAAAGCCATCGCCTACTATACTCAACGATGAGGTTGCGCAACTACGGACAAAGATGAAGGACATCTACGAGCTCATGGAGAAGGAACGACAGCTTCATCTCTTGGATAGCAGAACGGATGCTCTCATACACTGGAAGAGCATGGAGTTCAGATACTTTTCTACCCTGACGTCGGTCCACCGCCTGAGTCCCACCGTTACGACAAATCCCTTGGAACGAGAAGAATGCCTCCAAAGCGCCCGGAAAGCACTCGAGTGTGCAAAGGACATAGAGGAGCTCGGAAGATCTTTGGATCACTTCATCGAAGGCTATGATCCTTACCTCGCCTGGTAAGTGCGACTATATTTCATGTCTACACAGTTACTGACGACTACCAGGAGTATGCTTTCTTACCCACTCTGTCCCTTCTTCGTCGTATTTTGCAACGTCGTCGGCACATCCAGCGCCCAAGATTTCCAGCTCCTCCAAGATGTCACCGATGGTCTTTCCGCACTCGTTACAGAGAACAAGTATGTTCATCGACTACATCGACTGTGTGCCACGCTGCTGGGCCTTTGCAGGCCTCTTGTGCAGGGTTCTGGTACCCATGGACAGACACCACACCCGACTGGACCGTTGGCCACCTATCCTATGTCGGCAGCTTTCGGCAACGGTCCCGGCATCTTGAACAACAGTGGGAGTGACAACACTGCTGGTATCATGCCATCTTCATGGAACGACGACATGATGTGGCAGCTGTTTCAGTCGCAACCTTCTCTGGACTGGTTCAACGCTGATATATTGGATCCTTCTTGGGGTCTTGGACAAACACAGTAATCGCGAATCCGAGATACCTATTATATCATCAATTACACCCACACGATGATTGTGTCTATATGATTCGGCATCTTGTTCCCGTATCCGCAGGATATGCGACGTGCGATTTCTACTAGCCACTGTGGTCCGCGCCGCGATCGTGCGTCGGCATCGGCGTCCCGCTTCGGAAGGTACTTATCGCGTGCCGCGTATTGTGGGTACGGCACAAGACGCGCACAGATTCCCCGCAGTCGCGTCATGTTATAGATACCAATACTACTGTACAACGAGTACCATACTCCCTACATCGGTTCTCAGGACAATGGCTGACCAACCAGACTACGATGCGATAACTTGGCCCGTCCAACTCACGAGCAAAGTGCATCGTAAAAACAACCCTCTCCTGGATCCTAGCAACCCTACCCTTTCAGCTGCAGGCAAGACCGTCCTAATCACTGGGGCCACAGGTGGCATTGGTCAAGCAATTGCTGAAGCATGGGTAACTGCCGGTGCGAAGGCTATCGTCATAACCGGAAGGAGCGAAGAGAAACTACGAGAGGTTGTTGAGAAGTTGGATGCCTTAGGCCAAGATGAGACGATCGTGCAGTCGTCTGGGCCCATCGATATCACGAAGGAAGAAGATGTTGCGACGTTGTGGAGGAGGGCAGCAGAAGCCGTCGGCCGAGTCGATGTCCTCGTCAACAACGCCGGATCCTTGACGCAAGCCATGATTGGCAAGTGTGAGCCAGGAAAATGGTGGCAGGATTTTGTGAGACCCCTCTCTTGCCTACATGCCCCTTCATGGTTACTGACACCTGCCTAGGAAGTGAACGTCAAGGCCGTACATCTGAACGTGCACCACTTCCTCGCCCAAGCGCCGGACGGCAAAGGCACCGTGATTTCGGTCTCGACCGGAACAATGGGCGACATGTACCCCGACTTCTCCTCCTATATCCCCAGTAAACTCGCGCAAACCAAGTTCATGGAGTTCCTTCATCACGAACAGCCTGGCATCCGCACATTCAGCCTCTTCCCTGGCCTCGTCGCAACAGATATGCCGCCGAAGCAGTATCTGGACTTTGCCCTTGATGACCCCATGCTCACGGGAGGCTTGACACTTTTCCTATCTACAGAAAGAGCAGAGTGGTTGCGAGGCAGCATGGTGAGCGTGAACTGGGACTACGAGGAGATGGAGATGCACAAGGAAGAGATTCTGGAAAAGAGGTTGACGAAGTTGGCTTTTTGTAATGCGAAGTTTGGGAAAGGAGGCCATCCTTGGGCGACTTGAATGGCGTGGAATAGCTCTGACATCCAGGGATTTTACTTCGCGTTACCAGATGACATACGTACTAAGAACTACGACTGTGCGGCTGCTTGCATTTTCCTTACAGGCCCACTCGGTATTCGTCTCTGATACAACATATAACCCTTTTCAACAAGAATCTACTTGTACGCCACTACGTTACCACATAGTTCGTTCGACGACGCGGCTCCAACCATCGACATGTGTACCTTCCGAACATGGTCATTCAATTTGTCCTTTCTCGGAAATGGCCGGATACCACGCTCACAACCAGGTACTTCACACCAGAACATGTTGCCCGCATCTGGTGGTGCGTGAGCTCCATTGTAGTGCCGCACCAACTCTTGCCGACGACCGAAGGTGCGTCCATAGCACTGAGGTTCGCTACAAACGAACATGAGCCTCCCGACAGCGGGCAAGTATCTGACGACGTTGTACGTGTCAATGCTTGGTGAGTTCGAACGATAGGTCATGAGGGGCCGCCCGTGTGGGAGAGGAGTGGATAGTGGTGAGAATGTAGCCCTCGGAAGAGCTGGATCAGGAGTCGACGGGGTATCGTTGAGAGTTCGTCCTCGGAAGTCAAACACTTCTGACACTTCCATTCCCTGGAGCATGTTGTTCCCGGCGTCGAAAGAACGGAACGGTAGATCAATGTTGCTGATGTGAGGTCAGTCAGGATAATGAAGGCTATAGGTCCCCAGCACATACATGTAAGTGTCCTGGACGCGCTGATAATGTGCATTCATCGGCTGGTAGACCTCATCACTACTCTGATAAGCGCGGAATGAACTTGGACTTGTGGTATAAGCGTATGCTGATCCGGTTTCAGCTAAACCAGCCCTGTCATCATGGCCGATACCAAGCGAGGGCGTGCCCGTGGCACTCTCTGGTCTGGCAAAGCTCGACTGGGCTTGGCTGAAGTTATCAGGCTTTGCTACAGGAGAAGCGATGGAAGGCGCTAAATGATTAGTGCATTTAACTTGTGAAAAGCGGACAACATGCTCACAAGATAACGTGGTGTAAGGTGCGTCAGGCGAGAAGTTGGGGCAGTACGGGCATGAGGGACCACATGGTCCAGCAACATAATGCAACCAGCTGAGGTAATTGTAACTGCTGCCGTGGTTCATCATAGAAATGTGGATGGATGTATATGTTCAAGGTTACAGCTTTGAAAGAGAGCTGGCGCGAATGAGACTCGAAATCTCATGTCGCAACAGGATCACTCTCTTTATGTACCGGCGTTCTCAGCTGCAGAACACCGCTGACCTGAACAAAAGTCAATACAGTGTCATTTTAAATAGCCCGTTGTGCCCTCCGTGGCGTGGTGTCGTGGCAGAATTGCGAGCAGTTTGGTGGGTGCATGGGCGGGACCCGAGAGTGAGTGGGTAGCTGGTACCTAACCACACGTTGCGCACACAACCATCCAGTTGCGTTCAATATACTTCTAACCCCTGTTTAGACTGCAGTCGTCGTATCAAGCCCGATCTCTATCTCCCGTAATTTTCTTTGGCGCCTTATTGGCAACAAGTCGCCTTCGCAGTACAGCCGAGTCGGAAAAGACTAAGGTACCTAGGTACTTGGGTACTTCGGTATCAAGCAAAAGTAGGCAGCGACCGCCCACTAAGTTATTTCATAGGATCAGGGTACGCTCGGGCTTCGAACTCAATCCGTCCTCTCATCCGCAGCGCTGCAAGTTCCCGTCCACAGGCAGGGGTCTCTCGCCTGTGGTTGATCTTGTTTTAGGCCACTTCACCCATCAGCCTCACTCGTCGATCCTGATCCTGCGAATGGGGATCTTCGCTCTCGAACTCGTGGCTGATTGCGATGGGATGTTGATGCAGAGCAGGGCAACGAAACGCGGTTTACGAACTCATGGTTGATAGCAATGTCGACGCCCTTTGACGCAGGTGTAAAGGTAGCCTGCATGGAATCATATCCGGTGCCAGATGATTGGCTGCCCAGGTGGTGTCTTTTGCGTAGACGACGACTTGATGCAGGTATAACGGTGGTGTGCATGTATACCCTGACACCCTGCTCAGATGTTGTTCAATAACTTGGCACCAATCAGGGAGGCTTACTGTACTGCAGGCGCCTAGTCCACTCTCCTTCGTAGTAGGCCCACGTCCCGAGCTACCGTATCCCTGTGCCCTGAGCCTTTGGGGTCTGCTAGCCCTCGACGTTAGTCACGCTTCTCGTCGTGTAACAAGCTGCTTCTAGATCCTCGAAGGATATCGCCATGTCAGGTTTTCTTTGGCTGTGGCATCATGCAGCAGCACAGTTCGCCTTTTAGCTCCCATACCCACGTGATACCTTCAAGCTTGCTAAGGTTCATTTCTGGGAGATCGGCACTGGCACCTTCATAAGAGCTGCGGCTCAGAAGTCTCGGCATCGGACGATTCCTGTCACTTGCGGACAGTCTGACAGTCATACCTAGGTATGCTTTCCACGACCTACAGAGTCCGATTTTCACCACTCATGTGCCACGATTGATGCCGTTACACACCATATCTGTTGCCTCGTGTCTCGGGATATGAAGCCGGCGAAAAGTTGTGGAAGTAATGAGTACCTTCACTCGGGAAGACAAGCTTGGGTACTTCATTTCATCATTCTATACAATCAGCTCAAACCCACAATACAGTACCGAAGAAGCCTCAGTCTCTATCCTTGACCCTCCCCGTTTGCAGCCATTCAAGGTGCTCCAAGAACATGTGATTGATCCTGTACAGCCGCTGTCCCCGATCATTCGTCGCCCACTTCTTCGTGAACATGTCCTTGTACGGCCAGACGTCTTGTCGAATCGTCCGTCCAGTCTTTTGCAGATGTCTGACAAGTGATGAGTACTAATTTTCTTCTTGCATGCGGGGTTGATGCAAACTTACACATAGTTCGCGTGTGCTAGGTAAAGGTATTCGACGAACAAGGTCACAATGGACTGCGCGACCATTACATCCACCCAACCATATCCTTTTCGCCAGAAGGCCAGATACACTATGACGAAGGTGAACGTGCCAACACAGCTTCGAAAATGAATATATGCATATTCATATTCTGGAAGCAATGCCTACGCAAGCCTCCGGTTAATATGCGAGTATGTGTAGAAAGAGGGCGGAGTATCTTACCTCGACATCGCTGCCATAGTTAGTGGACAGAAGATAGATCAATTTCCTAGCAACAAAGGTGTAATAGACGAGTTGAAAGCGCCAGCCGTCAATGTTGCACCCTAACCATGTCATGCGTAGAAGAGACCTGCCCCAGAATGGACACAAGCAGACAAGGATGCCGTAAATGACATCCCAAGCTATGGTAGTTCTGACCCAGCCTTTGCTGAAGTGCGCAATGGAAATGCACGTAGTGCCTGCAACGTAGAGACGCACAACAACCGCCCAAAGTGACAGTGGACTGAGCAGCTGGGCATATGCGAGTATGGCGAAGATCAGCGCAATGCGTATCGCATCGCGGAGATTGAGTGTTGAAGGTTTCGAAGTCATGTCACTGTCCCAGTACGATTATGTCGTGGAGTTGATACTGCAGGAAGCTGAAGTTTTTTGGTTAGATGAAGGGGCGCTGGGGCTTGTGTAACAGTTGCTAATAAACAACACATATAAAAGGCGCCTCTTGCGGGGTAGTGAAAGCTAGAAACAAAGTGTCCGGCTATCATTCTCAAGGACGCTCGACTTGACAAACCACAGACTCGTTCAATTCAGCCAACATGCAAAAGAACATCAGTGTGAAAGTCTGCAAAGGCAATCTGACATCAGGTCGTTAGGAGCTTTCGCTGTTTCGCGAAAGGGTGTAGCATCCACACGAGGCGAAGATCTGACCTGAACCAGGACGTTGCGTGAAACATGTCAGCCGACAGAGGCTGCATTTTAAAGTACTAATGAGGGGTATCTTTCGTTGCATTCATCGTAACTCTGCATTACCGTGTCTCGTCAAACCTCTACCATGATTCCATACTTCATAAGGATGACCAGCTTACTGATCATCCGACACCCCACCTCGTTATTGCATCTCCATCTCAACCTCTTTCTTCGCCGCCACCGCCTGGCTAGGCTTTTGTCGACTTCTACTCCTGTTCTCTGCTTTCTTTTCTACAATGTCTGCTCCCAGCCCCAAATCGACAGCCTGGTGTGACGCGGACTCAGTGGGCTGTTCGATGTTCACTTCGGAGCTCGTCTTCTCGTTGTCTTGTATAGGCTCTTCCCGCTTCTCGTAGACCGTGTCCTGAGTGGCATCTTGCGCTGGTCGATCCGTGTCCATATCGGCACTCAGGTCTGAGCTTGGCTTCACAATGTCACGTGTGACGTCTTCGCTTGGTCTACTGCTTGCTGCAGCTGGGCTCGCTGCTCTGTTCCCGTTGCCAGTGAACCCTAGCTTCTCGAAGCTCGCCATAACTCCTTGCCTTAGGTCCTGTCCCAGTGCAGCTGCGGCATCGAGAGGTTTTGGTGTGTTCGATGCCATCGGAGAACGGTCCCCGGCGGCGTGTGTGGGTGGAGGATTAACCGTCGTACCTGCTCCAGTCGCTCCCTCCGCGGTCTCTGTACCCGTCACAATAGGTTCTTGAACTATCGGCGTACTTGTGCCACTCCTGCCAGTACTGGCATTGCTGGTCTGTGGTGTGAGGGTCGGCGGCAATTGAGAACCAAAGCTATTCATTTCCTCATCAGTGCGACCGAAACACTCAGCCCACCATCTTGCCTCTCCTTTCCGAGGGAAGATCATGCGCTCCTTGCCGCGAACAGCATCATCAATCTCAGGTTCGTACTTTGGATTCATGAACTCTTGCTTCCGGCAAAGGAAGTAGTCCCACACACTCCTTGTTCGCTCCTTAGCCCTGGTATCTATGCGTTCCTTCTCGTTGTCAAAGAGGAACGTTCCGTACTGACAAGAATAAAGATGGTAAAGTAAGCGCCTCAAGAAGCGCTCGCTGAATTCGAATCGGGTTGGGTGTTGGTAATGCAATTGGTATACGCAGTCGAGGAATT